TCTAATCGATAAATTTGGATATTAGTCAATTCAATTTCAATGACTGCGATATCTTCAGCTCTTACATTAGATTTAAAAAATTGTGAAATAAAAAGGAAAATACGTATTTTGAAAAAAATTTAAATGCTAATCACAATTTAGTAAATATTAATGCAAGAATACAAATGAGAAAAACTCGAAAACACATGCATGTTTTTAATTTTAAAAGAAATTATGTTTTATAAATGTATATCACGCACTATGGGAATGTGTGTGGCATGTTTGTAATCTGACTCTGCTTTCGTTCCAAAATAGATAGACACTTAGTTTAAATTTCAGTAATTATGACTTGTACACTGAAAACAAAATGATTGAATTCGAAAAAATATTTATTTCAATAATGCTTAATAAGTCATTTATTTAAAACGAATCATATTGATTTGATATAAAAAATACTTACTTGATATAAAAAAATTATCTTCAAAACAGATAAAATATTTATGAATTTAATAATTTTTTCAGTATAACAAATATATTTTGCAATCATCGCACGTTATCCGCGTGATATCCTGCGTGAAGGGATATACTTAATAATTATAAATATCAAAATTTTTATTTCTTAAAATGACAAATCTATTTCTCTTGAATTCCTTAAGGTGCACAGATGATTACGTAATGATAAAACAAGTCGCGGAAAGTCGAGAGCATTCAAGTGTCGACATACGCGCGTGATGACATTTCGATAAGGAAAATAATAAAAGAATCTGGGATTCTCCTGCCACGGCCACATTGACATTACGCGGACATTCTCTGTCGTTCCTCGAATTTTTCCACGTGCGCGAACGGGGAATCTCGCTCATTTTCCTCCATCTCGCAGAACCGATTCGACGCTCGAGCATTCCTTCTCTTGAGAATACGGGCTCTTCTTCGACGTCATTCGCGTTCATCAACCGGTTTCTCGAATCGTCGTCGTCCGGCCTTACCTTTCGACGTCTCCTTCTCGGCATCCCCTCCGAGATTTCGTTCTATACCGGTCTCTTGGGTTTTCCCTACGCCACCGATCAAGGTCGTCACCTTCGTGTGTTCGGAACACAGGTAAACTTGAATCGCGCATCGTTTTCGAAAGCAGTCGTCGCTAATCGTTGTTTAATATTATCTATCTTCTTTAATACTAGTCGTTTGTTTATGTTTTTAATTATAGATTCTCTCTCATCGTGATTCTCTTTCGTTCGCGAGATATATTATTTCGAATATTATCTCTAATATTTGATTTATACGGACATTCTTTGCATTCTTTTCATTTAGAAAAATGAGATTTTTTGTTCTTGACGAAAACCTGATTCTAAAAGATTATAAAATAAAGCAGAAAAGAAAGAAGTATGCAAAACAAGTTTCAGATATTAATGAAAGTTTATCGCTGACGTGACACGGAGGCTGGTGGCCACGTGTTTCTCGATTGCGGAAGACTTAAGTCATATTGATCATGGAATTACGTTTCTCATTATTCAAAGATAACTCTTCTGGGGACAGATTCTCGATTGCGGTGACTATCGCAATTTGGCTAATTTGACATTAATACATATATATATATATATATATATATATATATATATATATATTATCGCTGCATTTCTGTGCGGTTCAAATTTTTCTAGCTTTACCTAGCCTACAATTAAACATCATTAACGTTCACAAATTACTGCGTTATAAGCTTTTGACATCTTTTATATACACGTTGATAATTGTAACAAGTGGAAAGTCACTATTATGTCTTACAAATAGTAAGTTTCTTCATATGATTCATGTAAATACTTGATGTCTCTTTTCCCGTCTTCTTGCGAAGATTAGTAATCTTTTGATTTTAATTTATACCTGACTCATTGATTGCCACACGCACATTAGTTGAAATTTAAAATGAGATAAAATCTTCGTAATCAACAAAAAAAAGAAATGTGGCGCGAAGCGTACATAATGTGCATTGTATTGACCTAATTGAATTATTGAAGCCTAATTGATTCAATTGAACAAGTATTAGTGATCATCATTGATATTGAACTGTTCGATGTAATCAGTTTTTTATATGATATACTTAAACACTTAATTGAATCGTTTTTCGATCTATATTACACTATTTGAATAATATCCAAGCTTTATTTTATATCAGTGTCTCTTTCGCTAATCTATGTATATATAATCTTATTATTAACTCGAAATATTGAAATCTGTCAGAAATTTGTCATTTGAATAATTGAAGATTCAATTAGGATATTTTCACATTTTCCCAATTAAAAATTGTCACCAATTTTTTATCTTACATTTTTAATAAATAATTAAATATAACAATGAGTTATTATTAATTAATGAGCGTTAATATACATAGTTTCGAAAATTTTAGTGACCTTAGATATTTTCGATATCATTGATTTATCTGACAATACATTATATATAGGTATTTTGATTTCTCTTATCGACTATTGGGATGCAATAACCCCCTGGATTTTTGTGGAAATGATCCGCGCGCGCGAATGACCGCACCCTCGAGATTGACGCGCGCTTCGCGCCCTTCTCCAGCTGTTCTTTACGTCACAGGTGCACTTATCCGCGTCACGTCGACGCGAAAAGTCGCGGAGGAGAGCCGGAGTGACGTTCGCGGAGTATAGAGGCGGCAATCGGAGAAAAGGACACTGCTGCTTCTCCGTGCGTAAAATTGATTTCCCCGTGTGTGAAATCCCCGTCCGTTCTCCCAATGAACGTCACTCGGAAAACACGATTCACTATCCGGCGTCAGAGCGCCGCTCGTCCGTTCGCGCTTGTACGATCTATCGACTTCAAAAAGTGGGGAAGAGTGCGGTTTTCTGTTTAGGTGGAAGAACATATAAAGCCCCACCAATCGGTTGCACGGCTGGCAGTCCACGCGCCGTACGAAACGATGATGCAGTGCGTGCGCATTCGAAAAATTGGCGGCGTTTTATCGGAAAATCGAAAAGGTTCGCGCTTTTCTTCGCACGTATACAACGCGATCGCGACTGATCTCGATCTGTGAACGACAATTATCGTGCGTTTGGACTATATTTTTGCTTTCCCGCACTTTTTATACTTTTATATATACTCGCGCATATATATTATATAGTCCTCTTTTGTGCAATTCTATTTATTTTGTGGATTATTCATTCCCTTTGGGTGAATAAACACCTTCCTGTGAGTCTCTGTATTGTACGAGAAAGATCAACAGGTAAAGATTATTCTTCTTTGATTTTTGAGTGCTTTTGTTCGTCAGTTTCTATTTTTGTACATATAAGATGAAAAGTAGTTTCATGACATTTTTCTTGTTACTTTTATATCAAATAACGAATGGTTTTTTAATTGGTTCAAGTTATAGCCCTCGTATCCATAATTGTCGATTTAAACTATTAACAGTGTTCAACTATTAATAGGGATATGCAATAAAGAGGCTGATAATTAATATAATTGCTATCTTTTTCTTTATGAATATATTAATTTTATGTTTTATTACGTCGTTATATTTAATGTTGTATGTAACAATAATCAAATAATTATTTAGTTTTTTTGAATTACTTAATTGAAGTCGATTATTCAAATTATAGTTATATAGCTTATGAAATTTATTATATTACAATAAAGAAATATTTTGTCATAAAATATTTACGGTTGATAAATCATCCGAAACAAGACAACTGTTGATTTAACGAACAAAGCAAGTTAATAAGATACATTAACAAATGCAAATAGGATAAACTAACCGTAAAATATTATAATAAATACGATATACCTAATAATAATTAGGATTTTAATTAATAGAGACTTAATTTAAATCAAAATAGATTAAAAGAACAGATTATTAATATATTAATAATGTTAACAATGAGTGTCTACAATATCAGTAATATATCTTTTTTTTTGTTTGATTAGTTTCTATCTATGTTGTTGTAATGTTTTTATATTAAAATGAATTCCTATAAGTTCACATCACATTTTATGAATATTTGATAGCATTATTAACGGCGATGACTTTATATTATGCGCCTTTTTTCATTACGTATCGTATCGAGGATACATTCTCAATATAATTACTAATGTATTGCATTAATGCAGTGTCATTCGTGGAATATCGTTTTACTTTTTCAGAAAATCTTATAAGATTCAGCAATCTGATTATGCATTACGGTTTCTTACGACAAAGTTATTTGCGCCTATAAATTTACGTGAAAAAGCAATGTTCATACATTTTCATCAGGAAAACATTGTAAAATTACAAATAAAAAATATTAAATCGCACATTTATTAAAAAAATTATCTTGATTAATTGTGGGATACTTTTTTGTAATTTGCAAGTCTGAATACAATATAGAGTTTAACATATCTACTCTGAAAATTGGATATTGAATTATATAAAAAAATAACGAAATTTTATGAAATAAGAAATGCTGTAGAATATATTATTATTATAATTTCTGTTATTTTCTGTTATAATTTATTTCAGTACTTGCGTCAAAACTACGTGACATTATATATTCTTTTTATATTTATCAGAGTTTATTACAACTTATCAACAACTAAATAATTTTCATATTTTAAATACATATAAATATAGGTCTCATAGTCATTATTTTAATATTCCATTTTTAACGTTAGTTAAATGCTTAAACATTTAGTTAAAAGCTTAGTTAAAAGCTCAGTAGTTAAACGCATCATAGTCTTTTGTGAATTTTTTTCCTGCATTCGTTATCATCTGAAGAAGAATGAAAATTGCTTTTAATTATCCAAATGGAAAATACTGATAAGTGTTTTGCCTCGACATACTCTCTCGTCTATAATTTCTAAGTGGCATTTCTCGTACTCCGGCAAATATTTGTACACAAATCGTTGTACATATTCGATGACCTTTAATAATATTGGCGATTTAGTTGCGTTAAATTGGGTAAAGGAGTTGCGGAAAATAGAGAGAAAGAAGGGAGAGAAAGAGAGAAAGAGAATGTGAGCACATTCTTGTCATCTTTCAGACGACGGTCATGGCCGGGTCCACAAAAGTTGAGGAGGGCAATGGTCCCCCGAAGATCGAGACCTTCGACGACATCCTACCATATGTTGGCGAAGCGAGCAAATACCAGTTGTTCCTGTTTATTTTACTCTTACCCTTCACGATCGTTTACGCCTTTTTATACTTCGCACAGTTCTTTATCACCCTCGTGCCCGCCGAATATTGGTGCACTATACCGGAGCTGGACCACTGGAATTTAACCGATCATGAAAAGTGAGTTTTTTAACCGAGACGATCGCTTGAGATTTTTTTGGATGATGCAATTAAAACAAACATACGAAACAAACAGCATTGGTAGATAACTATTACAAAAGAAACTGGGGAACAGCAGAATATCGGATAACTCATAGATAAAGAATGATTCGAAGGAATTAGTAAATGTTTAGATAGGACCAAAAGAAAAATAAGATTTTCAAGATTCGAAAAAGACTTCTCTGCAATTCGAGACCCTTAGAATGACATTCCTGGCATGCTGGATTCTTTGCATAGATGCAATGTATCATAAATTAGCTTTCTCAAAAAAAAAAAAAAAAAAAAGGTACATTATGCTTTGAAAATTTTACTTAATTAAATTTTTCGAAATTCTAACACGTAACTCTAGACCGATAAAACATATATGTTTTATATATATATATTCCGCTAAATATACTATTTAGTTTCAATAATAAGATTAGATAACTATATAAGATTAGATAAGCTAGATAACATTCTATTTAGTTTCAATAATAAGATTTTATTACTTTAATAAGACTTAAGACTTTAATAATAAGATGTACGAATTCCTAACAACTTAAATAATATAATTACAAAACTCTTATTTTGTTTGAAGCTTTTTAATGCTAAAGGGTTTTTCCAAAATTGAGTAATTTTAAATGGTATGAATAATAAAGAACGCGTGTTATTTTCTATTCTTGCAATCGACTGAAAAACTAAATAATGTGATAAAGATAGATTTCTTGTTCTGCGTTCAATGCAAATCGATCGTTCTGAATATAATTCCGTTCTTATTTCACTAGAAAAAGTGTTTTCCGTCAGAAATAATTACACTTATAATTACGTTACATTTCTTGTATAGGATTTCCGCTCTAAACAGAATAAAAGTACATAATTAGATTTCTCCTTCATTTTTATACGTGACAAACTGGAAATTACGAACGAATACATGAATATGAGACAAAGTTTAGACTCGTTTGATAAACGCAATTTCGGAATTTGAGTCGTATTAAATTTTATTGATAAACAAATATTTCGTTAAAAGTCAATTTATATACAGTAGTGTTTAGGAAAAAATATTATTAGGAAAAATTTGCGACTATGACAGCAAATTAAAAAATAAGCATGCGTCAGAGACAATTGGTCAGTAAGGACTATCGTGCAGGGAAATCCGTCGTTGCGGTGACTCTTGATTCAGATTAGTTGATCAGTGGTTTCTCCGCGTCTGATGTTATACAGAAAACCAGTTTTGTCTGTCGACCTCGAAGGAGATTCCATGGAAACTCGAGAGAGCAAAAAGAGGCAGAAAGGAGGAGTATCCTCTCTTTGTTTGAAAAGCTGCTTGAAATAGATCTTTATATTTTTTTATCTTTCTATCGAAGCCACAAGATACATCGAAAACGCGAAAATGATAATCTCTTTTGTGCAAAATAAATGAGTTTATTACAAATATACAGAAATTAACAGATATGCGCGTTTTTGCGGAATAAAATTAATTTTGTTTCGAATAGTGCGTATATATAGACGTTTTATGCATTTTTTTAACGCATGATATGTCTTCGAAAAACTTTACGTCTGCTGTTCCGCTAATGTAATTTTCATGTCAGTAACAGTCGTTAATGACGCTTGTTTCGCAAATCCCTCGAGAGTAACTTTGGTTGTAAATAAGATAGAATCGCGTTACAAAGGACATAGTATATTTTAATCATAGTTTATAATCAAATCGATTATTTATCGCAGGATTGCGCTATCGATACCACTGGCTACCGAAGAAGAACTGCAGTTGGAAGGCGCCACTTTGTTTTCGAGATGTTACATGTATGATGTAAATTACACCGAGCTGCTCTCGAAAGGTGTCAGGCAGGCCGATCCTTCGTGGCCGGCGATCCATTGTAAACAAGGGTGGACCTTCAATCACACAATGATTCCGTATGCCTCGATCGCTGTCGAGGTAATTAAAATGACGACGTCATCACTTTGCGTAAATTCTTATTTATGAGTCACTAAAATTCATCTGTTCATAAATAGTCGCAATCAGCAAAATGACAATATTAATCATGCTTGCGCGTATTTAATTCTTTTTTGTTTGTTTATCCTTTTTTTCTCCAATTTTTTTTCATTAAACAACATACATTGGAACCTGTATCGGAAACCTGTATTAAGTATCTCGCCATTTTTTATACCGATTTTTTTCATATTACATAATATTGAACATGAAAATCAATCAATATCATGTTTCAAAAAATTAAATTTTACGAAAGTAAATTATATCGATATTTTATTAATATTTATTTATTAATTAGAGAAATTGTTTCGATATTACACTGACATAAATTCGCCTATTGAGGCGAACACAAAGAACATTCTAATAATGATTTCCGCGTCTATTAATAATTGTAATAAAAAAATACGTAAAAATACTGTTCTTTTTGTCAGCTCGAGTGGGTTTGCGACAAGACTTTTCTCGGTTCCGCGGCTCAATCGGCCTTTTTCGTCGGCAGCATCCTTGGCGGTCTAGTATTCGGCTACATAGCCGATCATTACGGCAGAATCCCGGCGTTAGTGTCCTGTAACGCGGTAGGTTTCTTCGCCTCCATCGCGACTGCCTTCTGCAATAGCTTCTGGTCCTTCTGCGTAGCGAGAATGATCGTCGGTTCGTCGTTCGACAACTGCTTCAACGTTCTTTTCATTATCGGTATGGATCATCATAATGAATGTAAATTACTGTTGAATGAGATATTACACGAGAGATTACAAAAAAATCTTTCAATCAATTTTCTGTCTGAACAAAGCGGCCTGTTAAAGGATCTGTAAATAGGTATTCCAGAAACTTGTGTACTTTTATCTTATATCACGATATTAATCAACAGCTTGGATTAAAATTATTTTGAATATTTGTTTGTAAATTTTCTAAGGATATTTTCGCACGATCTCATTCGTATAGATAATCTCTCGCGCGATTACTCGATTAATATGATTTTCATCGCAGTGATCGAGTACGTTGGTCCAAAGTATAGAACTTTGGTGGCGAACATGTCCTTCGGGATTTATTTCGCATTCGCCGCTAGCATCCTGCCGTGGATCGCGTATTGGATCGCAGATTGGAGAATTTTAAGTGTCGCCACCGCATTTCCGATGATCGTCGCTTTCTGCAGTCCATGGCTGGTTCCAGAAAGTGCACGGTAAGTACAGTTACATTATCGTTATGTATCACATTGTATCAAATTTGTAATTTAAATTATTTTTTCATAAAACTTAATATAATATAATTAATAATTATTGTGATTTGTAGATGGTATATTATGAGCGGGAAGATCGACAAGGCGATTGAAATGCTGAAGAAATTTGCAAAGGTCAACGGCAGGGAGGTGAAGCAGGAGGTGTTCGAGGAATTCGAAAGAAGCTGCAAGAATTTAATTGAAAAGGATCAGTCGCACAATCAATATACCGTAGTGCACCTCTTCAAATTACCTCGACTAGCTCGTATCACCGTCATACTCGTTACTTATTGGTGAGCGAGAGTCGCCGATGATTATTAATCTTTGCTTTACTTGATCGTTACGTCGAAAGAATTATTATCGATCGAAAATCTATCCTTCAGGTTGTTAATCATTTTGGTATTCGACGGACACGTTTGGAACATGAAGCTGCTGGATCCCAACGTGTTCATGTCATTCTCCATAGCCGCGTTGACCGAGCTTCCGGCGGCGATCTTGCTGGCATTGTTCCTTGATAGATGGGGTAGACGATGGATGGGTTTCGCATCAATGTTTGTGTGCGGCTTGTTCTCTTTCTTCGCCATCGCAACTCCTGCTGGCAAGTTATATAAATGTCGTAACATTCTATACAACAAGGATTTATTTGTTTGTTTTCGCGCAAAATCTATTTATTAACGTAACTTGAGAGACGAAATCATTTATTCCCTCTGTCTTTCTATCGCCCTTTTTACGATCTTTGAGATCTACATTGTATCGCACTTTATTTAAATTGCAAAGCAACCTAAGTGGCACTACTTGTACGCCGGATTTACATATCCTTGCGACGTTACACAGGTCCACTAACCGTCGCCATGGCGATCGCGGCGCGCCTCGGTGTCAATATCGCCGCGAATATCGGTTTCCAATACGCGGCTGAAATGTTGCCGACCGTAGTGCGGGCGCAAGGTGTGTCTCTGATTCACATTATTGGCTACTTCGCTCACATCATTGGACCTTACGTGATTTATTTGGTGAGTATTTCGAGAGAAATGTGAAAAGGAAGACAATTTTTCCTCCTTTTGCAAGATTAACGAGATCGCCGATTCGTCGGAGAAATCGAAGGTGTAGATGCTTAATGATATTGTTTTCAGGCCGACGTCCATCCATCTTTGCCACTGGTAGTTCTCGGTCTATTGTCAATAATGGATGCGTTCTTGACCTTGGCATTACCGGAAACCTTAAATCAGGAATTACCCGAAACTTTGGAAGAGGGTAACGATTTTGGGATAGATCAGAGCTTTTGGTGGATTCCTTGCATATCTTCGTAAGTTTTTTGTAAATTTATTGAATCACATTTACAAGAGGACAAATATCAAAATTATTCTATAAAATTTGATTTCGTAAACTTATATATTATCTTTTTTGCAGAACTCCACAGTTCAAAAAATCGCTGAGAAAGAAGAAAAATAAAGGTATGACAAACGCGGGCTTCCACGATAGTATTCAGACGATTGACTCCACGAGATTATAGCGGCCGAGTCTTCATAAATATCGAATTTGCCAAATCGTTGTAAATATCGCGGGTAAGTCGCCCGCATGTGATGATCTTAGGTATTAAGCTAGAAAACACGCCAAGTACGATGTGTGTATGTGTGTGAGATGCGCGATGTTCTAACAAAACATATGTAAAGTAGCGCGATGCAAAGAACGCATTTTTAGAGATGCAAATAGGGATGCAAATGCATATCGAATTAATGGTATTTTGAAGCCAACAAACGCGATCGTCTCGAAGAGCGCTGTATTATCTTTCAAATCGTTTCTTCGCGATTACGTGTTGTTATGTCACGTTGTTACAACGTGGATTTTCGACTTGCCGCTCTTTTCCTGCAGAAAAGATGCAGCGTGTTACATGTACAAAGTTAGTTAATTCATAGTTTTAACAAAGATTATTCGTAGTAACAAATCGCCCTCTTTTCCTTCGCGTCGTTTGCAAGATATCATTCAAGTGAGAATCGAAGAGATATTAATTATGAATTCGATTTTCTTACGCTGCACGAAGTAGGATTTTATACTAGTTTTATCGCATTTTATTCACTCGCAAATAAAGGTCACTTGCGATATTCACATACATCGCGAACTCAACGAAATTAGATCGATTTCAATATCTATTACGTTTGGCTTTTTGCTCATTGTTCCTTTATCTTGAAAGACGACATCTTCGAAATCTCGAAGTACGTAAAAGGTTCTTCCTGTGTGTCGAATAAGATAAGAGATTGTCTTGTTATATTCAATTTGTATTCTTGGAATACAAAATACAACAAACAAATCGTGTGAATGGATAAAAGGAATCGCTTTTTTGATACATCATTAAGAATTGTCGATGGCTACGAATTGATTAATGTATACGTAATAACGTAAGTAAATAATTTTCAGTAATTTAATATAGAAATAGGATTATAGCGTAATCTTTTTTCACGCCTCGCGACGAAAGCATTTCTTCTTTTACTGCCAAATGTGAAAATTATCGAAAATTATGTGGGACCACACATTTCATATAAGTCAGTTTCATTTCGCTCAATGACATCTGCATAAGAAAGTAATCGAATAATGATGCAAAATAAAAAGACATTTTATTTTATCCTCGTATTTGCTATCATTTCTGCTCGTTATAGAATATAAATATCCAATTCCCTTAATCTGAAAGAGAACGCTCATCGAATTGAGATTATTTTTATCTTGTCTAGAAATTTTATTGATCGATATAAAAGGAGATATACTAGTTATATTATCACACGTCGAACACAAAAGAAGAGCGGCATTAAAAAACTTATTATTACATTTCTTGATATTCTCGCAGCGAGAATATTATAATTATATATTAAAACAGAATTAAAAAAATAACTATATCTCGCGTGGACGATAATGTCGATGTCGGTCCGATCTCTTGCAACAGGGTAGCGCCCAGAAGCTTTGATCCTTGCCAAACTCCTCACCCTGACGTAGAGTTTGCGGGAGATCACGTCCGAGCGTCTCCGGTAGAAATAATATCAGCGTAGCAGCTAACAGAGACACGACGCTGATGATCATCATCGGCAGACCGTCCCAAATTTTCGCCTGAAACAATTTCAATTAATTAAGATAATTTTTTAAGCGATACATTATTTGTACATCGATTTTTTGTCAGTCTCTTAATGAGCACAGTGTGCTTTAATAATAATTTCCTCAATTATCTTATCATACGCGATAATCAGAAGAAGAATAAAATATATCTTGATTTCACACGGTAATACAATTTTCTTCTCTGAAGAAAAGAAATCACTTACGCTGTCCACCACATATGGCGCGATGGAATGAGCAACTATACCAAAAATGTGGATCAACGAGACTCCTTGTGTCCTGATGGGCGTCGGTAATAATTCCGCGGCATATTGTAGACCCACATTGGCCGCCATATTCAGGCAAAATCGCGAGAGCACCGACATTGTCAATTTTCCTACAACTAATTCAAGAAAAGAGACGTATCAGAGTATGAGACGGTGGAGAGCGCATTCGATTTTACGAGATACACGTGAAAGCCTATGTACGTGTATATATATATATATATATATATATATATATATATATATGCGACTCACTCGACTGCAACAGCAACTCGGCGAAGCTGAAGAGGCAAGTCATGGCCAGAGTGATAAATCCGCAAAATCGGCGACCCCAACGATCCAATAGCAACGTCAGCAACAGCCCTGCTGGCAGCTCGGTCGCACAAGCGAGGGAGAAGGACACGAACACCGAGCTCGGGATCAGCTTGAGGGAGTATACGTGGCCGTCAAAGGCTATCATCGTCAAAGACCTAGGACGTTCGACAAAAATATACGAAACTCCGCCACGTTATATACATCTAATGCATTAAAGTAGAAAATCTTAACGGAAGAAGGCGCGACAAGCAAATAAATGAACGAACAAAAAAAAGATAATATTCAAAGTTAATATTCCGCGTCTTACACGAAGAGAAGGAGGATAAAAAATAAAAATCCATTGTTTTTACTCACCAGAACAAAATTAGTAAGATTGTGATCCTCGCTAAACGCGGTGATTTCATCAGATCGAATATGGTCGCGCTTTCTGTTTGATTCTCGGCCGCTGTCAAGTTCCTCTGTAAAGACGGTAAGAGACGGACGGATAGGATGAAGAGATTGTATCTCGCACGAACGAGCGAGCAAGCTTTGCATCTCATGCGGTCCTACTTACGACGAAGATTTCATAGACGCGTGTATCGGGGTTCTTCTTGTTAACCCTGGCTATATGCCGCAACTTCTGCACCACTTTGTCCATTCTGCCATTAGCGATGAACCATCTTAATCATGAAACAGTGCTCTGTTCAGCGAAAAGTTTCAGCGACGGAACGTAGACAATAATGAAGCAAACTTAGGCCTATGTATATAAATATCTGAAAGCTATATCTAGGACTCGCCATGGTGTCTATTTAAGGATCTGACATTTAAATTTTTTACTTAGATATTCAATTACGAAGAATATGCAACTTTTTTACAACATTTCAAAATTAAGAATATATGTAAAATTATCGCAGCATCTTTTAACATCGTGCGAGAAAGGAATATAATTTTTTTTAAAGATGTTAAAATATCGTACCGAGCACTTTCAGGAAGAATCCAAGGTGTGATAAAGACACTCATCATTGGCACCGCGCTGACATAAGCGAAGAATCTCCAATTCGCGACGTAATATGCGATCCACGGTAGAACTGTGCTTCCAACAGCGAAATATAAACCAAAGGCGACATTAACGACCAGGGTTCGTCTGTTCACAGCCATGTACTCGACCACTGATTCAAAATTCAGAGAGATTTGGAATTTAATTCGTGCGAATTATATAACTGACATTAAACATTATTTAAATATTTAACAGTGCTGTCACTTACAATTAGATCATGATTAACAATTTTTGTGACACATAGACAATATATAAATTACGCAACGTGATTTACGTAAACTGTTAGTAATGAAATCTCGCGTAGTACAATAAAATGATAAACGTTGCAGATCGTGACGTTCGTATAAATATTCATAAGTCACGTACGGAGATTCGCTTTAATAATTCTTCAACCTGTTAAACTGTCTTCCGGGATACTTGCGTATAGTCTACGTAATATCATTCATTAAAAAACCATCGGCTAATACCATTCATTAAAAAATCAGACATGTGTAGATACACGTCGTAGAAAAAAGAGATTGAGAGAAAAATCCATATAACATCGGGATTTATATAACATTGAAGAAAAACGATAATTGAGGATATTTCTCACACACGTAATTCTAATGAACATATATAGTGGGATACAATTTTTTCGTTCGTCGCGCATGAAATTGAGTAATTAGCGCTCACCGATAATTAACGGGATGTTGATGCAATTGTCGAAAGCCAGACCGGTGAGAAATCTGCAGACGGCGAAGGACCAGAAGGTGTTGCAGCTCGCGGTCGCGATCGACGCCAGAAGAGCGACGCCGTTGCACAGCATCAGGGCGGGAATCCGCCCTCTGTGATCGGCGATCCATCCGAAGAGGAAACCGCCGACGATGGAGCCGCAGAAGAAGATCGACTGTGCCGTCGAGATGAGATATTCCCGGTCACATACCCAATCTAGCTAATCACAAGAGTCCAGGAATCAGCATGCATTTGTGTTACTCTACAAGGTGTCCCAATCTTACGTATCATCCGTTCATGGGAGACTGCTAAGATTATTTGGAGACGATTTTTCCTCAGCGAAAATGTCGAGAAAAGATGTCATAATTTTTTTTAAAGTTCCCAATTTTTAAAATCATGTATTTTTGTAACTAAGCCTTTTAAATTAAAATTCTATTATTAAGTCAACTTTATCTGAAATTAACTAAAAAATGTATTTTATTTTCTATCGTTCATAACTTGAAAATTATTGGTGTCTGGACATTTTCGCTGAGGAAAAATCGCCTCAAGAATCTTCCATTAATGAGTGATACGATAAGTCCGGGACATCCTGTACAGTCTTTTTTTATTTTATCTCTCGCGGATTATGATCGAAATGATTGAGAAGACAGACTAATTGCAGTTTAATAGCACGATTGTCGGTAGAAGCATTAAGGTGAAAAAATCTTGATTATCTTGTTCTATCTTGCATATGTGTCTCATTTACATGGATTCAAGGATACTTCACCTCAGCCGCTATGCTGGCGTACGGAATCTCCGTGAAATTGTATTCCCATTGATTGCAGTTTACAGTGTTGTTCGTCTCCCATTCGATTGAGCGTACATCCTTGTGATTTAGAATGGGGAAAAAATCCACATCCCGTCGATGACATTGATCGTAATACGGATAATCCGGAGACTTCGGTATGCTGAGCTCCACTCTGAAAATATTTACAATGTAAGAAGATGACACATAACGCAATTAAACAACTTTTAAAACATTATATAACTTTGCGCTCAAAGTTATCTTACTGAATTACAAACTTTATTTCTCTTGTGACATTTAATAGAAGAAATCACGAGATAAAAATTTTTCGAGAATTCTATCATTTAATTACACGTACGTGTGTGCATATGTGTGTGTATGTGTGTTAATTAAAATTATATTAAACAATTCTCTGGAAAATTTTACGTGACTTCTTATATTAAAAATCACAAAAGAGACATAGTTTATAATTTACTGACTATACATATACATAATATATTTGTAATATATTACGCATATGTGTGCGTATAATTGTTGAAAAAATGATCGGATCGATAAAATCGTTTCGAATTTTAACGAGTTTGCGTAGACACAAAATTTTACCTTTCTTCCTGCGTAAAGTTCGAAGAAACCAATTCCTCTATCTTGCACCAGTGCTCGTGCGGTACCAAAGTGAGGAAGAACTGCGAAAAGTATAGAGTAGCATATGCCATGCTGTAGGGAAGCAAAGCCACTAAAAGCAGCCACTGATATCTGCCGAAGTCACCGACGTGTGGCAAGATATCGTCGAAGGTCTCCAACTTCAGTCTTAACGTGGTAGTCTCGTTCGGATCTGTTCCGTCCACGGGGTTTTTCACGCCATTCGAGTTTTTCATCGTTCTAAGGGGATATCGATACTTGAAATGTTAGTTTTACTTTAGGCGAACCCAAGTAAGAAAATAGAAAATCGGCAAAAATACAGATTCTGTTTATCAGCTTTTTTATAGCCTCGTATTAGAATGGGAAAAAAATGTTTAGGAATATTTAGAGTGCAGATTAATTAATTTAAAATTATGGCAAAGAGTTGGACGCTTAGAAAAATATCTAAAAATGAAGTGGTACAAAAAACTACAGAATTAAAAAGAGCTCTAGTTTCTCCAGAAACATATTTCGATAAATTGTTAATTACAATATAAAAATTAAAGATATTATTATCATATACTGGGAAAGAGAAAGAATTTTGAACAACTTGTTAATATTCCACATTATACGTTATTAACAATTATCTTTAATGCTCTTCAGACTGAAGAGAATTTAATGAAGATTGAAATGTAATTACAATTAGATGGAACAGAGTTTTTTTCTTATAACTGGTTTTCTCCCTCTCTTTCTTCCTGAATTATACTTGACAAAACTGAAGCTAACAAAATTATTCATTTTTCTTTGATATCAAATAAAATTACTTTATTTATTTACTTTATGATTAAGTTACTTTTATTCTCTCTGTTATAATTTAACTCTATATTATAATGTTAGATGTAGTAATTACGCAATTTTCTCAAGCTCCAATTTAAGAAAAAACTTCCAATAAAAATGAAAAAAATTTCGATTAAGACTTTGCTGTGCAAAGTCCGTATAATTCGAGCGGTTTTTTTTAGATATGTCAAACGACTACTTAAGAAAGAACGATCTAAACAGCGAGTGTTATCCAAACGTGACGGGTTCAAATGGCTCGTGACACTTTCGATTGAGACAATTATAAAGATCAAGCATGAGTTTAACGACTCGACACGCAATTAATGATATTGAATAGTGTCGCGTTTATGCAGACATAATATCTAATAGAGTCGCGTTTATTCACATATGATATTTGACAAACTACTCACACAGATCATATTAGATATTAACATACAAACAAATATTTCAATAACAGATATCAATTAATAATAGCTATTCAAATAGCTACATTTTAGCTGTCAGATATAGAGAATTTTTCTTAAAGAGAGAAATTTAGGATTTAGAGGACAAAAATATAGTGCTCACAAATTATAAATAAATTATATATTATTAAATCGAAATGATACCAGAAAAATTCAATTTTGCGTTTTCAAGAAAATAATATTTAAACATTTTCATGGACGAGGTTTCATATAATACTTTTTATTTTCGAGAACCGAAAATATCGCGTGTTTGTGATATTTATATGATTGCGTGTCCGAGAAATACACACGAAAAGTCGAGTCCAGGAACATTCACAATATCAAATGTAGTAGTTGCCAGGGTCAATGTCAAAAGCTCGGCAAATATCGACGCAACAAACCGTAAAGTGGTCTGACGCATTTGATAACTAAATGAAAATATTTTTATAAACAGAGTCAATATCATTTAATTTTATGCAAAATTGTTTTGCGAATTTCACACAACTTGGGTCGATCGTGTTAAATGTTTATACAAAGTTTCGTTTACATTTAAATTGATCATTAAATTTTATATATAAATTCTCACGCGTCATATAAACGCTCAATATATTCGAAAATAATTTAGCACGATATTCATTATACATAGTTTCTACTCACATTGCGAATATCTAGTTCTAGTTGATTATTGTCCATTAAGGTTATTTGACATTGATTTTTGTGAATGCTATTTTCGGAGCTTTTGGTTATCATGAAATTCACGAACACATAGATTACTATTAACTATTTAATCTTATCTTTTATTGAGGTAAATGCTTTCCTCCCTATAATCCCTATAAATCAAGTGTCACTTTTCGTATCTGACGTATGATTAGTAGACTGACAGTTTTATACATTTAATATAGAACTTTCTTTTTCACGAAGCTGGTTACTAATCGATCAAATATTTTAATCTAATCTTATCTTTTCCTAAGTTTTGTTTTTGAACATTCGAATGCGTAAATGTAAAATAAAAGGGATCTTCAAGATTACTTTTTATTTTGGATCGTATTTATTATCAATTTATAATAAATCAAATATTCAATCATTTTTTTACATTTTCCAAATAATTTTATATACTAATTTTTTTCTAACAAAATTTTAGAAAAACCTTGACACTATCTTTTTTAATAGATATATTTTTAATTTGTCCAACTTATTTTTCAACTTAAGCTTTCACAATATTTTTTAACATCTCCAAGTCATGCATCCAAGAATTAATCATTTCTATTTTTTATAGAAAAGCCACATTAATACTCACATTTTTATCCTTTTACTTCACTATAATTACGCACGTGTCAGATATTTAATTTTTTATTTATATCACCGTGTCGCATCACGTCGCAAAGTTCAAAGTTTAAATCTCGCGTTAGAAAAATAAGATTGCGTTACAACAAAAGATACCGTTGAAAAACCTTACTAAGCACGAACGAACCCCAGACACTGTAAATTAATTATCAATACTGATAAGGCGGCAATCGTAAACGTTACGATATTACTCCACCAATTTAACGATTCGATACCGATGTCCGGTAGTACATTGATCGCGACTACGAGGACAATGAAGAAGTTCTGTTAAGGAACGCAAATTATTGTATGAAGAAGAAACGCGATTGAGAACGGTTGATATACGAGCTCGGCATGGAATGCGATATATTATCGTGACGTATCTCATACTCGTATATTAAGATCACACATCGAGAATATTTCGAGCACAAAAGAAAAGAGTAGTGAGAAATAAAAGAAGTTAGAGAAAATCAATTGTTAGAGAAAATAAAAAAAGACCAACATGAACAATATTTACCACACGTTTCTTAAATTGTATTATTAGTTTATCGGAATGCAAATGAATGTCTCGAAACGAATGTTGAATGTTGAATAAAAATTCGGAGCTAAAATAACGGTTAGTTATTTTGTTATTTTTCTAGAATGTCGATATATATCAAATATTTCTTACATAATTGTAAACTCCGTCTATCATAACTCAGTGACTCGAAGATCGATAATGAAATAAATATGCAAAGTTTCTCCGGAAAATTCAGAATTTAGAAACCATACAAGTGAGACAAATTTGACAAATTATCGGTAAATAATTTTACTATATTAGCAAACATTAAAAAATGCAGCATTTGTTATAGATTGCATTTGGTTATTTCTAGGGTTGAGTACGTTAATCATTTTTTTAAACTAAGTTAAGTTAAAGTTAATTGCTTATAAAATTAATTTAATTAAGTTAAAAGTTGTATGAACAAAAATTAACTCAGTTAAAATTAAGTTGAGATTAAATTAACTAAAGTTAATTTTTAAAAACATTTATATTAAATTAGAATTTTATTTGTTAATTCTTTTAAAATTCATGATAACAAATAACGAAGAAATTTTTATTTTTATATAGAAATATATTTTTTGGTTACAATTACAATTGGTGACAAATAAACATAAAAATTAATAATACTTTAAAAATAATACGTTTATAATTTATAAAAAAACAATAATGGTATTTAGAGATAACAAAAATTGAACTTAGAAAGAAAGTTAATAAGTTTAAGATAAAAAATAAGTAGTTGAAGTTAAAAATGAATATATTTTAAATTAATTAAGCTAAGTTAAAAGTTATTAATTTTTTAACTTTTTTTTACTTTTAACTAATTAATTAACTAGTTATTATCCAACCCTGGTTATTTCTAATCAATTTATTATATAATTTATTATATCTACAATAATTATTAGCAAAGATAAGCATACAATAGTTGAATTTTATTCTCATTAAAGAAGATCAGAGTCTGTCGAATCCCACGAGATGTATAAAGAAAGAAAATTTATTTTGGTACTTTTTCGAGTTTCGCCATTTAACATCAATTTCTGATATAGATGTGCAGAATAATTTACATTACAACTTATTTCTTCCAGAATTGTGCAGAATGAAAGCTTCGCCCGTAGGATTCGCTAAACTCGCTAGTAGAAATTTCTCGTGTTCGCGAAATTGTATGCAAATTTACTATCGCACACCTGAGAAAAGATTGACACAACATTCACGATCGATACACACGCGAGCGTGTCTAGAAATTTCTCCGAGTATAACACTTCAGGGTTCGAAATTTCGAAATTGGCTGTCCACGATAGATCTACATCGGGAGTTCGACCGTCCAAGACGATACTCGTTCGAGTCTCGCGAGTGGAAACTGTCTCGAACATTATTCGCGCGAATCAGCTGTCATTCTCATATTCGCGGTTGGGATTTTCTCGTGTGAATTCACGACACGCGAACATTCGATACTAACCAGCTCGCAGCTCCAACGTCGCCAAGTCAGAAATAGATCAACAATTGCGCACTGCTCGCTGCTCCAATTTACCAACTACGCGAAAAATCTTTACGAGAACTGTTTTTTGCGAACTGCAATACGCAAAATGCAAGTAATGACACGAAGCGTTGGACTATGTAAATATTTGAATACTATCTCGCTATTAATAGTACGGAAAAATGCATAAGAAATTATCGTAATGAATGAAAATGATATGCGTGCAAGAGACATCAGTGTTTTATTGTTCTTTCCAATGTCACTTACGCGATTTTATAATGAAATTTTATCACTAGATCAAAACCGCATTTAAGAAAAAAATAAATTTTTAATAATAAATAATGTTCACAAAAATATTTTACTCATTGTAATATATGTCTTTTCGCGATAATCGGTTTGTTTTACTCATAACTCAGATAGTGATGGCGTCTGCATAAATTTGTTGCAGACAATAAGACGTCTCAAATGATTATCATATGTTATCGCGTAAAACTTTCATATATGCATACATATAAAAGTTCAGCAGCTATTCATCTCAATCTCAATGACTCAAACTTTAGATGATAAGTTTAAAAAATCAAATGCATTTCCTCGATTTTTTATCTGTTTTTCTTTTCGGACATTAGAAAATAATGAATGACCGTCGACAAGATCGAATAGATCCAAAAAATAATCGATTAATCATGCTTCATTGATATTCAGTACTCAATATTTAAAATGATTTACGATAACTCATTTAATGAATCTCAATAATAGCGATCTTAATAGCGAACTCAATATAAGAGATTGACCGAGTCTGAGTCGACGATTATCAGAAACTCGAGACGCATGCAATGGTAAATCATACGTCGTAATTTTCTCTACATATAATTGAAAGGCTGTCGATAGCTTACCGTTTATTGATACGTCTTCATCAATACGTATTTATTCAAACACGATCATACCGGTAATTATCTTAATTAATTCAATTGAACATATTAGTTGACGTTTATTAACACAGATTAACAGGATACAAATTAATTTGTAATAATCTCTTAGCTTATTTACAAATAGCTTATACGAAATATTATATGTACATAATATATTAAATTTTCTCTGAATTTTGGCGAAAAATATTTTCAGACTAACGCATTTCTGATGACGGGCGGAGATGTTGACACCGCGTCGTCGTCAACAACAAAAGTTGTTGCTCGACAAAACTTGCCATTCGTAATGCGGGATCTTCATTCGTATTCAGCGCGTTGCATCATCCGATATAGTTCAAAAATTTAATTTACATCACAATATCATATTGTATGCGAGCAATACTGACGCGCAGCAGCGCGTGATCAATTTAAAATGCATAGAAGAAATTTTACATTATCCCGAGTAGGTATTTGCCTTTCATCTGCGCCCTCATCTATTTTTCAATGCGGTTACATTCCTCGAGATCGAAGAATGATCTCGCATCTGAAAAAATAGATATCTTTTCTCTCCGCGACAAGTATATTTTGTAAAAGGAACGTGTGTGGGGTTTCGCGAACGTTTTAACCGCAACTTATAACTTAGTTTCTTTTTCTATTATTAAATACAACTATTTGGAAGAAATATATATTGCAATAAAAAAATCATAAAATTACGTTAATACTACATGGCTGCCCGTAAAATCCCTATCTATTTTTTCTGAAATTTCACTGAAATTTCAAAGATGTCACATATATAAGATTAAAAAGTATATCGAGGAAAATGGAAAAGATTCTATGATATAAAATCACAGTAGAAATATCTGCAGAACAGCCGATTAGAGCTTAATTTAGTCAAGTTCTAATTGACATTTATACTCTCCTCTCTACTCCTAATACATACTATTAAATCACATAATTTCCCTTCCTCTTCCCTTCCTTTCTCTCTTTAAGAGCATGCTAGAAAAAAAAGCGACACTCCATTTTTTTGCGATTTAAAGCTGTAGCTATCGTTATAAGGGTATATGAGTGTGCGTCTAATTTGATTTTAGTAGCTCCGATATATATCACACGATGACGGAGGAAGGAACGATGATGGAAAGAAGGAATATCTCCGAAATCATAGTCACGTCTCTTGGGACATTCATTTGTTCTCCGCCTCCGTAGCCGCGTTTACGCTCTTCCGCGATCTTAAGCTATGCGATCTTTGTATCATGCTGCTCCTCAGGGTCTCGCCGCGGGTGGACGCTCTCATCGAACTTCGGAAACTGCTGCGCTCGAAGGATCGGAAGATAGCCACCGGTGGCACTTCCACATCTGCAGGCTTTTTCCTAAAAAAATAAAAAAAATAAATAAAAATACGAATATTTAAATTTATAAAAAAAATGTTAATACGATATCTTCGTCAGAGGAAAACTGTATCACTCTCCAAAATTATATTGTATTATTCAATAAAAATAAATGAAATTAAGAGGGGAAAAAAATAAAAAGGAAAAAATGAAAATGGAGATGTAGTTACTTCGAGAGACACGGCATGTCCCACATCTTTTGATCTTTCCCAAAGTCCTCGCCGTCCTGCAAGGTCTGCGGTAGATCTTTGTCCAACGTTTCTGGTAACAAGAGTGTCAAAAGACCACCCAGGACGCCTAGAATGCCCAGAACTAATAGCGGCAGAATGGACGAGACAGTGTCCAAGTAAACAACAAAGGGCGCGAGGATGCTGGCGACGTATCCCATTATATGGATCAAGGCGACCCCTTGCGCCCTCACAACTGTTGGTAACACTTCGGCCGCGTATTGAAGACCGATGTTGTACGAAATGTTGACCCAGAATCTACCGACAATCGCCAGGGTGGCCGAATAGACCTCTGAAACGTTCAATTAAAACGAAAGAGAATGTATCCGTCGTGTGTAATTGCAACAGCCTGAAAAGACACGTGAATATGTGAATGTGATTCTACAGTCTACACTCTAGTGCACATCAGTTACATAATAATATTGTATTGATTTTATCATTTCTATAATTGTACCAATTATTGAAGACACAAAAGAGTTTCTAATTAAATAATACATATAACTACACGGAGAGAATTTTCTCTTCAAATTTACCCTGAAAATCATGGTGATCGTGCGACAATTGGAAGAATCTTATAAGAGTTTCTCTGATTAATATTTACCACAAAAAATATTAATATGTACATATAGTAAAACATAAATTCTAAGAGAAAATTCTCTCTGTGTATGATGTATAAATATTATTGGAAATGAATACGTGTCGTTGCACACTCACTGTTTGAAACCCCGCTCGCCCAAATGCTGAAAATTCCGGAAATTACCATGGTACCGCATGCCAACCATCGCCTACCCCATCGATCCAGAACGAGGGTGAGAAACGTGTCGGCGGGTAATTCGGTAAATGCCGCGATGGTAAACGTCATGAAGACGTCGAGCCCGAGATTATTCACGTTTCTAACATGACCGTCGAATACCAGTGATATCGCCATCCTGCATTGCAATATATAGGTAAGATGCAGATTTATTTTCCATCGAATATCTATTATTTCATCATCGACATATACATTTTATTACGTTTGGTTTTTTTCATAATATCGCATCTATCTAACTTTAGAAATGTTGTGTTTCAGAAAATGAAGAAATCTATCTCGATTGAGTGATACTCACCAGATGATGATGAGGAGGATCGTAACGTTTCGCAAGCGTGGACTCTTAAACAAGTCCACCACGGAATAAGTCTTGTCCGCTTCCTGTTCCTTACACACCCTGGCGCAAGTTTCCTGTTACATCGATGCACATCGTGAATTGTTATCTCGCTAAATTCGATACGACAAGCTTTTCTCCGAGCGCGAGAAAAAGTGACATGCGATTCTTACACGAAATTGCTGATAGACGTTGTCGGGCACTTTCGTGCCGTTCATGCGTTCGAATTTACCCAGGATCTCGATGGCTTTCTCCACTTGACCTTGGCTGACGAGCCACCTCGCGCTCTCTGGCACCAACCAAGGAGCTGCCACCGCCAGAACCAGGGGAACGGATATGGTGATGCAGGTCATCCTCCAGTCGGCCAGATAGTACGCGATCCACGGCAAAATGCAGGCGGCGAACGTGAAGAAGAGAGCTATTGACATGTTCGCCACGAAGGTGCGCCACTTTGGTCCCACATATTCCAACACTAAAAAAAAGACACTGTTCTAAATGTCGACTATTTAGCGAAGTTCGATGATTTAAGGGTCAGGAACGATAACAGCATTATGCATAAATTAAATCGTCGTCTTAAGATAATCGTATGATCGTCGTAAATTTATGTATATGACATCCTTACATAACGATAAGATGCAATAATTTATACTTTTCAACTGAATGTCATGTCGCATTTGCGGCAATCCTTTACAGTCCTTGACTAATTTAAAGTTTTGACTTAATTAGACTTGACCAAATTACGTCAACATCCTTCGCCCTGACATTACGCAGAATGTCCAGGACAAAAATTAGAGAACGCGCTGAAATTCTCTTATATAATTTAGATAATAATCAGTTATTAACGCGGGATGTCTAATAATTGTCGTAAACTTCTCGTTATGTCGTTGGTAACCCAAGACATCTTCATTATCCTCGTCGTATAATAAATAAATACCACAACATTGTAGCAACGTGATATTGCTTCCTGTTTATTAGAAAGATAGTGTGTTACATCGCTGACAGTATTGTAATTAGATCAACGGGACTGGTCATTTTTTTAATGCGCTACCTTCGCGGATCATCCATCTGTGAAGCGTAAAATTATCGGTGAACCGATCTAGGTGTACATTTAACCAAGGTCAACCGAGACAGTATAAACAAATTCGAAATTTCAAAATACGCTATATCTTTCTTGAGCAATTTTACAAATTTACACGATGCGCGATATATATTTCTAATTTAGTTTTCACGAATATTACCTAATGATTAAAAATATATTTTGCTTTTTTTCTTTAAAAAATAGCAAATTGTAAAATATAAAGCTGCGACGTCGATCAGATGATTACGATTATCAAATATAATATATACATATGGGAATATATCTTGAGTGAGAATCGACGAAATGTCAGCAAATGTAATCAATCAAATCGAACCTTTCACGTGCCGCGTGTGATTCTTTAATTTAATAACATAATATTAGCGACGCTTCTATTGATTACGAAATCGACGAAACGAAACTGACAGAAGGCGCGAATGCGACAACCATGACGAAACTTGTGAGTCAAACCCTGGACGAGCTTGACCTGAATGAAAGTGGAATCAGAGGCGATCGCTTAGAACATATACCTATATACATATATTGATATATGTTTTAAGGGCGATTAGAATCGGCCCTGACTCGTGGTAATCGAAAATTGAGGATTAGAATTAACGATCGCGTCTCCGCATTCGGGTTGCCGATTCAAGGCCGAAGCGGTAATTAAATATAATTACTTGAGAGAAGAAAAGTAAACTCCAAAATCTGCAATGATATCTTTCTTGGGAATGCGTTATATGTACATATACACAGTTGAAAATTTTGTGTCAAATTTCACAGATTTATATCACATGTCCAACCACAGTCCACAGAAATTTTTGTGTTAATTTAACATAATGTGGATACGTTAATATGGATACGTTAATGTGGATATGTTAATATTTTAACCCATATACAATATTGCGGTGTGCGAATCAAAGTTTGAATTTCAATTCTCTTACGATAACGTGAGAGGCTCCATTACAATTTAATCGACTTAATTACAATTGCATTGAAGTAACGACGATTATCGCGCTTATAGACGGAGCTCTGACGGGGTTAAGGTTGATGTAACGGTTTGGTGAATACGCGAGGAAATGTGTCTCTCCATCACACATTGTTCTTATACGTTTAAAATTGGAATATGGGAAATATTTACCTTGAATAGGAACGCGCGGAGTTTTTCCATTGCATTTTTTGTCGTTGTTGTAATAATCGTTGATTTAATAATAAGCGCGATAAAACAGAGAGAAATGATTTTTAAAACGACCTTTAATCGATGCTGACCTAGAATTCCGAAGTCTCTGTTAACAATCGAGTTCTATCATTATATCTAAGATTATGGGTTTCAAGTAGCACGATCGATTAATAATAACCGAGACGATCACATTCACGCTATTGTTTCCTCGATAACGATTCTGCGTATGAAATATTGCGAATCATAATTCACTTTGTCTCTCTTCTCTAATTAACTATGCATATCCTAGCAAAATCCAAACGTAAAAATAAGTATATTTGAGTATTCTTTGCGTACGCGAATTAAATTAATAATTTATTAATGCTTCTTGACGAGGTCATTATCATTGTCATTCGCAATTGTATAATCATAATTAATGACGCGAAGCCGTCATCGCGACTTTTATTATTCAGGCTATTACTCTTTCAAACACGTGTTTTCGAATTTCGCGAAAACTTGCATAATTCAAACTGATCTTCCAAACACAATAAATTGCATACAAAAGGTCGCTTATCACTAATAAAAAAAAAGTAATTAAACGCGACGCGGAAATCGAAATAGAAAAAGAGCGACGAGAAGAGTAAACATTTTTTTATCATTTTTTCTCAAAGAACCGAATCAACAAAGTCCTGGGAACTCGTAAATCTGTATCATATATATGCGTACCTAATATGTACATCATGGTGAAGCAATTATCGAAGGCGAAGCCGACGAAGAACCGGCACAGCGCAAACTCCCAGAAACTGCTGGCCAGGACGGTCGCGACTCCTGCCAAAAATCCGGTGACGTTGGCACCGACCAACGCAGGTATCCTCCCATATCTGTCGGCGATCCAGCCGAATATGAGGCCGCCGAAGATCGCCCCGACGAAGAAGATGCTCTGAGCGGTCGTAGGTAGGGCACTATGTTCGCACACCCATCCTAACTGCAACAGGATTGAATAATTAATTTCTCAAGGATCAGACACATTGTCGTTTTTTATTATGTACCTGTATAAATTATTAATGATAAAAATCTCGCGTTACAGCTTTTAAAATCCGAGAACTTAAAATGCGATTATGGGAGAATTAACACGTATGAGAACTGCGAGATTTAATCCTCTGCAAAAAAATGGGAATGAGTAATCCTTTTAGAATTTATTTGACAATATGATTCCATTTTTTAACGATTAAACGGATTCAAGAAGGATTTGCATTTTGCTTTATGATTTGAATTGAATTATGGTAAGACGATTTTCTACTAAGATATTAATTTATATTAGGATCTTTTAAAATATATCTCTTGGAGATTTCTTTAGAATTTCTTAGAATCTCTATCCAGATCTTTTTATGTAGCATCGTCGTTCGCGAGTTTGTGTAATAGAAACGTATTACAACGTACCATGACATTATACAGAATCTCTCAAAGTCACCGGATGTTCTTTTAATGGCCAATTGTCAAGTCAATTTGGAGATGATTTTTCCTTAGCAAAAATGTCGAATTTATAGTTTCCTAGAAACGAAAAGAAAAGCTTTTCGCAAATATTTTGTGAGGTAAAAAGATTTAAAAAATTATATTTTTCAGTTAATTTCAAATAAAGTTTATTTTAATAGAATTTTACTTTGGAGCTTATCGTTAACAAAAATATATGATAGAAAAAATTGGAGGCTTGCAAAAGAACGATGATCTCCCTCGATATTTTTAAGAAAAAATCGACTCCACATTAATTTATCAATTTGATATACTATTTATAAATCGCAGATTTATTTATTACATCAACTCGACTGTTTACTTTAATTTATTGTTGCCTATGCCACAATTTACTATTATGAAATGTGTTTCGAATAATCGTCGCGAATACGCTTAATGAAAAGATCGAGAAACATCGCTCATCAGTGATCCATATCCCGAAATCCCGAGTTATCAATCTCCGTCTCTTTCACTTCATGATTCTTTTATTCTTACCTCAGTCGCCACAGTCTCGTAGGGTATATCGGTAAAATTGAATTCCCAACCTTGCGAACAACCCCTCGTCGGCCAGCTCGGATCCGCCTCTCTGATCCCTTTTAAAATGATCTCTGTATAATTCACATCATACATAGTACACTTGGAATAGCCATCCCCGTCGACTGGTATCGCCAGTGCAATCCTGGAAAACCAAAATTATTAAAGAATTAAAACAAAGTGAAATTTTAACGTAGGATTCTGGGTTACGTTTCAAAACGTCTTCTTCGAGGCAAATTTTACTGAACATTTTTTTAAAATAAAATTGTCCCCGAAGAGAACGTTTTGGAACGTAACCCTGACACCCTGATAAGACAGTCGATATAATAAGAGAGGTTCATTGAAGAAAATGTCAAACGTCGATCGCAAATAAATGTCAGCTTTACAGATAAGAGTATCCCGACTGGAAACTGAAAATGATGCCGGCAATTAAAGAATGAGGTGTAATATAAAGGTCTCCATTTAATCGGTGCGTGCGTTATTAACTGAAGGTTAATAGCGCACGCAATCTGACCTTTACGCAAGACTTTACACATAAACGAATGAACGCATTCGATGTCGATTGCAACGCACGTGCGTTTTTCAGCCTTGATACGTTCGCATGAGAGCGTCTCCACTCACGTCTAGTAAGTACGCAAGAATGTTGAAGTTATAGACCATAAATCTTAGATATTGTATTTGCAAAAATATACATCTCTCATTCAGAAAGAAATTATCTTTTAACATATGTTATTCGAAAATATTTCTAATAATTTTTCACATTTATCACACCACCAGTGATAAAAACTAGTGATAAAAATATATGTCGTAGTATAATTTCTTTTATGAAATACTTTTTATATATTAAAAGAGAATATCTTATATATATATATATAATATTTTCTTTTAATATACATATATACAAAATATTTTATAAAAGAAATTATATTCTCTTATTTGACAAATTTAAATTTATGCATTGTTGTGCAATTTAAGACTTGTTTCTAACTTAAGAAAATAAATATCTCTGCAAGATATAAAGTTTTTCAATTATAAATTATTGTAGAAAATGTCACTTTTTTACGAAGCAAGTTTTAAGAATGCAAATTTATATTCTTCATATATCTTTGAATGAAAGTCTTTAATCAAGAAACCTAAGCCTTAATCATCAAGCTTATTTAAGTTTATGTAACAACTAAAAATTAGAAGAAAATAGCGATAAAAGATGACATCCAAGTAAAGCTTCATTAAGAATAATTTTTAATTTTTTAAAGATGTAGATGAAGCTTCGCGGATTTATAGAAACATGAACACGCTCGCAAAATACTTGTACACTGATAAAAAAATATTAGGTAATATGTACATAGTAAAGTTAATTGAATATATTTTATATCTTATTGTAATAGATATTAATATTTTGTATTGTGGTAAGAATTAATCAGAAAAACTCTTGTAAAATTCTTCCACTATAATACCATATTGTCGCACGATTATCATATTTTTCAGTGTAAATTCTCTCTGTATAATCAAATATCACGTATTGCATTTTATGCTCGAAAAGAGTACAATTTTCAAATAATTTTTGCAAACTTTGTCATGTTATCGCGTTCGTGATAACACATTACAATCAGGCAATTAGACAGTATAGATTGAAACACGCATTGTACGAATGCACGTGTTGTATAAATGTTTTATAAACGCATCTCTCACGTGTATTTAATCAGTGTAGCTTTAACACGGCATTACGTCGAAAGGTTTACACAGATATTTCTCGCGTTCACGCTCTCATTGCTCATATGAAGGTTTCGAGCAAATTTATCATGCATTATCCATGTATCGAGCAGTCGGACGCGTCATGTGTCGCAAAAAAAAAAAATATATTTGTGTCTTATTTGATATTCAATCTTTAGTAGCGCTAATTAACAGCGCTAGTTGACAGTCATTTGGGTAAAATATCATAATGAAAAAGTTTTACATAAGAGCGAGGAAAGATTGTATTTTCGACGAAACACAATTCATAAAAAAAATAAAATGGTTATCGTTGGTATTAGAATATACTAAACCACTCATTAACTGTGTAATTTGCATAGCTTATGATAATAACTCACACTTGAATAAGCTAATTTTACGTTTATATATTTTGCTCGTTGATTTTTTCCTCTAAGAAACAAAAATGTCGCGATCGTTATAAGAATTCTTTTTCCTCGCTATATTTAACGCAAACACCATTTATATAATAATATTACGAATATATTATAAATATTATAATATCCACCAATTATGCAAATTAGAGTGATACGTGGTTGATTGCTCCGTTTCAAAAAACGATAAGGATACATAATCGTTTGCAATATATACGTTGTCACATGATATTTGTACAATTTCTTACGAGTCTCTTTCCACAAAAAATTGTGCCCTCAACCGGTCGTTTCTTTTATCGTAATTACTTTATGACGTTAGAGGATTATTAAATGTCGTATGTAGAATTTACTAGCCACGTGTGTGCCAGTCTCGTCGTATGCAATCGAATTGTAAACTGCGAAGGTCTCGTCGTGTCGCGTCATTTTCACACTTTCCCCTGGCTGAAACGTAAATGCTAATATATCTCTATGCGCGCTTTTGCAGTTTCCACGCGTTTTCTTTTACGATCGCTTAAGATATGAAAAGAAAAGAATCGTTCACGTCAACGTGACTGCGAGACAGATCGGCGATAGCCGAGAATAGCATTGCACGTATGTCTTATTATTTAATATTTTTGCCTTGTTGTTCACAAACACGCGAGAGAACGGAAAGGGGGTCTGTTTATTCCAAGTGCAACCTTTACAATTTACAACAAATCGTTAGGAAGGCTTTTTTACAGTGTTATTAGCATATTTATATTTTTTATGCATTATATATCAGTTTCAGCCAAATTTACATATCTTAATGGCGATAAAACAAGTTATATAAACGAATATTGCATATATGTAAATGGTGCTACCTGTTTTCACAACGTTTTGTATTTGTTTCAAAGCTTATAGGTATTTCTATAATAATAATTTTCCTCCCATAAAAAAAGTTTCCAATTTTTAACGAGAAAATAATTTAAAATAAAACGATTGAATGAAAATTATAATAAATAATTTACGTATCGTCGCATGTTTAACAACGTATGTAACTGTAAAGTTTTGTTTGAGTAACTTCTTTCTCGAAACAGTAAAGTACAACAGATCGTTATCGTCTGTCTTATCATCTATGATACGAATCGCCGATAATTGGAATGTTAAGAGAATGTATTTACGAGATAATTATAACCAACAGACTTCGAAGGACAAATCTCTAAAGTCACATCTCTAATCCCTTTAGTATCCATAATCAGCGGTACACGAGGCTCCGCACAGATTATCACAATCGCATTTCAAGATCCAATTAAGACGCCCAAATAAGCATATTAAGCAAACAATTCCTTAATCAATATCCTTCAAATATGTTAAAAAAAAAGGTTGTTCAGAGAAAGGAAGAGAGAATATTTCGCTAAATATTCTATGTATATTTTTTCGTCTTTATCAAGTACGGAAATGTCCTACCTTTCCTCCACCGTGAGGTTCTCCAATTCGGGTACGCGGCACCAGTGTCCCTCCGGCACGAGAGTGATAAATATCTGCGAGAAGTACACCCAGGCGACGAAGAAGGCGAATGGAATCATCAGCACGAAGAGGATCCTCTGATAGGTACCGAATTCGCCTACGTGGGGCAGCAGATCATCGAAGTCCAAGTCCTTGGGCTGCTCCGGATCCGCGTTCTCCAGCTCGGCGATCTTGCGGCCGTTCTTGGCGGACGGAAATCCGGTCTCGGACGAGGCAGAGGCCGACAGACAGGCCTCGGGACTCGCGTCCTTTGAGGATATATCCTCGAGGGTGGACTCGGCCCCGGTGAGCTTCTCCTGCGGTGGCATCTCGCCGTCAGTCGAGATCTCTGATCCTCCTCTCGAGAAGAGAGGAGGCAACACTCTTTTCACGCGGCGACCGCTTCGACGAGCGCTCGACTCCAGCCTTCGGGGATGTTGCGGTTCCAGGATCCAAGATGATGATGACGACGAAGAGATCTATTCGACGACGACGGTGAATCGGGGAGTCTCGCAGGGAAGCTCTATGCTCTTACGTTCCGTAAAACATGTTGGAAGTTTCTACTCTATCACCACGTGACGGAACTGATCTTTTATCTTCTGGCGCGAGATACTTACTTCTTCTTCGAGCACTCGCTGCGATAATCGAACCGGCAAGGCTGAACGGTCGATTGATCAGTCTTATTTAAACGGCCGCGGACATCGTGGGAGTGTATCGCGAAGGCTCGGAGAGGCATATATCGAGGCTAATTCGAGGATAATCGACGAAAAGGAGGAAAAACCGGGCTAATCCTGAGACGGGAGACAACGACTGGAACGAGTTGTTGCGTTTGCAGCTAGCTATATAGGCATCGATCGTGGGGTATATCCCCTCTCTCTCTCTCTTTTTTTTTTTCCTCCGCTACTACTGAACACAATTCAATGTTCTCCAAGTGGCATTGAACGCGCCACGGATCACATCGATCGCCCTCGTCCACTGGACACCGTCGTTGCTCGAACCACTGTGTGGTGTTGGCCTCTTCTCTTTTCTAGCGACGCGCACATCCTATACGGCGCAGATATACACCCAGTGGATATATTTGGATATCGATTGGATATCCAAGTCCGCTAACGTGCACGATGTTAATTTGAAGAACTTTTTGTTCTAAAACATTTCACGCGATGAGAGGCATTTTAATTATAATATGTTTCTCTTTGAATTTACCCTGAAAATCAGCAGGCAATATGGTACTGGAAGAATTTTATAAGTTTCTTTAATTCATTAATATTTATCACAATAAAAGGATATTAATATGTGTATCACAATAAAATGCAAAATATGTTTGATTAATCTTACTAAAATATATAGTCAAATTTCAATAATTTTAAAATATATTAAAAACTGTATTAAAATCTTATGATTCTTTAAATGTTTTAAATAGAATAGATGCCGAAAAAGTGATAAACATATATAAAATATTTTATAAAAATTTTACAATGCAGCATAATATTTTCAATCCAGCTCAACGTTCGTATAATAATTTTAACATATAACATAGTAATTTTCGGCTTATTAAATGATAAAATCTGTAGTGAATTTTGCGGTAAAATATAACGAAAATTTTCTCCGCATAGCTTATTGTCTCTCTCATAATGAATTTTATTTTTATTATTACTATGAGACCGTATCTACACAGAGAGAATTTTCTCTTAAAATTTATCGTGAAAATCATGATAATCATGAGATAATATGATATTGAAAGAATTTTATAAGAGTTTCTCCAATTAATATTTACCACAATAAAAATATTAATATCTACCACAATAAGATGTAAAATATGTTTGATTAATTTTATATGTACATATAGTAAAATTTACTATGTACATATTAATATTTTTTATTGTAAATATTTAATCAGAGAAACTCTTAGAATATTCTTCCAATATTATACTGTCTTACGATTACCATGATTTTCAGGGTAAATCCCAAGAGAAAATTCTCTCTCGTATAGAATAATCTCATTTTAAACACTCGCAAGAAAATTTATATAGATACTTATTAATATAAAACAACATAGATATCAATATGAAGCTATATATACACTATACATATAAGATTTAAACTAATAATAATTGTGATTTTTTTAACTCGACTTTTTTAGGAAAAGTCTGCAACATCTATACGATACAATACATCTATAGAGAGATATAAATGAAATAATATAATACAATTTATATATATATAAAATAGTGACAATTATGAATGCGCGGAAAACGAGTATAAAAATTACATTTGAAGTCGAAAATGAAAGATGCTTATTAGTGTGTCGCAGATAAAAAATTCCAATTTTTAATTTGCAAAGAAAGACTTAATTGGATTTTTCGTTAAAAAAATTAATTTTAAGTTGCAAACATCACATATATATACTTTGCAAACATTATATAAATGTTGTATAATGATTAATATGATCGGCTTGTTACTTATTCCTTATTATTTTTCTCTGTTTTTAGCATCTGGCAATTGATAAAAAAAAGTATGCAAAGTAATACAAAATATGAAAGCAAAGTTTCAAAAACAGTGTCGCTTTTATATAAATGTATTGCATACATTGCATATAAATCACTCTGATAATGCAATAAGTTTGCAAAATTTCATGCCAAAAGAATACGATTAATAATTGCGCAATCTTAATTATTTCTGACTCACCAAGTCAATTAATAATAATTGACAAAAAATATAATTCCAAACAAGTGTATATGAGCATGTGTATATATAAAAGTATGTATACATAACGTCTGGAATTACAAAGTAATTGACCTAGTGAGTCAGATAGCGTTTACGCGATTATGTTACTGTGAGATTTCCCCTATTTATATTTAATTAACGTTTATCTGATCGAGCCAAGATTAGTATAATACATAATTCGTGTATATTTCAATAATTCGCATATATTTTTGTAGAGCCGCAGAAGATGCGTTTCTGCTGCATCTTATAGTTCGTTCTCCAATAAATGTTAATCGAAGGAAGGAAAAAAGATTTTATCAGCGCAATTATCGCGATATCTTTCGAGAGGATCGTCAACATTACGAATGTAATTAACACAATAATAATCCTTAATATATGACTGTCTGTCGCGAAATGGCAGATAAAATGGAATCGATGATTAGGTGGAATATCACATTATCAAATTCGTATTTTTAATATCATATTATATATGTTCTTCGTTCTTATAATCGTAATTTTTTGCAATATGCTAAAATTTTATACTATAGCTATATGTTTGCTAAATTTTATAATATAGCTATATGTTTTTTGGTGTAATTTAATGTGTAATTATCACTCGTACGATTGATTGTCACGCAAACGATTTATCTTACAAAAGGTACAAAAAACTTGATTAAAAAATTATATACATATTTATCATATTATATTTAACAGTTTGAAATTAATATATATATATCAAGTAATATTTTTCGAGAAGACATAAAAATTTTACAATTATAAAAGAAAATAACAATTAAAATAAAATTGCATTTAAATTAATAAAATAGTGAATAAATAAACTCACATAATAATATATAAAGAAATTCATACTGTTTTATTTACATGTAAATATATATAAATCTTGAGTCATCAAATGTATAAATCTTTAGTCGCTTCTACTAAATTGAAAAAAATTTTTTGTCCGTCCATTTATCGTAAATTGTGATTATATAAGAAAATAATAGATAATAGTGATTATCTGCTTTTATTAAATAGATGAATCATCAAGCATTCTATAAATAATTCGAACCAATATAATGTCTGAGTCACATCGTGCATATATAATTAATTTTATATTCTAGAGATATTTTTGTACATTAAAATGTTATATAAAACATACAACTCTAAATTTGTAAATGCAATTCTAAATCTAAGCTTGTGAAATTCTCACAGATTCTCTTTCCATATCGTATTTATATAATCTCGAAAGTTATTAAAAATTTTATGGAAAAAATGTTTAAAATGATTCGCATCCTTCTTACTCAAAAAGACATGCATTATACAATCAATATTATTTTAATTATGTGATAAATTTATATATTTTTATTTGCTGCATAATAGTTTTGTTATTAATACTGAACTAATGTAACACGACAATTATATCGTCGTTAATATAGAAGAGGGGATTAAACGGGAAACATATTTTATTTGCATTTATATACCGAGATTTTGCAACCAATATCATAAGAAATTAATTCGTGCGAAATAATTTAATGTAAATTGTTTTATCTTATACGTCTCGCTTGCGAACGGCTTTATAAGAGATCCGGATAATACGTAATTAAATCTCTCATAATTAAATCAGGTGATTAAATGTGTGGGAGGGAAAAAAGATAAAAAAATACTTAATCCTTGACATAAGATGTAGTGTTCTCTTTACGATACTTTCTATTTTGTGATATAACTTACATGAAATATATATCACAAATAAAAAATTAAAGAACAAAAATAAATAAGATAGAAATATAAATATTTTTTTAATTTTACATTTATTTTTGTTGAAAGCAAAATTTTTATAAGTAAGGAATTAAACTTTCATCCCAAAGCTGTTGAGTTTCTGATTCATCCAGTACCCTTCTAAAAAAATAAAAGTTGATTGATATTAATATTAAGATATATTCATTGTCAGAAATACTTATATTTACAGTCACAAGATCATACAAGTATTATTTTACATATTATAATTTATTAAGTTATATCAAGAAAGGGAAGTACCATTAATTTTCTATGCAATAATTCCTGTCTTATATGATTGAGCAAATTCTTAACATTTTAAATATCTAAGAATTCTGTACCATACTATCTTGCTAAGCACCTCGAGTCAAATTTGATATCCTCAAATCAGTAACATATTTGTACATAAAAATATAAACATAAATTTTACATAAGGAGATTAAAAAAATAAATTAACTTTATATGCATTAAAACAATATATATATATATATATATATATATAAATATCATGATACCATGATATTTCAATTTCATGTTTCTTACACTAAGTCATTAATTAAAAATTAAAATATAAATAATATCATATTCATTATCAATTGTAATAGGTTATTCGGCCAGTGTATAATATGGTTCCCTGAAAAATTAAAATAAATTTTGTTACTAAATCTTAATACTGTAAGCTCTCGTCAGTTTAAATAAAATAAAATATTGAGAAAAATATTTAGAAAAAAAAGAAAAATTTAAGAATTTTAAAGAACAAAAATAAATTTTTTAAATCTGTCAACATTGGGAGTACTCTAGCTTATATTAATATTTATCATATATTATTTACCTATAATCATATGCTAATCTTAGTTTCTTCCTATAAATTATTGTCGCCACTACTGCAATTCCTAATAATGTAGCAGTGCTTATGATAACTGCAACTGATGTCAATATAACAATATTACAATCTTAGAAAAAATTTATGTAAATGTATTAAAAATGAATACTTACATAATACTTTATATGTAGATACTGATACCTCATTCGATTTTGTTCTAAGGCACTTTGTTATATGAGATAAAGTACCATTAACTATAGGACAGTTCAATTCAAGTATTTTACAAAATAGAGGAAATAAATCTGTATTGTTAAAAGGTTCTAATATACATCCTGGTATAAAAGCAGGTCCATTAGCAAAAAAGAAAGGATGCATCTCCATAGCTTCATTATTATAACCATGCAGTCCAAATTCCGTCTGATTATTAACTAAAAAAAAATAATAAATTGAATATTAAGTGATATGTAATATAATAAGTAGTATATAATAAACACAATACAAAATTATACCTGTAATATTAAATTTTTTTTTGTAATATTCTATAGCAGTGTAAAGATTTTGAAATGCATATCCGACTTCAGCTATGACAAAAATAGGTCCTATACGAGTATTGTTGCCATAATGATACTTTTTTGGGATATCTTCTCTTTTATATACTTTGAATGTCTTCGTTTCTTCTGCGCCTAACTTTAATTTTTGATAAATTAACTCTTCTTTCCCTAAACAAATAAAATATTTTAAAAGTAATATAATATAGAAATATATTAAATCCACTAAGCTCACAATATATTATAAAGTAACCTTACCAGGATTTGGGAAAATATGTAATCCTGGAGATGTTCCTACAAATGTGTAATCGCTAGAATTTATGTAATTTGCTAAATTAATTATCCTTTCCATCGTAACCGATGCCATGCCATGATCGCTTAAGTGAATTACATTGAGATCTGTCAAGCCATAATCATTAATTTTATCATGTATATATCTCGTAATATTGTCCAGTTTTTTTAGAATTTCATTAAATTCAGGACTGTTAATTCCTATAGCATGACCATGGTAATCTGGTTCTTCAATGTACAATATTCCCAGATTTATTGGATTTGTAGGATGTATAAACCATGACATTAATGTGTCAACCCTGTCTTTCCATGGAATTGTGTCATTAAATGGCTAAAAAATTCGAATGTTAATATAATTTCAATATTCTTATAGGATTATATATCTTTTAGGATATTATTCCATAACACACACCTGTGCAAAGGTAGGCGATGTTCCTTGATATTCATACACAGAACCTGGCCACATCATTGTACCGCTATGTCTACCACTTTTCTCATTCACCGTCTATACATTATATCATTAATAGAATACAAATTATATATAAAAATACATTGAAAACAGAAGATACAATAACATTTACTAAATATACATCTTTCTACATACCCAAATAGGAAGAATATTATTATTGTAATGATACAGTTTGTACGAATATTTTGTAACATTATGGTTGATAGGATCGTAAAATTCATTATCTACAACCCCATGTGTTTCTGCATATAATCCTGTTGCCATTGTATGATGATTAGGAAAAGTTTTGGTGACAAAGATATTCATCATATACTCCGTATGAGTGCCTTCTGCTTTTAACTTGCTCATAAATGGTGTGTGGTTTCTCTCAAAATAGTTATACCTACAAGAAAAAAATAATAGTTTTATTTTTAACATTTATATATATAATAAAAGGATACCTTATATATATATATATATATATCTAATTCGCCTTACCTGAACGCATCGTAAGAAACGACCAGCAACTTCGGGTGTGGAGTATTTAATACAGGACCTGCCTGCGCGTTGAGCAAAAAGAAAAATAACGAAACAAATAGGGCTGTAGAAATCATGGTGGTGCAATTTATAGATAATTTACAAAAACGTCATTGGAAAATAGAAATTAATTATTTATGTGACATATCGAAAGTGACAGGACTAACAGGAATATCGTTCATGGTTAGAAGTACCACTTGTCAGTCGTTAATCGCCGACTGGTCGTTCCAGATCAGCTAACGTCAGCGAGAAAATCACGACCAATTAACGTTCACCACTTTCTTAGAACATATAGATATGTTCTAAGGAAAGATGTTCCAATTGCGCATGTCACAGCCATGAACTAATAAAATGACATGACGGAATAATGAGATGAAATTTTAGGCAAAAGATATATCGATGTATCGAATTATCGATAATTCGATATATTTTGTTTCTCGAAAACAGCTGGAATCGGCAAAAGTCAGGGTTATGCAAACTCTGTAATTTTAATTTTCTGCCAAAGTAATTTTCATGCATCGAATGTTTATTGAAGTTAATAAATGTTACGATTTTTATCGTTCACTTTGAAATTACAGAGTTTGAAACGAATAAGTTCTTCTTGTACCAATAGATCATTTAATCCTACACTCACCAGAAGGAAATATAACAAGATGGTGAAATATTTAAATCAGTTGGAAGCTATTAATATTGATAAAGATCTGTTCAACAAATATAAATTCAGCGTTGATCAGTTAATGGAATTGGCTGGACAAAGTTGTGCTATCGCAATTGCAAAATCTTATCCATTGTCAGAAAGCTCTAATAAAGTGCTGGTATGTTGCGGACCAGGCAACAACGGTGGTGATGGCCTTGTTTGTGCCAGGCACTTGAAACTGTTTGGATACTCACCAGAAATTTATTATCCAAAACGACCAAGTAATGCATTATATGAGAGACTGTTGCATCAATGCATTGAGAATGATATTTCTGTACTGGAAAATGAACATATAGAGGAAGCAAAAGATTCTACAATTTTGCACAAATATGCAATCATAATAGATGCTCTACTTGGATTCAGTTTTAAGCCACCAGTGAGAGAACCGTTTATTCGCATCATTAACATGTTAAAAGACACAATTGTTCCTATTTGCAGTATAGATATACCCTCAGGCTGGGATGTCGAGAATGGTCCATCAGAAGATGGAGGCATAAAACCACAAATGTTAATATCTTTAACTGCACCAAAGATGTGCGCATCTAAATTTGAAGGAAAGTTTCATTATTTGGGTGGACGATTTGTTCCTAAGAAGTTGGAATCACAATATAATCTTAATTTACCAAAATATGTTGATACAGATCTTGTCGTTAAACTACAAGAATAAGTACATAGTACTTCACACGTTTAAAAATTATATTTGAATATATCAAGCTGTATATATAATTATTATCACATACCTAAAAAATAATCTTTTACACTAAAATAAGTATATCTTTGAATAATTATAATTGAATGTTTTTTTTAAATTTTTTGCTACTTTGTATATAATAAAATCTTCTATTTTTCCCTAATAACCCTGTGTTTTTAAATTCACTTGTAAATATTAAAATGCAAAAATGTTTTATGAAAGTAACGCTTCTAAATTTATATTAAATATTTCAATATCAAATGTGTTGACTTAATAAAGACAGTAAAAACTACTTAAATTTGATTATGAAGCAGATTACAAAATAGAATATTTAAAATAAAAATTTTATTAATAAATTTCGATGAAATATTTTCTTTCAATACAATTTAATAAATAAAATAAAGCTGAAAGTTAAAATTATCGCATGACACTATAAGAAATAAACTGTCAAAGACGTATATCTTTAGGTTAGAAAATCTATGAGTCGAAGGTATATTTGACGCTAGTTTTGCTTCGAAGCTCAAGATTTTTGCTCTGATTGATCCATTAAACGCTTCGAAGCGAAAATAACGTCAAACAAAATATATAAGCTACGGTTTATTTGACTCTTTATAATAAAAGAAAGGAGAAAAAGCACGCTGTGGAGCATTTGTAGCGTCAAGTGGATCACAGCTGTAGTCATATAAGCATGCTTGGTGATGTCATGTTTGAAAGAGAAGGACAAATGATGTTATTGGTTATTCCATTGCGTTGCCATGTTTCTAGCTAAAAGGCATATCTGATATATTTATAAAATAAATGCATTAATGCCTAACAGTGCACGGAAAAAAAGTGATACCATATCTCTGAAGGAATAATATAAAAAAAAGAAAGATTTCATAAATTTTATAATACGGTTGGCATTTTATTTGCAGCTTACCATTAAATATTGTAATCTTTATATTGCATTATTCTTCAAAGAAAATCTCAGGATTATTTTGCATTAAAAAATGGTACGTACGCATTTTCTTAATTTTACGTGTAATAATATACATTACTCTGGACAAAATTTTTATAAAATATATAATTTTAAGGCGCAAGAGGTTGAAGAAACTATGAAACGAATTCAGTCTCATAAAGGGGTAGTTGGAACAATAGTGGTGAATGCAGAAGGTATTACATGAGATCATTGACATGATTTACTTGTAGTTGTAAACAAAAATTTATAAAATTATATCTGTTTTAGGTATTCCTATAAAATCAACATTAGATAATACAACAACAGTTCAATACGCAGGTTTGATAAGCCAATTGTCAGATAAAGCTCGTTCTGTCGTACGTGACTTGGATCCAACAAATGATTTAACTTTCTTGCGCATACGTAGCAAAAAACATGAAATTATGGTGGCACCAGATAAAGAATTTATATTAATAGTAGTACAAAATCCAGTTGATTGATATTTAAAAGAAACAAAAATATATTTCAAAGTTAAGATTTATTTCTTTGGTTGTTAATTTATTCTGTATGCTACATTGGATGTTAATATCTATTCAATTAAATAAAGAAAAATAAAAGAATAAAATTTAAAAATTATACAAGATGCAGTATTTAATTACTAATTTAACAAATTATGAACTTTTAGAGTTTTTAAATAGTGCTTTCTTCTTTGGTAACAATATTATATTTTTAAGTTTGATAATTGTGAAAATATGTATATATAGTAATTGTTTCTAACAAATTTATTTTTGTATTTAATACAATTATAAATGTACATTTCTCATCAATATAGTATCACAGTATCTTTTTTATAATTTAATTTTAATATTGAGATTGTTTTTATTATTGTTAGTATGTTTTGTATAAAAGTACATTAAGTACCTTACAGTAAGTATAAAAAATGAACAAAGTGAAAAAAAATTAATTAAAATCAAACATTGTGATCAGATTGTTTTGAAAATAAGTGAGGAAAAAAGTATGTATTATTTTAATTATTTGATATCTGATATTGTAATAAACAATTATAGATTAGAAGATTAGAATGTATTTTTTATTTAGTTCTATTTATTTTTATCTTAAAGGAAAAGTATTTTTATATTCATAAAATATAATATCAAATATATATTTTTCTTTCCATTTCCATTTATTTATATATTATTGAAAATATTACGGCAGTTTACATTCTTGAGTATTAACATTATCAAATAATATCACATATGTCAATCTTACACATATATTCTATTAGACTATTATAGTACTCTAAATTCATACAATCTCTGTATAATCTCCTGAGAAATGTTATATCATTTTAAGTCAAAAGATTCTTATCAAAATTTCAGTGGAAAAAAATGTGTAGTTGGTCCCTATTAATTATACATACATATAAGAGTGTCGCACAAATAATTCTATGCAGTCTTTTTAAGATAATATAAAAATACTTATAAGTATAATCAATTAAAATACATATAATTAAAATTGTATGTATTAAAACTCAATAGCAAATAAAAAAGATTTTTTAAGATTATATATATATAATAAAAATCCAACATTTTTATATATATATATATATATATATATATATATATATAAATAAATATATATTTATTTATAGAATAAATATATATTTATTTATTTATATTTACCTATCTTTTTTTTATATGTATGGTAGAAATACAATGTATGAGTTATTTTATTTTGCAAAATTTTTGAAAGTTAAACTATACAATGAAATTATTTCATATAATACCGAGATTCTTTTCATAATAAAGATTAAGAGAGAGTTAGATTTTATCATAAGATTTATAAAAGTCATAAGATAAGGTTAATTGCATATTGTATAGTTTATCTCTCATTTTTTAAAGTAAATAAATATCAAAGTTACATTGCTTGAACTGGTGCGTTTGAAGTATGTTGTCTTTTTGAGGGATGAAAGACAGTATAGTACAAAAGCATTGCTGTAATTCCCAAGAAAAAGGAAATGATACAAATAATAAAGATTATATTAAAGTACCAAGCCTCTTTAACTGCAGGAGGACAAGCATATTGCCATAATAAATTTGCTGCAATATTTTCAAAAAAGCAGATAACATAGAAAGATAGATGTTTCCAAAATGTTTTGCTATCTACAGCATTGAGATATATAAAAATATGAACTATGCCAATAACGGAAGCAAATAATATGGAATAAATGCGTTCTTTAATTGTAGGCTGCATATGTGGTGGATGACTGTAAGTCCGACAAAATTCCAATATTCCATGGGAATCTATCAAAATCCATATTGTCATACTTAGCCAATGTATTATGCAATATATTATGGTATATACAGGCCAGATGCTTGCAATGACACTGAGCGATAAGATCCTTGCCACTACAATCACAATGATAAAAATGATTAAATAAATTTAAAATAAATTTTAAAAAATATATTATTTTGATACAAAGTGTGTGATGAATAATATTTAATTTTGTATATTAATTATTGGATATATGTGTACCTGTAATAAGAAAATGCCAGAAAAATTGTAAAATAGTTCCTATGGTACTGATATTAGATTTATCTTGTTGAGCTAATCGAATGCTGCGATGATAACTAGCCATTGCCCAACCCATGCTCACAAGTGAGCTGATAATGCTACCTGCTTGATGTACCACTGAAAAAAATATAGAAGCTAATTAAGAAAATTATTTAAAATATATGCATACTCATACATAGGCATTTATATAAGATTTATACAATTGAAATATTAATTAAAGTTTGATGTAATAGCAAAATATCTGATTTTGTATCACAGACTGTAAACTTGTACATAAATTATTGTGACAATAAATTTGCAAATAATAACATTGAAAATATCTAAGATAATTTTTTGTGTATTAAACATTATTCTAATTAATTTTACTCTATACTTTGAGATTATTTAGATTTATAAAATACAAAAACATTAAAGCTTAATAATGCAATGAAATAATATATCAGTACATGCAAGATTAATCCTATTATCATAATGCTTTAGCATTAGAGTGAGTTGCAGAATTTGTTGCGGTGCAGCTTCCAAGAAACATTCAAATACCCTTAGCAATGCAACATCTTGATCTTCTTTGAGCATTTTCAAGTAATATCGTCTTTCACTGGTACGATCTCCAGATTTCTCACATTTTCGTGCTTTTAACGCATACTTCAAAGTTTCCCAATAATGTATAACTGGCGCTAATTGGAAGACAACAGCAATCGCGAAATATAATTTACTTGTGATCATTAAACGCGTTGTTTTATGATCATCTAGTGCATCTGCATTAGAATTTCTCTGTACAAACATATTCAGATAAGTTGTAAAAAATATACATAACATACAATATTATTAATATAATTCAATTAGCTGGAGTAAATGAAATAAAATATATTTTACTTCTTTATCTTGATGTTGCATCCTTTTGCTGATTATAACATTTATCAAGGATGGAATCAGGATAAGGCAAATTGTCCAAACGAAATATGTTACTTGGCCAACCAAAAGATATTGAACAGCGATGTTATAATCGAAACACATATCCACAATATGCATAAGTATGGAACAAGCCAGAAGGAAAATGTCCAGCTGGTTTATGCGAGCGTTAGGTGGTCTGTCCACGATGTCGATGTCGACGTCGACGTCGACGTCGACGTGGATAGTCGGGAATACATTAATGAGATGATGAAGATAATGTCTGTGCTTCCTCTCTTCCATGGTCCTCTTCTCTGTTTTTGATATTCCGTTACTTTTCAAACATAAAACACTACTAAAAAATAATTTCACTCGCGTCGTCGCGACACTATTCCATGTTTTTCTTTGTGCTAACCCAACCTAACTTGCTAATCTGTTATTATGAAGCTTGTTTTTTTGCGCATGCGTAGCGCAAAAAAGGAGTTTTAATGCGCATGCGCTCGAAAAATTCAAGATGTCTACGAGCAGTGTGTAATCTGTCAAAATATTTGTCAGACGATCTGTCAAAATATTTGTCATCGATTATAATATTGCTTAAAAAATGTCGGCTATGTTAACTGCCGATTGGTTTCCTCTAGGACGAGACGTATACTTTCGGTAAATAGATCAGATATTAAATTTTTATGACACGCAAGGTTATATTGCATAGTTATTTGTATATACATTCAATGAAATGAAAATTAAAGCTGTACAATAAAATAAAACGTTTGACATTTGCAGAAAATTTGAGCTGTACCCGATATCCTTCCAGCAGGAAATTTCTATTAATAATTTATTAGTGGCTGCTCCTTATGGAGGTTCCATTGCTGTAACGAGAAACCCCAAGAAGCTTGTCAAAGTTCAAGGAGCTAGCAAGCCTTTAATATTACTGTACACAGCATCAGGAAAATTGACAGCCAGATTACAAGTGAGATCACTTTAATGCAAAGACATGCTTTATAAAGAACTATTTATTAAACATTTATTTCCAACTAAAACACATCATTGTTTGTCAAATATTTCAAATTGTTATATAGCCAAGTATTTCTAAATAACATTTTAATTTAATATTTTTTCAGTGGAGCAGCGGACAGTTGATAACATTTGGCTGGTCGCAACAGGAGGAATTGTTGTGTGTACAAGATGATGGAATGGTTCTAATATATGACATGTTTGGAACTTATCAGCATACTTTCAGCATGGGAAATGTAAGCTAACTGTAACATAAATCGTTCTGCTGTTGATGACATTTCTTTATATGCAGTAATCTTTTTATTTTTAAGGCAGCTAAAGATACTAAAGTTGTTGATGCAAAATTCTTCGCAACATCTAACAGCACCGGGATAGCTGTTTTAACATCTACTAATCGTATATTTCTGGTAAACAATGTATCCGAGCCTAAAGTTCGACCAATTACTGATATGCCAAGTAAATATAATATAATATATTTCTACATATATTATATATATATATATATATATATATATATATATTTCTTGTGAATTATTATGACTATTGTTTTTAGGATATGGTGGATCAATTGATTGTTGGTGCATGGTACATTATGATAGGGAAACACAGGTGATTTTGTCAAATAGAGAAGGAATATTTGTAATTCAGCAATCCCATCAAAACACATTTGCATTTGTAAGTATAATATTACATAATTTATAATATCATCATTAATATAATTCTTAACTAAATTTATATGAGAATCGTTATTTCATAAAAGCTTTGACTCATTTTTAGAACAATCTCTTCAGCAACAAGATTAACAGTGTGATAGCAATGACTGTATCTGGTAATTATCGACATATTGCACTCTATGCTGACACTGGACACTTGTATATCGGTTCAATAGACTTCAGGGAGAAATATTGTGAATGCTATACAAATATGAAAGAACCTTTGACAAATATAGCCTGGTCAGTAAAGATAATTATATAATTAGATTGTTGAAATAAAAACTCTGATAATAATTACTATAGAATAATTTTTGAGAAGTCCAAGAGGATACATTACAGAGGATTTTACAAATATTTTTGCAGGTGTGGCACGGAAGCTGTGGTATGCAGCTGGGACAGTGCAATAATGGTGGTAGGACGTACAGCTGAGACTATAGTATACAATTACGACGGTCCGGTACACTTGGTTACAGAAATCGACGGAGTGCGTGTACTTTCGAGCTGCTCCCACGAAATGATACAAAAAGTACCAAATGTCGTGCAAAGAATATTTAGAATCAACTCGACGGATCCCGCTTCGTATCTCCTGGAAGCCTCTAAGCAATTTCAGAAAAAGAGTCATAAGGCTGACAGTTACATAGATCTAGTGAAAGATAAACTGGACTCTGCGATAAAAGCGTGCATCGACGGAGCAAGTCACGAGTTTGATTTTGAAACGCAAAAGATTTTGATGCGAGTAAGTTTAAATAAACATACATTTTATCAGAACATTAAAATTGTAATAATAATTGTCAATCTTGTCAGGCTGCCAAGTTTGGAAAAGGATTCAGCAAAAGAATGGATTCGGAATATTATGTTCAAATGTGCAGAACTTTGAGAGTCTTGAATGCAGTGAGACATCCTGCTGTGGGTATTCCACTAACATATACACAGTATCCTTTTGTATCTCTTGTGAAAAAATTTTTATTTTTTATTTTTAACGATTAAAAATTTATTTAAATCCTTATAAATGCCAGATTTAATGTTCTTACAAATCAAGTACTACTAGACAGATTAGTAGTGCGAAGACATTATTATTTAAGTATACAAATAGCGCGTCACTTGCAATTACCCGAGATTGATGGAGAAAGTAGAATACTCGCACATTGGGCTTGCTATAAGGTAAATTAAATAATAAACAATAAAATATTAAAAGTTATTGTTATTATAAGTTATTATATATCTTTCGAAATACATTTGTATATATACACAATATACATATTTTTTATAGGTGAAACAAACACAATTGGATAAAGAACAAATAGCAGAAGAGATAGCTGATAAATTAGGATATGCTCCTGGTGTTTCGTACAGTGAAATTGCAAAGAGGGCAGCAGATTGTGGGCGAAAACAATTAGCTATTAAAGTAAATCTACTAATTTCTAATAAATATATAAAGCAGTATATGTTTTATTACAATTATATTTGTGTATTTTAGTTAATCGACTATGAACCGCGTGCGCATCAACAAGTACCCTTGCTATTAACGCTCGGCGAGGAACGAGCCGCTTTACATAAAGCAGTAGAGAGTGGTAATACGGATCTAGTCTATACCGTCATTCTGCATCTTAGAGAGAATATGACTCTCGGAGATTTTCAAGTAAGCAATAAAATAATCTATTCTAAGTGCAATATATATATATATATATATAAGATTCATACTTATAATTGATCTGTAATGCAGATGTCTATAATGCATTGCCCTCTAGCAATGGCATTATATATTAAATACTGTCAAAGTCATAATAGAGAGACATTACGCGATATTTATAATCAGTATGACGACTTTCATTCGCAAGCAGTGTGGTTTATCACTGAGAGTTATCAACGAAAGGTTAATAAGATTATAGTTTTGCATATTTGTATTTTTTTACATTGAATAAATAAAGGTATATTGAACGCATTTTTAGAACACCATGTCGAGAGATGCATTATTGCAATCTGCACAAGAAAATTTCAGATTGGCTCGTAATGACACCAATGCATCACTAACAGAAGAACAGATAAAGTTATTAAAGTATCAGAGATCTTTAGAGGATACATTACACGAGTCAATCGTTGGAAAGCCTCTACATGATACTGTAAAAATATTATTATTGCGTAATGAATTGAAATTGGCGGATAAATTACGATCAGAGTATAAAATACCAGATCGGAGGTATATTTCAATTTTTATAATAGCGAATTATATTTATATTTTACTTTATATTAAATAGTATATTTTGACAGATATTGGTGGTTAAAGATACAATGTCTAGCAGAACAAGGTCTGTGGAGCGATTTGGAGAAATTCTCAAAAAGTAAAAAGTCTCCTATCGGCTATGAGGTATAATGATATAAATATCCTAAATTTGCATTATTTTTATACAGTTATATACATTTATTTATTTATCAATTGTAACAAATTATTTTAACCCTTTTTACAGCCATTTGTAGATGAATGTCTCAAATATAATGAAAAATTAGAAGCGAGAAAATACTTAGTCAAAGTTAAAGATGATCTCAAAGTAAAGTATCTAGTAAAATTAAAGTAAGTATATGAAAAAGTTGTACTTTTTTTAAATTAGATATATGTGTGTATGTATATGTAATACATATAATTGCTATTTTTGTGCAGTATGCTGAGTGAAGCAGCAAAAACAGCATTTGATCAAAAAGATACTTCTGCTCTTACATTTGTACTAGCACAATGCGGACCAACAGACAGACAATTGATAGATAAGATTAATATGTATTTAGCTAGTTTTAAAAATTAAAGTTTCTTCACTTTTATTTTATACTTGCGCGCATTTATATATATTATATCATTTGAATTGTATATGTATGTATATATACATAATTCAGATAATATAAATATACACATAAAACAATTCCATAAGGCAGTAAACATTTATAAGATAATTTATACAGATTAACAAAACAATAAATGGTTATTTTAATAGAGGATCTATTACAATATATCTCATTTTAATCAATATCAATGTGTCCTAAGCAAGCTTTTACTCATGCCTATTATAATCTGTACAAAAATGTGAATGTAAAATATTTGTTGTATAAAATAGTCATTTATAACTTAAGTCTGTACACCTAAATATATACATGTGTGTATTCATACATGTATGAATTAATATATATTAAACCTGAGTATCCCATTAATAAAACTTATCTAATTATAATGTCTTTAAAATGCATTTTACATAGAAATATTAAAATTAATATTTTATAATATCTATATCTATTTTGTAATAGTCAATCAATTAACTTATTTAGATCACATAAATTTTGTATGCTTTTCAACAATGTCATTTACAATTAATTGTTCAATCTCATCACCAGTATTTAATTGCTCATTTGTAAGAGACAGAATATAATCTGTCTCTTTGCTTACAATTACCACTTGTTGCTTTCTAGTTTGCAACATGTTTGCTATTACAAGCTAAAAAAATTCAAGATTTAAATATATCTTGGAGAATTTATGAAAAAAAACTTTTAATATATATATATATATATATATATATATATTTATTTGTTAATATATTAATAATAATTACTTACATTATGGTGATATTTATTGAGAGCAGTTCTTGCTTTGGAAATTAACACACTTTCATCAGTTTCCAATTTAAAGGACACTACAAATGCTTTCGGTACCCATAAACTAACTAATGGAGCTAGTATCTTTGGTACTAATTGAAGAGATATAGTTGGTGGTCCTGTTGAGTGAATTTTATGAACTGACTGAAAAAGAATTGATTATATTAAATAATAGAAATATTTCTTTTAAATGTAAAATGTACAAATTTGTTTATATGTTTACCATTTCATTAGAAGGAATGTAAAAATCTGAGACTGCTGCTGCTAAGTATAGAATAGCTCTGTTTTCCATAGGTGCTAATGCTTGACAAGCAGATCGGAGCAGCCAGAGATATTCAGAAAGAGTAGTGAAAGTGAGTTCTAACAATTTCCTTTGATCTAATGCTTTTTTATATTTTTGCAGTACTGTTGCTACCTTCTGTGCATATTCGGATGAAACTACAAACACATAAATGTATGATTTATTAATAATCTCATATTGATTACATATGATTGATTTTATATTATACGTAATTTACCTGTGATAACAGGATTTTCATTATTATTATCTGATATTTCTAGCAAATCTAAAAACTTTTGTCCAATGAAATGTCTTGAGAATGGTTCCAAGGATTTGACTCTGTGAAATATAAAAGTATATTAATATAATATTGATTTGTACTAAATAAAATATATAAGAAATCTCTATTACCTGTACATAAAAATAACTGCATATTCATGCTCTAAGAAGTATTCAGCAGAAACAGATCCTCTTGTGCCTGCACTAAAGTTATCTACAAATCGTACAGTGTTATGTTCTAAGGGTACCGTTGTACCTCCACTCTGTAACATTCAAGAGTTAGAGAAAATATCATAGAAAATTTCTTATTAACTGAATAACATTAAATTGTACTCACTGTTACTAATACAACTTTATTGCCCTCGTCTAAGTGCTTCTGAATAAATTCTTTCAGAGCATTTTCATTTTGTGACAAATCTTGAGGAGGAGGATGCATTGCATAAAAATCTTCCCATGCTGAGACCATTTTAAATATTTATATTGACGATGGTTTAACAGAATTGTTGCACGAACGAAAAATAATAGGAAATAAAAATGCTTGCTTATATAATAGTATTTTATGTATTACATAATAGAAACTATCTCTCCTCTTTCTCTCTCTTTCTCTCTCTCTCTTAATCTGTAATCAACATTGTTAAATATAGCTTATTATTTATCCCCAACAATATTATGTATCTCTATAAATTATAATTTTTTATGCAACGATGCAACAATTTTGATCCATAGATAAATGCGAATTAATGTCAAATTAAGAAATAGAAAGAAAATACGAAAAAAGGTTAGAAACTAATTTCGATGTCAAAGTTTTTTGCAAAAAAATCAGCCTTCACTATTTAACTTCGATCATTAATTAATGTTTTGTAAATATCGGTTGCATAAGAGTCTTAAAATAAATCAAAATCTTTGTATATACTTATATAATGTAAGTGCAACCCTCTGTATTTCAATTGCACATGTCCTCTTCTTTTAGAACCTCATTCTATAGAAACATGAATAAATAATAAGGAAGGCACATAATATGAACCTATCATTTATTTTCTATTATAAGCCAAGATAAAACAAAAGACATAAAGTTATAACAATATATATTGTTAATATTTGTTTTGAACATATGTTTAGGGAAAAAGAGAAAGAAAGAAAAACAGTATTATATATATATATATATATATATATATATATATTATTTCTATTTCATTGACATATATTTTAATAAAATAAAATAACTTGTCGCAAAATAATTAGAACATTTTGTGAGAAAATTATTTTCCTAATATAAGATATATGCAAAATAAAACTTATTCGTTTTCTTCATCAACACTGCAGTCATAAAGTCGTAAAGATATGTAAAGATTATTCTTTTATTAAATATTAAATCTTCTTTGTTTAAAATTACATTACATAGTGTATTTTAATAATAATGGATTTTTTTCAAAGAAATAACTTAAAATTGCAGCGCTCTTTTCACTCTGTCACAATAAGAAGCTAGAGATAAGATACTTAGAGATAGTATTTTACAACAATTTATTCCTACAACAAATACTAGTTTACATGTCGCAGCTCAATATTCAGGTGCTGGGCTTTTCATATTTTTGTAATCCGTTTGCGGAGCGTAAAACTGTAAATAAAAAAAGACAAACGTTAGTATAAACAGAAGCAAACATTCAGAGCAATCTAGAATCTAAAATCGCTGACAATTGAAACAAACTACGATTATTACTCTCACCTTATATTGTTTCTCTTTGTAGTAGTTCCACGGCTCCGCCTCCTTCTTATTCGCCCAGGAGACGTCAGGATTGCGAAGCGCCAGACGTAACGTATATAACACCGCTCCGGCACCTCCTAATCCTATACAGAAGTACAGCGGGATCAGCTGGAATGAGAAGAGAGAGAAAGAGAAAGAGAGAGAGAGAAAAAAATTTATTGAACGTGCGATGAATCGCGCATCTATTAATCATATTTAAATCTCACAGCTGGATGCTTTTTCAAGCTAGCGAAACTCGTTCCCTGCATTTTCATTGTCGAATGGAAGATCTGTACCCTCGAAGAAGTCAGACGAACCCCTTTCCTCGATTTTGTTCGTAATACGGAGTAGCGTAGACTGCAGGGCTGATATCTATCTGGCGTTTGCGTGATGAAAGGTGTCGATTGTCGAGAGTGTGACGTATTTAAATTCAAAACGTGTGAAATGTTGAATATGAGTACTTAAATATTTGCTAAACTTAATTAAAGTTTGTTTAAAAAAATTATCGTTATATATAAGAAAAAAGTTTAGAGAAATAATTTTTATTATATATTATATAATTTTATTATACGCATTTATTTCACATTCCAAAATCTAAATTCCTCGGCTACGATTGGCTCCCGCGCGCGACGCGACAGCCAATCGCTTCGCAGCTTGTCCGCGAGAGCGAGAAGCTGATTGGCTGGCGCGCGGCGAAGTGACACGCGATTGGCTGGGACGTGTCGCGTCGCGCGTTGTGAACTGTCAAACTGAAATGTCAACGTGGGTTCGACGAAGCGACACAGCGGGAACTATTCTCCGTCTGTCACGGCAGACCTCCTTGCTCGATATCATCGTGCGACGTATCCAATGGCGGTATTTTGCTGCTCTGGTAAAGGTGCATTTTCCGTACGATTTCGGGAGACTGGTATAAATATAAATGTTGATCTCAGAGCTGCGAGGAGACGTTACGCGGCCGTATAACGGTAGCAGCCCGTACCTGGCGGTCATGTAATGATCCTGGACACGTCGTCCAGGGTACGTCGAGAATTTTCGGGCCAAATGTCAGAGAAATCATTCTGCTGATCGGATTCGGAGTATTTCCCGTTTTCTCAAAGGAAGCTAAGAATGCGTCGCCGTTAAACGCGTTTTTATCGTAACTGTTAGCTGATATAATTTATCCCGCCACGAAGATGGGCTTCTCCACGAGCCTGCAGGGCCAAGCATCGCACGAGGCGTTGCTGGCTCGCCAGGACGCCGAGATCAAGCTTCTGGACACGATGCGAAGATGCCTTATAGTAAAGGTCAAGTCCGATCGGGAATACGCTTCTACGGTTTCCTCGCTGATCGTTCAGGGAAAGAAAATTGAGCGCAATGAAGATCTTGTTGGCAGTCTCATAGTGCAGGTAATTGTTCATTTGTGTTTACAACTGGTGGTCAGCCGCTGGGTGTCTGGTATCTGTAGAAATGTCGTGTTCTAATAGAGCTGGAGAGATATTATGGACTCTATCGATCAGACGGCGAAATTGATTAAGCAACATGCAGACTCTATTGAAAATATTGTTCTGGATCACTTGAGTACATTGTATACGGAAAGGAGAAAGGCCAGAAAGCTTTATCAAGAGGAGCAGACCTGGCTGACTAATCAGTTTCAACAAGTAAGTAAAAGATTTAGACTCTGCAACAATAAAATATAAATGAGAAAAATTTTTAGTTTTGATTGTAACATTCTTTTACTCACGTACTTTTTTTTTAATTTATTTGGTTTATATTGTTTCTTATATTGTATATTATTTTCAAGTTGACAGATGATGTAACTAGGAAAAAACTGGAGTATCAAAAGAATCTGGAAATATATAAATTAGCGAGGTCACGGTTTGAAGAGTATTATGTAAAATGTAAGTTTTATATTTGAAATTGCTCTGAATGATCCTAAACATATTCGTATAATATAGAAATGATATAATAATACAATACTTTTTAGCTGGTAGAAGTGGCCGCAAGTTAGATGAAGTAAGAGAAAAATATCAAAAGGCATGTAGAAAACTTCATCTAACACACAATGAATACGTATTATTACTAGGTGCTGTGACAGAATGTGAACACGATTTAAGAACCTGTTATTTGCCAAGTTTGCTTCATCGGCAACAAGCTATTCATCAAGAATTTATAACATCTTGGTGAGTTTGGTGTACTTTATTGAAAATATTCTATGCATAAATGGAGACATTAACAAAGAAAAGCATCCTATTACTATATTATTTCTACTATTATTTGCAAGTGAGATTTTAATATTGTTTTTTAATTTTTTTATTTGCATACAATTAGAAATGGAGAAGGTAAACACATTTTTATTATAAAAATTAATGATTATTATTTTTATATATAATGCTTCAAATAATACTCACAATTTTTCAGGAAAGGAGTACTACAGGATATTGTAAAATTTTCGGATTTTACAACAGAGAAATTTCTGGAAACTCATGTACGAGTGCAAAAAATAGTTGATAATATTAAACCTATTGAAGAGTATAGAGATTTTATTGGAAAGCATAAGTATATATCTGATTCATAATTATTTTCATATGTATACCTTTATTTAAATATTCTAATGTTAAATTAAATGTTTTAGGACTAGTCCAGCATCTCCAATCAGATTCACGTTTGACGAGAATCTTGTAGATGATACCTCAGGGAAACTAACGCCAAATAAGCTGACTGTAGATAATCTAACTATAGATTGGTTGAGAAGTCGTCTTACGGAACTTGAAGCTTCTCTCAAGACTACACAACAAAATCGACAGAGCCCACAATTTCTACAAGAAAATAATAGCGACCCTAAGTATATAAATCATCTAATTTTTGTATAATATTATATATTAATGTCAATTTTTTTATTATCACTGAATTTTTTGTTTTCTAATTAATTCGTTTTTAAACGTATTTTTGTATATTTTGTGTTAGGATTTCAATCTTGGACTATTCTCGCGAAAGAGAAGAGCTGAAATTACGTTGTCAGGAGAAAAAATTACAAAGACAGGTGGAAGTCATTAGGAGTGCGCTTAACGAATTAGGCTGTGAAGAATTACCTTCTGGTTGCGACCTCTCTGTGGAAGGCTCTTTCACTGATTCACCTACAAATAATAAAGTAAGTAAAGCATACTTTTTCTTTATTAATTATAGTAATCATAATTTTTTCAATTATAATCTAATATATAAAGTGTATTATGTTCCTGTAGTTTTTTAATATCATAATCAGATCTTGGATAGTTAAAAAGTTATTTTATAACTTAAAAATTAATGCAAAAATAATATCAAATTTAATTAGTCTTTTTCCATTAAACACTAAGTTGCCTGAAATTTTAAGTTAGTGAGACTTGATACTTTACAGAGAAAGAGAGTCATAGACAGTGGTCTGTTTACATTAAGGAGAAATCAACGATTTATGACAATATTAAAATCACCTTTCAAATCTATGCCGACAATTAATGATTCGAAAAACGGACTAATTAGGGCAAATAGTGAAGGGCCTACAGCCAAAGCAGACAATAATATCCCCCCTGTTGTATGTGTTACACTTTATGCGTGTGATATCTGAGTGCTCGTGTGTACGTTCACCGCGCCGAATCGCACAAAATGATAACATGTTCGTTTTTCGTTGTGTCGTTACATAGTAAAATATAGGCTCTACATACAACATAACATATCTTTTTTAGTCTCGACTCTATTGTGAATTTTTGTGTAATGATATACTATCATGCAGACCTAGATAGTATTAAAATTTTTTATTTGATATTTTTTTTATCATCACAAAGATTAATTCAAAGCTCATACGAAAATGATTTTGCTACCAGATTCGAAATTATTTACATACCTTATTACAATTAGAAAATGTTGCATGAATATATATAACAAGGATAATTCATATGTTTTATTATTAAATTATATTTTAGCAAAAAGCATGAAAACTTTGCATACAAATGCATGTTTTTACTAAAGTTTGTGTACACTTATATTTTTATGTAGAAATATATGTTGCAAACATAAAAATACATATGCAATAATTAAAATTGCAAATACAATTATACCACTTATATTTTTATTATTAATATTTATTTAATAAATTAAACTTATCTATAGGTACCGTTGCATTTAACTAACAACCAAAAAGTAACGGGACTGGCGATCTTATAGAGGAGGAGTGGTTTCACGGGGTTCTACCGAGAGAAGAAGTCGTAAGACTACTTGTCAACGAAGGAGATTTTTAGTACGCGAAACAATGAGAAACGATGAATGTCAAATAGTTTTATCCGTTTGTTGGGATGGACACAAGCATTTTATTGTACAAACTTCAGAGGTGAGAACAAGCATAAATAAAAATTTATAAATCAACATCTAAAAATTTAATATGTAATATTTAATTATAATTTAATTCTGATATAACAGAATTATTTATTATTACAAATTTTGTGAAGAGAGAAAAAATAGATTATATATAAAAATGTATTAATTGTAGGGTCAATATAGATTTGAGGGACCTACATTTTCATCTATTCAAGAATTGATCGCGCATCAGTGGCTATCCGGTTTGCCAGTGACTAGTCGATCCGGTGCTATTCTTAAAACGCCAATTTTGCGCGAACGATGGGAGCTTAATAACGATGATGTCATGCTTTTGGAGAAAATAGGTCGAGTGAGTAGGCTGATGCACAATAACTATATTTTACATAGATGCAGTGCTTATTATACATCACAATATAATACGGCGTGATTTGCAGGGAAATTTCGGAGATGTTTACAAGGCGCAACTGAAGACCGGTAAGACTGATGTGGCCGTGAAAACGTGCAAAGTAACGTTACCAGACGAACAAAAACGTAAATTTTTGCAAGAGGGGAGAATATTGAAGCAATATGATCATCCGAACATAGTCAAATTGATTGGTATATGTGTTCAAAAGCAGCCGATTATGATTGTGATGGAATTGGTACCTGGTAAGTCGATAATATTGTTCTAATAATTGCATAGACATCGCTATTGTATTAAAAATTTGCAATACATTTATATACTATTAATATTAATTGCGCTAACTTTAGGTGGTTCGTTACTTACGTATTTACGAAAGAATACTAGTACAATAACACAGCGGGAACAATTGCGTATGTGTAAAGATGCTGCAGCTGGTATGAGCTACTTGGAATCTAAATATTGCATTCATAGAGATTTAGCCGCTCGCAACTGTCTCGTAGGTAAATAGAAATATTAATAATTCTATTTCAATTATTCAGGTGATCTTTTTGAATCCAACAAATTCACTGATAAATGTATTATAATATCCAATGCGATATCTTCTTAGGATACGAGTGCATAGTCAAAATCTCTGACTTTGGAATGTCGAGGGAAGAGGAAGAATATATCGTCTCAGATGGTATGAAACAAATTCCCATTAAGTGGACTGCACCAGAGGCCTTGAACTTTGGTAAAGTCTTTTCTTCATATTTTGATAAATATGACAGTTTTAATGTTATTCTAATACTTTACTGCTGTTTCAGGTAAATACACATCCCTCTGTGATGTATGGAGTTATGGAATTTTAATATGGGAAATATTTTCCAAAGGCGGCAATCCGTATAGTGGTATGTCCAATTCGCAAGCACGCGAAAAGATAGATGCAGGTGAGACAAAAAAATCGATAAATCATTAATTTACAGATCAATATCAATATATATTATTCTTGATATATTTTTTATATTCGTTATTTTATTTTGACAATTTATTAAATGGTTGACATTAGGATATCGAATGCCAGCTCCGGATGGGACACCCGAAGAGATATATCGATTAATGTTACGATGTTGGGAATACGAACCCGAGAAACGACCACATTTCGATCAAATATTCACCGTGGTTGAAACGCTGTCTCAAGCATATCTATAAGTATTAAGAGTACTATTAAGTGGACAAACAGCACAAATAAAAAGTATAAATTGGTGCTATAATTTCCTGACTTATTTTGTATAATTTACGAATTATATAAAATTCAAGTTGATATCTAGAAGATAGGTTTTAAAAGAATGAAATGCTCACAACCAAACTGTATTTTATTCTGTAAGTATATATTTGTATACGTATGTATATATACCATGGATATATCATAATATATCTCTGGTATGAATATACTAGTATAAGAAACACGTATTATATTAAGTTGCCATTATTATACGTCATTGCGAAATCGCGTAAACGCCATTGTTTACGTTTTTCGTAATATATGTTTAATTATTATGTATTATAAATTATTATATATTTCTCCGTCCACACATACACACAGACCCAGACACATACACGCAATAATTCAGCTTATTTTGCATTAAGTGATACTGTTGTCACTTTTCTATAGTTTATTTGGATATATATGTATTTTTATTGTTATGTGTATTCATGATTATAATGCAAAACATTAGTAGACTTATTTATTTAGTTCTATTGTTATCTGTTTTTTTATTAAGTTTTTAGAATCTTTGACATACATACAAGGGACATTATATATACATTAAATTGACAAAAACATATTGGGATACATATCTTGCATTTGTATATTTATTGTAAATTGATTTTTCATGAAAATCAAAATCATGACGAAAATATTATTAATTATGTACATATATATACATAAAGTATACAATTCTCGCGATTCTATATATATTTCTTGTAATTTCTAATATAAAAGTTTTACTATATTTAACTGTATATTTAAATAGCAGTATATAATTATGTTGCATATGTAATGCATCCTGACCAATGTTATTTGTTTAGTTATGTATATAATCATAATATATATAAATTAAGCTTCAACAAATTTATCAACAATATTTAAAAATTGAATATATAATATCAATTTCAACTAAACTTTCTTCTCATACATTTATATTTATATATGTAAAAATTACATAAGTATTAAAAATGTGTAAAATCTTATTGAAAAGAAATATGCAGAAATGTGCAAAAATCACTCATTTATTATTTACTTTAAGTTTTCAAACATTTTAGTCTGATATACACAATTGAGAAATTAGAGAAACTAAAATTAAGCAATTTGCTATATAGTATTTTAATTATAAGAACTCTTCCAATGAGTAATTTTATATTTCATTATTGCTGTGCAATATACAATCGAGCTGGAAATAGAACGTAAATGCGTGTATGTATATCATTTGTTATAAATTTATTAAGTTTACTGTAACATATTCAACATTCTTCCCATATTAATCGATATTAGATGCTCTACATTTCTTGCACTTTTATATAACAATGTTATACATTGCATGCATTGTAAGCAGTCTTTATAAATAGATATAAGACTGTAATATAAAGAAATCCCTTCTCTCTCTCTCTGATGTTACAACTAATATAATTCAACATAATTCACGTATACAGACACAATTTATTCCTTGTTATCACAATGTGTGCAATTTAACGAAAAGACGTGTATCTTGTTTCCATATACAAATACTCAATGTTGCTGTAAAATAACAATAAATTAATAAAGACTATACATATTGCTCTTTTACAAAAATACATTCTATATTTCCAATTAATTTAATCTTTACATCCTCATAAAAAAATGAGAAACTTATTAATAAATTACACATACACGACATTCTTGTATTACAAAATTTACGACTCACCATTTGTATGAAAAAACTTTTCAAATTATAAGTATAATTTAATGAGTTCGTCGCTAACAGCCGAAGGCGTTAAAATTCCCAAATCAGTGAACAATAGACTGATGTAGTGAGGTGGAGTATAATCCACTAAAGGATGTTCCTTTTTCAAATTATTATTTAAAGTACTGGATGTATACTGCAATGATAATATTACATATTTTTTAAGCAGACATCAAAACTCTCTTGCATTCTTTTTAATGGAAATAAATCACAATATGGAATAGAATTAAATCACAATATAAAAATAAACATATATTTACCTTAAACTCATTAGGTAAATCTATTTGATTCAAAGGATAAATTCTCGCAAATTTAAAACTTTCTGTTAGTACATAAAATGGTTTTTTTACTTCTTTTGCACATATTGCCATTGTATATGTACCTATCTATAAAAAAATTGAAAAATATTTTTAAACAATTGTACATTGTCAATTATACACATTTCCAAGTATTACATACCTTATTAATTACACCACCGCTTTCTGCAACACCCTCTGCTCCAACCATCACCATATCTACTTGCTCCATCACATATCCAACTGCGGAATCTAATATTACTGTACATGATATTCCCAATTTTGTTAAAGTTTGACACATCTCTTCTCTGCTCGAAAAATTGAAGATAAAATATAGTTTAGATAAAAAAGTATAGATATAAAATTTATAATTGCAATAAAAAACATTTTTTGTGTAAAAGAGATTTACACATACCCTTTATTATCTGGTGATGATGACGTTACATATACTTCAAATATTTTATTACTTGCAGCAGCTTCTTTCATTGCTTGTAGTACTACTCTGGACTTTGAATGTGTAAGTATTGTCTAATAAAAAATAAAACAATAGAAAATAATTGTGAAAATATTTTATATGTTCTTGAATATTTATCCTTACCGAACCATCAGTAATAAAATTTGCTGCTACTTTAGCTACTTTTCCTCGTGCTGCAACTAATTTTTCATAGAATACTTTGCCTCTGTCCAGCATAATTCCTTTGCATTCTGCAAATGACTTAAATGCATACTAACATTAATAAAATAGATACATTTTTATAATAAAAATAAATATTAAAACAAATATAATCTATAATTTATTTTTTTTTTAATATATATTTTATTTATATATATTTAAAAAAATATATACATAAAAAGAGAGTATCCAAAATAAAAATATTAATATTCTTACAGGAGAATCTAATGTTGCTAATGTGATAAAACGCAGAAACAATTCACTTCCTGAAGCAATTGCAGTAACTGGAGTTTCTGTGGAGCGCATAGCATCAATTGCATGTTGTAAGCAAATTCGGAGCTCTTGAACTGTTTCAGCTATAATAGCAATAAAAACATGTAAAATTATCATTTTACTCTGATCAAAAACATTACATTTTTCAATACTTTATTATAATCAAGAATTTATTAGTATAAATGTCAGGTACAATATATATATATGTAACTTACAATATATGTTTACATATATATATACATATTGTAAGACATATATATATTAAATATATATTTGTTATAAAATATATAAATATAGAATATGTGTATTATATATTTACATTTTGAATGTTCCAATACTTTTAGTAAGGTACGAATGGCAGCCATGCCAGCAGATACATCCTTCTCATTTTTAATAATATCATTGAAATATCGAGAAATTTCTGTAATTTTAAAACATATTTAAAAAATTATTATTGACGAGAAATTCTTTATAATATTTAATATATTATTATTCATATTTATAATCTATCGATTCACATATTGTTAGTAAATATTTACAATCTACTAATTCTAGTACCTTTCTTCTCCATTATTGTTATTTTCGTACACACATCCAATCGTTTTATAAAAATTAATTTAACAGATATATAATGTGTCTAATGTTTATTTTAAAATAATGTAAATCGAAGAAAATAAAATATTGTGCAAAGTTATTTAACTTAACCTAATTTAGATAGATTAATGTTGATAGCAGACTTCTTTTTTCGCGCATGCGCATTAAATCATCAATCGTAGAATAGTCATTATTGAGAGTGGAAACATACGCCTCAAATATTAACTTCAAATAAGTTTTGTTTGCTGCTGAAAGTTTCGAATTGACCAATCAGCAACGAGAATGACAAAGTATTTTTCGTTTCTGATTGGTCAATCAAATTTTCGAAATTTGAATGCAACGTCCAATCTTTCATAAGAATGGAGAGAGGGAGAGAGATATTTAATCTATATTATTATCAAAATAATTTGATCGGATTTAATGTTTAATCTGTCAAATCGGTGTTTTAAATTAAAATTTGTGTTTGTTATATAACAAGTCTAGATGTAAATAATTTTCTCGAGCTGAAAGCACTCTCTTGTAAAAAGAAAAAGGTAAAATATTGTGGGCAGTTGTCAAATGTGTCAAAACGGTTATTGCGTCTTGTAATACAGCTGTCAATTAAGAACGATACGATGGAAGATAAATCTGAAAATATTTTAAAGAATAGCGCTAACGATGCTGATATAGAATCCAGGGTAAGTTAAATATGTGCTTGGGAGATTTTACCTGTTTGGTTATTTCGAAATGACATTTTGCATGTATATTTCTAGGCAATATTAAAGAGGAAGTTGCAAATGAAGTCAGAAGCGGTTCTACTGTTGAGTCAAGAATTAGATCAATGTAGGACGCAACGAGATCAATTTAAATCAATGGCAGAACAAATTCAGGAAAGATTTCTGCATTTGAGGAAGCAGATGTGTGAAACCAAAGAATCAAATAAGTAAGCAATTTCAGAACAAAATTTAACATTCTCTCATTCTTTCTTCTTAGTTAAGCAAGTAAATATTTTTGCAGATGCTACAGTTCAGATGAAGATTTTAGAACCTTGGATTTATTGACAGAAGCACGAGAGCAAAATAAATGCCTCAGGCTACAAGTTGAAACATTAAGGCAAAAATTAGCAGATGCCGAAGGTGATATTAAGGCATTACGTACAAATAGTACTCGTACACCAGTTGAGCAGCAAGATGCACAACTTGCGCCAGCAATGCATCAAAGGGAGGAAATGATAGAACAATTAGAAAAGTTAAATTTAAAGGCAAGCATTACCTAAGAAAGCATCTAATTAATTATTTGTTATGGTTTATATTTCAAAATATGTATGTACAAGATGTATTGTTATTTGAATAACATTGATTTCTACAGTGTTCACAGTTACAAACAGATCTACAAATAGTACTGGATGAGAAACATGAGCTGGAGATGGAAAGAGATGCCTTTAAGTGTAAGGCACATCGTTTGAATCATGAGCTATCTAAAGCTTTGAGTGCTTCCAAACCAGTTGATTTGGATGCTCTTATTAATGAAAATAGGTAATTAATGATAACCTATAATTATAATTAAAGCTAAATATTTGAATTTTACTTACTGTAAATTTATTTTAGATATCTACAAGAAAGATTGCAGCAATTGCTTGAAGAGAAAGAACTTACACGTCAATCTCTGTCAAAGTACAAGGTAGATTGACTAAAGAAGAAATTATTGCACATTAATTTATGATTATTTGTGATATATATAATTTTTTTTCAGAGTATGTTGGATAGTAAAAGGGCTAAAGGAAATATGAAGTTAGGAGTAAATTCTGCTGCTGGAACAGTCATGACTCACAAACAAGGTAAACTGTGTGTTTATCTGTATATGAAGACATTTGCCAGAAATTTTTAAAAGAAACAATTTTTACTTTTATTAGTTGAACAACTTCTTCAGGAAAGTTCTTATATACCACCGCAGAAATCTGCTGCTGCTGTTACTGATCTACGATGTCTTTGTACTGCCTTGTTAGAAGCTTTAAATGACAAAACTTTGGCTCTAGCACATCAGAAGAAAGCTAATAAGTAAATAGTTTTATGTTGTATTCAAATTTGTGCAATTATATAAATTAATTTATATATTTATGCTGTTTAGAATATTGGCACTGAGGATTTGTGAATTGGACAGTGCAGTGCAGTCACCAACCATGAAACTCTTGGAGGGATACACAAGTGCCAATGTTGATTTAAGATGTGAGTATTAATATGCAATTTTAATGTATAATTATTACATATTATCATTATTATAATTTTTTACAGGTGATAATGAATTTAATGATTTAGATCACACAACTAATTGTAATATGGATAATATTGAGGAAAACAACATTATAACAAATGAGAATAACATACAGTGTAGCTCTTCAGCTGAGAGTCAAGTTATGCATCAATTGCAGTCGATACAAATGAGTCTTCCAAAAAATTTAGGTGTATTAGTTCAAAAAGCGTTAAATAATCTGAAGGATAATGATAAAAAGAAGATATGAAATTAGAAATGTTTGATGTACAGAGAAATGTGTCAACGTGCCTCCCTGTACAAATATGTATATATAAAACAAGTTTCTGTAAGTAGAAAGTGCTATGCTTCATTGGAGCATTGCAATCTTTATAAAAATCTAGTCTCTCTTTAAAAATCATATTTATTTAGAAATACAAACTCAATATTAAAGATTAACTTATTGTAAGTGTTGACACAACATAAAGTGCTACTTAATATTTTCATCAAATTTGCAGTTAACATATAGTAATTTCAAAATTTTGATAGAGATGACTTTATCGAATGATGAAAGACAATTTATTATACAACATTTGTTGTAGCAATTTGACATATCATTTATATGTAGCATCGTAATACATAGGTTGACTATAGAATCAATGTATTAGGTGATGACGTTTCCAAAAGTATCTTTTGCTTAAGACACTATCCAGCTGATCTAACCACGAGTCAAATTGTACTAGGTCGCTCCATAAGAGTTGTTGGTCCCATTGATCTTTTTAATTGTTAATAAGACGCATTTTCCCTATGTGAATATATGTACATACGTACTAAAATATATAGAAATGACATTCTGCGCAAACGTAATATATTTATATTACATCATTATTAACTTTGCTTCTTTTAACATTATATTCTTCTGTCTTTTCCAGACATTGAAAGCTTGGTCATTAATAATGCGTCTTTCGTCGTTTTGTCTCTGCAGAATTTTTATATTTGTTTGTTGAATCATTTGTAACTCTTTTAGCTTCCTTTTTGTTGAATTTCTTTTTCTTTTATTATTTGAGCATATGCCTGAAGATTAAAGAAACTCTTAGAGGAATTAAAAATAGAGTATTAGAGATATTTTAAAGATGTCCATATTAATATTTAGATGATACAAATGAAAAGATTCCCACCTTCTGAGAAGCTTTCTTACATTCGATCTCTTCTAATTTTTTCTGTAACTCTCGTTGCTGTTGTTCCTCCGCTTTCTTCAGCAGTTTTCTGTATATCAAGTTTTTTCCCCTCTTCCAAGACTCGAAGGATAATTTTCTCCTCATTTGCTTGGCTAATTTTCTGTTATAGAGAAACGTGAATTTCTTTTTATATATTAAATAGCGAATATTCATAATTTTCTGAAAAGAAATCTTGAAGATATTTCTATTATATAACAACAACAACAACCCTTTATTTTGTTCCTGATTTTGGTGCTCAGTGATATTACTTTTCAATTTCTTCTTAGTTTTCCCTGTTTGAGTATCCCTTAAATCGACTCCGTTCGATATATTCTTTGTTAAATTGTTTGAGGGACATGATGGTACCTCCTGTAAATGTATCATTCTTATTTATATTCAACATTATTCTTGTATATTAGCTTTTTGAAAATCAATTAATCTCCTAAATATCTTTTACATTTTTTATTCTATTTCTTGTATCTCTTAATTCTTTCATTTTCTCAAAGTACCATTCTTCGTAGATGGCTTGGTGCAATTTTGCTATTTGATCTAAGTCGTAATATGGTTTAAATGGTGCAATTTTTATAATGCATTATATAATATAATATATATTAGACAATATAAATAAATAATTAACCAGAGTCTTTGAGTGCTACGTTGATCATTTGCTTTATATTTTCCAAATTATTATCAGAAACACTTTTTATTTTCATTTTGATGAGGCCTTGCGACAATATCTTAATTTGTGTCTTATATTTTTTATGATATGTATAAAAACACTACGAATTTAATATTTAATTTTTTGAAGTTTTAATGACACATTAATTTAGGTAGTTAAAATATGCAACTAGGATGTATTCTTCATATGTTTTTGAATATATATATATCACTATTTTTATTATTTATAGGTAAATTAAAGAAATAGATTCATAAAGTACATCTTCTATGTGTATAGAGCTTTAATTATATATTATATACATAAATAATGATAATAATTTATTTATAAGTTATTCAAAGAAATATATATATGTATATATAGCACATTTGTACGTTCGACAAAGATATGGATGCTAGATATTTCTGTATTTATGTACACATACGTTGAGAAAATATCGAGGAAAAGCTGTATATTTATAAATGTAATCAAATAGATTATATAAAAACGACGGCACACAATAAAGTATAAAGTATATGTTACAGTTTGACATTTTCTAAGATCATAGATATTTTATAATCGTTGTACAGAAATGTGTCTTTACGTTATTTAATTCACGTAGAATTTTTAAAATTATAAAAAAAAAACAAAAGTACATATATATTACAAATCCATATTATGCGCCAAAGCATCCTGGCATTTAACACATTACTTAACATGGAACATCGAATTGATGAACTTCCTCAAATACTTTTGTGCGATAAACCTGCAAGTAATAGAATAATTAGAAAAATTATTCAAATATCTTAAATCAATTTCTAATTTTGAAAAATTATTCAGTCTCGTAGAAACGAATACATGCTAATATATCTTAATTTTTTTTACAGATTCTTATAGAAGAATATATATAGGTACCGCTTCTTCCCTACACTCCTGTGTTGTCCTCGTGTGGTGTCACTTCATATTATTTTTAATCCAATCGGTATACTCCGAGACACGCGTGTACACGCCCGGATAACCGGGTTCGCCGCACTTGTTGCCGAACGAAACGATGCCGATCTGCGTCCATCGACCCTCGACTCGCAGCATCAGTGGTCCACCCGAGTCACCTTGGCACGCGTCCTTGCCGCCTTGGCTATAACCGGCGCATAAAAAATTGCTGGTGATAGGTTGAAAATAAGCCGCATTGCAGTCCTCGTTCCTCCAGACCGGCAAGACCGCCTGTCGTTGAACGGTGCTTTCCTTCCCACCTGTTACACCATCCTCATTACATCAAATTTATCACGAATACGGAGAGAAAAGAGAAGGAAAAATTGAAGTAATTTTTTAAAATAAAAATCTTTTATTATTTTTATTTTAATTAAATTAATTATAATTTTAATTAAACTTGTTTATATTTTGATCAAAAGATTAATTCTCAACGCTTCTGCTGAATTAGATATGCATGAGATAAAAATTTAAATTACACACTGTGTCAGCTATATAATCAATCAAAGAGAGAGATATTAATTACCATAATAAGTAGTGCCCCAACCAACTACAGTTGGTCTGGCGCCGGCGAACGGTTCCCCGCGAAATCGCGCCTGCGGCAAGCAAATGGGTATTATGTACGGTGACCTTCTTACTGGTCTGGTGAGCTCGAGGACGGCGATGTCGTTGTAAAACCCGACGCGCGAGAACTTTGGATGCGCGTGGATCTCCTTCACCGCGTAGGTTTCCGGCGATGAGGGTTCGTCATCCCTTTCCAGATCGATGTCGCCAAGACGTACCGTGAATTGACGAGCAGCGAAGCTGTAATATTAAGAAATATATCTTAGAAATACTTATATATATATACATATATTTTTAATTTTTATCTTTCTAATTAAAGTTCTCTGATTAAAGCTATTATTGGAACGTTTCTTACGGCCGCTGTCGCTGATCTCGAGTGCAATGAGCAGCGGTAAGGATGTGGTGCGGTCCTACCAGAGACCCTCCGCACCAGAACTCCGTTCGTCGAGAACCATGAAGGAAGATCGCCGCCATCCAGGGCCAACGACCGGGCAACGCTTCCTCGCCTCCGACCACACGGTATTTTCCCGAATTTCTCACTCCGCATTCTACAAACAAACGAAAACTCTATATTCTTTTCTGGGAGTTACAAGTGTTTCCAAGCTCTTAACTATTCATTGGCAAAAGATATCGCGGAGGAAATCATTAAGAGTTTAATTATTTTTGAACGTGTTATACGAGAAAATGTACCGTCATCGTCTTGAATAAAATTGTTGTCGATCGTTCCGATCATTTCGAAGCCATTCGTGTTATTGCTCGATAAGTCTGACGATGAAACGATGTGTGTCGTAGGTCTTATAGTCGAGGACGTTACCGGGTACAACGGAATCGGACGTGGTGTAAGGGGTTTCGTGGGTCGAATCGGTGGTCGTGGAGAATGTCCACTGTCAGTTCCAGAAATCGCATCTCCACCGACATTTCTGTAATATTCATTTGCTTAAGTTTCGAGACAATAAATGAGCTATTTTAATTGTTTGGAAAGATTTTGTTATAAAATATATATGTGAAATTGTGTAGATGAAATCTCGTTCACAGAAAATTATATAAATTTTCACTTACATAGGAATAGAGGGAATGTCAGCTTTATCCAATGGACAACAAACTCCTGGCACGAATAGACTCTTAAAGCACAAAGATTGCCTCAGCTTAGTGAGATCGAGTAACAATTGCGGACAATTGCTGAGATCCTGGCACTTTCCCGGTGCACCCTCGGCCGTTGTGCACGCGGATAGAGTGGACTCCTTGTCTCTGTTCGACAGTTTTTCCGCAGTTTGCTGCTGCTGCTGCTGTTGCTCTTGAACTGGTGCTTCACTTGTGGAGGATGTAATCGTTTGTCTTAGTGGCAATGCGACACCGCGCACCAAAGGTGCGATGCTATCTGTCACGTTGCGACCTAGAAAAAGAGTAAGTTTCATGAATTTATATATATATATTATTAATTAATTAATAATTAACTAGCTCGCAAAGAATTAATAGAAAAAATAAGCAACATATAATATATTGATTTTTGTATATTACCTAAGATATTCTTGGAGATGGTGTACAACGCCGAGGGTAGTTCCTTGGGCGGATAATTCGAGATCTCGACGCCCCTCGTCATATTGACGATATAGTTGCCCACGGTGTTTAAGGCGCCCAAGGTCTCGCTGATGGTCACCAAAGGATCGCTCTGCTCTTGCTCGACCTTCACCAGCTGCGTGTAGGGACGTACTTGCGTGTCCCTGCGATATATCGGCCTGTCTGATCTGCTCGGTCCAGCTCGATCCCAGGAGTGCGGCCATCCTCTCGTCGGCGAGATGTACGAGTTCCTGTATCCGTACGCTGCATTGCGACATTACCTCATATGAATCAGAAGCGAGTAGAATCATTATAATAATAAAGATAATTTAGTAATGAAAGTAAACAGAGTAAGCGCGACGAAGCGAAAGTGCTTTATTCATTTTTTTTATTCGTTTAATCGTCATTATCGTGCAGAATTTTGTAAAATTGTATAATCATATAATATAATCACGAGTGTATCACTTAATGTGATACAATCGCGATTATTCTGATAAATCACAGTCTCATTTACGCTCTACTTTCCTTTACAGAAGTCTCGAGACGCACCAGATGGATTTAAATAGTCGATAATTGATGATGTACACGACCCATCAAGGTGATCATATATTACGAATGACGTTTACATTAAACGTGTCTTGTCAGGATGAAAATTACTTACGGTAAGTGTGATAATGCACAACTTCTTCAGTATACGAGATGGAGCCGACAAATAGACTCCATATTATACATAGGCCTAAAACACGAATACATTATTAAAATGTGAATTATAGACATAATCTTACATAATTTCACGTAAATAATTTATCAATCTATTGTATAATGCATTTAGCATCAATATGAAACGATGCATACAACTTACAAAATTATTTTGCGCATTATTAACTTTGCGTTTTCAAAATTATTCATTTTTATTATTTTGCATAATTTATTTTTATTTTTATTTATTATTGTCATTCATTTTAGTTAGGTACATTTAGTTGATACAAGAAAAGTTTAAATATAAGAATTAATTCTAATTTTTAATAATTAAATTATATCTATTTTTATTTTTTTTCTTCATTTCTCTATTGCGTTTAAAATTGATATATAAAAACTTCAGATCCCCATGATGCTGCGGACGCGCGAAAATTATCTCCATGTTTATTCATGAAGAATTACGAAGTCATTCGTAATAATCTGTCATCGGGAATACCGATTTAACACACGTCGTCCATAATAAACAGACGTGTATCGCATTATGCAAGAAATGGAAACGCATGCACAGCCATATCCGACTTTCCGATTTTCTCAGAAATCTGTCGAAATCTCAAGTAAGTACGTCATGCCTCGTTCGGGATAAACGCGAGAGAGGAGTCTGGACGCTCGCAGATCCGTCAAAAACTTTCTAAAATGAAGAAGAGGAAATGTTTATAAAAATGAGTAATATTTGAAAATGTGGTCACGCTTATTACAAGAGGTAGAAGTCTCATTAAAGATACGTGATAATTAAAGGTACATGAGTGACGTGGACGGGAGAAAATTTCGCCGACATACCACGAGTATATTCTTCGCAGGTGTTTCTAATTAATACCGCAATTATGTATTGAGATACTTTGATTAGAGTTTATCTTAGATCGGGATTCGCAACGCGTTTCATTTCGACCTTGTTTCATACATCGGCCGTTCTCTCGTTAATTAGGTGAAATTAAGTCGAGCGTTAAACATCGTCGAACCTCCCGGAACCGCGAGAAAAAGAAAGATGCTAATTCGCCTTGAGTCCGGGATCTTCGTCAACGGATGATTCTTCGATAAGGATCTAGTTCCGGTTTTAAAACTCGATTCATTGATTTATCGACGCAAATATATATATAGAGAACATTTCGACTTGTTTTTGATTAATTCCAAAATAAAATAAAAATCAGATCCTCCCTTGCTTTTAATCTATCATTAATTTAAATTGATTTTAATTTATAAAATTATTATAATTAATAAAATATTAATGAAATATAGAGACAATTTCGACTTGCTTTTGATTAATTCCAGAAATAAAAATCATATCTTTCCTTGCTGAAGACAAAGGAAGGAACGAGACAATGGCTGATTATATTAATGGTCTCGAAAAAAAAGAAATACAGTCAGTTTTGAAGTAACAATCGTGACCTACTTGCTAAGAGGGAAATGTTTTTTTAAATTACAGATCGGGATCTTAAAAAATCATATACGCGCGAATGACACTTCCTCGAGCCTTGAGGTCCGGGATCGGGGGATCGAATAAAATGTATATAATTAAAAAATTACGTGTCCAGATCGTGTGGAAGCAAGATCCTTCGGAAACTGGTTATGAACGCGGGTCTCCTCTCATTGACGGTGAAAGTTGCCCAGCGTGAAAGTGTGCCTTTCTTCTTCCGTTCACTGATTCACGTCACCGTGATATGTCGGAGGAGCGACAAAGACAAAGATTTATCCTTCGGAGGAAATAGTAAGGGGGAAATCCAGCTGTACAAGTTGTTACAAGGACCCCTTCTTCTGATAACACGTGTATCTGGATTATCCGAGTAACTCTCGCAAACATGCATGCGGGTTGAATAACGTCAAAGTTGCAATTGTATGCTTGTCTCTCGTGTGCGACCGAGATTACCGCAGTTATACATTATAATTATGTCGCTATTATTACTGTAAACAATAGCGATGTATAATTATGATGTGTAACTGTGATATAAATCTGTGTCATACTTTGGTGACTTTTGAGACTTTTTTCTATCTTCCGAAAAATTATCGAATCTGTTTTTCAGTACAGATTTCAATTTCAATTTTTTAAAACAAAAATGTCAAGATACTTTTGATTTAAATTTATTTTATTTTAATATAAAATGATTCCGGTAAATGATAGGATTATATTAAATTCAAAGCCTTAAGAATTTTAATTTGAAAAATTTGATTTTTTATAAAGATATATATAAGATTAAAAATTAGTCAAAAAGTATGCTACAAATAATTACATTATTTCTTGACATTTTCGTTTAAGGATAATAACTTTCTTCTTATCCCAAAAAAATCAAGAATTCTATGGAGATGTTTTATAAATAGAGCGATAATACTTTATACGTCCTAAATAGTATATCTAATAATAAATTTATACATTTAAGAAACGATAGAATAACACTTTCATACAATAGTCTAAATCACTGTTATATGAAGGTATTATTTTGTCGCTTTTTAGACGTTTCATTTAAGATTTCGTGACAAGGAAAAGTGCGTCTCTTTTCTAAGTTTCAATCTCTTTGTGTCACATTATATGTGTATATATGTATTACGTATATGAATACATAGTACATACCCACGCAGTAACCCAGATACATATATGCTGGGCACTTATGTGTGCATGATACCTGCGTTATCCGCAGTTTTATTTGCGACACCTCGATGAAGAAGAAAAAAAGGGGAACACGTCCGAATATAAACCGTTTTATGGCACTCAAATCTCCAAATAAAGTCTCTCTTAATGTAACATTTTACGACACTTGAATTCAGGCAGTCTACTTCCACAGAAAATGTTCATTTTAAAAAAGTTACATATTAATATATATGTAAAAATACATTTGCATATACATATATAAGCGAAAAAAGAATTCAATTCTTTTACATTGTATATAACAATAGAATTATATATAAAATTTAATTTAATTATATCATAAATTTTATAAGAATTTCAAAACTCTGAAAAGTAAAACTGAAGAGTGAAATTCCGTTGTATCTTAGTAGGTTGCCGAAATTCTGTATCATTAGACAGTTTGCAGTGATAAATTAATGAGAAAGTGAGAATTTGCATGAGACACAGTATTTATAAATATATGATTGAGACTATTTTCAAGCTAAATGCATTTATAACAAGTGAAAATAAACTCACGATATGCAAAGTCGACAGTAAAAAGAAAATTAGAAGTGTTTTTCGAGTTTTTGAAAGATGTTTTTAAATATTTTTTGAAAAATTATATTTAAATTAATTATTTTTTTTTCTCTTTTTGTTATTTGATTCGTTTGTATGTTAAGAGAGTTTTTAATTCTATTTTATAATCTTTTATTTTTTTAGCATTGTTTTGACATATATTACACTTTTTTCAGATTCACGTAGATGAAATAATTTTCTCAGATGAAAAATAAAGAATTTCGATTTAGAGAATGTTTAGAGAAAGCGATCTTACACACAGATATGTATTACTGAAAAGGCATGCAAATGTGGATCGCTTTCTTACCCCACAGTCTTCATCGGCGCACTTAACATACCAATTTCAACACAGTTTTCACTTTTGAAAACTAATCCGAGCTACCGGTCACGCTCAGGCGTATATCAATAATTCCGTCACTATCGCGCGTGACGTCCTATCGTCAATTACCAATTCACTAGATGATTATCAAGTACCGTAGAGTGTCATCAGCTTCAAAACACATTGCCTTCCGCATCCCTCCGTGTCTAATTCCTAATACTCTTTGAGATGCGCACTCGCAGATGCAAAAGAGGATTTCACTTACTCAGGACCGCTGGCGATGACATCTCCGTTAGAAAAAGAGGAAAACCTGTTGTCCCGCGGACATCCCCAGTATTTGTGCAACCTGTACCCGGGGTACGAGAGCCGCGACGCCGAACTATTTTAACTAAGAATGTTTCGCGTGATCAGCGGGAGAGCATCGACGAGTTATGCATGATTCGTCGAGTGGCGGAAAGAACAAAGAGAGAGAGAGAGAATGAGAGAGAGAATGACACAGTCGGCGACGTAAGAGAACACACGAAGCGGTAAGATAAGAAAGAAGTAAAAAGGAGAAATGATCCGTGAACAGAAGGAAGGAAGCGTGCAATCGCGGTTGCACGGGACAGATCCACGACGAACTGTCCGTGAAAAGACCTCGACACACTTTACACTCTCGACGGTGGACCGCGATCGTTTTGCGCGTTCACTCTCTCCCGTTCTTTCTCCTTCTTTCTCCGAGGCGCCGGTCTTCCCTGCCGTCTTCAAGGGAAAGTGGTGCTCCCTCTACTACTCGCCGCTCCATCCGTTTTTCAATGACGATTCGTCACATAGAAATGTCACGGAGTCTCGTCTTTAACAGGTGCGTGTACCGGATGTTATCGCTCGTCGTTTCTCAAGCCCGCTGCGAAGATAAACGATTGTCGAGGAAGGGAAGTTTCCGGCGAAATCTTCGGGATATAATTCGGGATGGCAAAGTCTCTTTAGTTCTTTTTACGCTGAAAAAGAGAAAAAGTGAATTGAACGTATACAAGTCGTAGTATTACCTAAATTTATTTACGTCGTGATAGTTTCTGTTACATCGAGTTCGTGTGTTCTGTTGTATAAAGCGTCGCTATATGTATATACCACATTATTCAACATATATAATTTATCCTCTGTAATGGAATTTTAATATACAGATCACCAATATATTCAGAGAAAGAGAGAGAGAGAGAGAGAAAGAGAGTAGGTCTTAAGAATACAATTATGCGATATATCGTTCCTCATTCATTTTACATTCTATTAGGACGAACTAGTTTAAGATAAACAGATGTACTTATAGCCTTATAGCATCTCTCTCTTTAAAATCGATCACTTCCAGTGAAAACAGCTCTGACCGAGGCGATCAATGTTTGTAAATCAAATAGCAATTTACAAACTGATAGAGAAGTAAAATAATTGTATTTTGTTTTGTGATGACACATCGTAGAATCTATTAACACATGTACAAAATTACCGTTAGATAATTACGTTAGAAATTGTTAGAAACGTTTCGTGTTGCACGCCGAATGGACACAGAAGAGAAATGATGTAATTGCAGATTATGAGACAAGTGTTCTTCTTCGACATTATCATGCACGAGATGTGACTTGAAATTCAAGCATTTTGTAGATTCCGATAAAAAAATATCAATATTGATAGTATGTATATATATATATATAATCATACGAATCAAGCACAATATTATGAAATATCGGCGCGATTTGTGCGGATAATATTTCAATAATCAAAAGAGAAGAATCCTTATACGCGTCCAAGACTATAAAGAACTCGCATAACAGTAAATAATTTACAGTCTATTGTAATTTGAAAATAAACGCACATTATACATAAAATCAATCCGCACACTAAAAGTGTAATCTACACTTGTCAAAGAATGTTTCTACGAATTTCGCAAACGTACGGACATTCGAATGAGATATACGTGATGTAGGTGAAAATTCACACGGCCGGATAATCAATATTTTCTCATAGGCATGGACGATTTATATGCATCAAACCGTTCGTATGAAGGCGCCGTTCCGGGTGCGGTCAGTCCCATGGATTGCATCGGTCCGCTTTGATACGTCGGTGGAATCGGATGCCGCAATGTATTTCCCATGCTACTCGAGTTGCTCCATCTACAACAGCACGTTTGTGTCGTGTACTCGTATTTTGATTACGCTCTTTATCGCTACTTATCAAGGATTCGATAAAGAAAGTTACGCCCTCGATGTTGTATGTTAAAAAATAAAGTACCTATTAACGCTGTCGGACGACCTAGAACTCCAGCTAGAAGGCTCGCCACGGGGATCGCGAGATCCGCTACTCGTCACGGAGTTAAACGATTTCGAGGATGTAGGTCCCGAATGCCATCCGCTCGGTGTACGATTGCTTTCTACGTAACGACTTTCACCTGCATCGAGAAAACAATAGCATATATACCAGGATGATTTAAAACCCACAAACACATACATTATCATAATAATAATATATATTTCTTCTTTGTACAAGATATAAAAAAATCATTAAAATGTTTACTAATTGTAAGATTAAGATGATTGTGAAAAGTCTCTTTTACAAATGTGGCTTTATATTGAATAAAACTTTGGAATTAGTTGGTATGCTTTATAATAAAAATCATATTATATTGTTCACATTAAATATCTTGCAATAATTATAAGGCTAAACAAATTTTTATACAATTGTATTTTTATACTCTCTTTTTTAAAACCATAAGACTGATATCAGGTTCAACTAACTACAATGAAAGTCAACGAAAATTGAAAAATTGTATAATTTTTATTACGAAGCATACACATTTGTAAAAGAAAATACAAATTGGATTTAAACTGGGATAATAAATGTTTCTACAAAAATCATTGTGTATGTATTTTGAAAACGTTTGGCACTTATAATTTGCAATTATAATTCTATGTACTCTTCCATGTCTCATGAAAGAAATATTATTGTCCTATAATAAAAATGCTATCAAAATTGTTTATGATACATAAATTGTAGAAAAAAATGTCTTTATTATATTTCTATATTTATCTAATTTGATCATATATAAACTATTTTTATTAAGTTCAGTAAAATTAAGCTTTAGTGTTCGTAGACTTTTAACATTTCGTTAATTTTTTATAATTATTACGTATTATGATCATTGTTTCATTAATTAGAATGTAATCTAGCCACCATCTAATCTCACTTGAATATTATCATAATTATGTATCTAAGAATGCAAATCAAAAATACATAAATAGATAATGTACAAGAATAAATTTAAGCCTATGTTGCAGCAATGGGTCATGTGTATCTCTGCTAGAGATATTTTATGAAAATATTTTCTGTTATACTCTTACTCAAAATGTGTAATATCCTATATGTATACAAAAGAAAAGGATTATTTAAAAAAATTTAATCTAATTTTTAAAAAATAATAGAAATAGAAGCCAGTTTGTGTATGCGATAAAAATATTGTGAAAAAGAAATTTCATGACAAGATCAATTATAAAACAGTTTTGTGATAAAGCCCCTTAACACCACCTTTCGCATGTATGCAATTTATTATACTTACGTGGTGTGTTAGAGCCCGGCGGTTTGAAACTATCGCTGTATCGTGTATGACTGTCTCTGGAGGTTCGATGCGTCTCGGGTTCGGATCGTCGTACTTCGCGTTCGCGAGTATAGGACGTAGTACTTGGACGATCGTACCTGTGAGGTCCAAAACAAGGACTCGATTAGACTGATAAAAGGTTCAACCATAGATTTAATCATTTTATACAATAATATGACAAGTACCTTTCCTTAACTTGTCGCGGATCTATGGACGAGGATGTAGTGGACAAACTTTCTCGTCGTACAATAACTTCTCTTCCACGAGAAACATCGGAAAAGCTGTCTGGCCGGCTGCTTCGCGACGAGAAATCACTACTTCGCTTGAATTCTTTCTTTAATCCCAAATCCTGAGCAGATCTGAAACAAATTCCATTATTTTCATTATTACATTATCTGTTGCAAGAAAATATATTAAAGAAAATTCTTTCACAATGCATTTTTAACAATAATCAAGTAATAAAAGGTCTGTTCATTTTAGCTAAATTGATTGAGTTTCTTTTTTACTCCATATTGGAAGAGATAGCTCTGAACTAGTGCAGCCAGTTTAGCTGAAAAGAACCTGATGAGAGCGAGGAAAAAAATTACCTGCTAGATTCGTATCGAGAAGGAGGCGAGGGATCCATTCGTCTATCTGACACTCGATCTAACATTTCGTTCCGTCTGTCGACTACTCTGTCCGGGCTGTGTCTACGACTATGTTCTGTACTCATTCGTTTCCTGTCGGGTTCCACGTACAAGTCTCGCGGGTCCCTTCTGTCGGTAGACGATCTCTTTAGTGACGGCGGTGGTGGCGCGCGTCTGCTCTCCTCCAGACGCATCTGCTGCCTCTTCAGCTCCAATCTCTCGCGCTCGAGCTTCTCCCTTTCGAGCTTCTGTCGTTCACGCTCGAGTCGTAGCAACTCGGCCTTTTCCTGCTCGATCCGCTCCCTCTCTCGCCTCAACTTCTCTCGTTCTCTCTCCAAACGCGCGGCTTCTTCTCGCTGCCTACGTTCTATCTCTCGTTGACGCTCCATATCCTCTCGTCTTCGGCGCTCTTCCTCCCTCAGAATCCGTTCTCTGTCGCGCAATCTTTGCCGTTCACGTTCTTCCTAAAAATTTCAGATTTTTTTGCCTTTTATACTTTTTTTCTTGGTCTATCGATGATAGTTTTGTTGTGTCAATGAAGATATTTACTCTGATCTTCGCAAATGTGAGAACGTCATCGCGCCTCCGTCTTTCGCGGCTCCTAGACCGACTGTGACTTCGGTGATCTCTGTCCCAGGTACGAATCCGTTTCTCTTCACGTCTTCCTCTCTCGCTCTCCGGTTTCTTACTCGTGGATTTCGTCGATCGAGAATCAGACTCTTTAGAAGGATCTTCCTTCTTATCTTGTAATTCAATCTTCTTGGATTCGGCGCTTTCGTTCTTTTCATCAGTTTTTTTTACTAAACAAATGTAATAATTATTGGATGTTTACATTGTTATTAAAAGTTAGAATAAAAATTATTTATGGAAAATATAATATTTACCAGCATCCAATCCCTTCTCTTCAATTTCCTTTTTAGCTTCCTTCTCCTTTCTCTCATTTATGTCATGATCTTTTATTTTTTCTTTTTCATCTTTTTTTTCCGATTTACCATTAACAGTATCTCGTTTACGTATATGACTCTGTTGCGTATCACCCTTTGCCTGATGACAGTTTATAATAAGAATAAGCTTTCTACTGATACTAGGAAATCGAAACTTTACCTTTTCCACAGATATGACGCGTCCGTGAAGTTCGGTCCTGTGTAAATGTTGTATACATTTTGCAGCATCTTCGCTTGAAGACATCGTGACGTAACCGTAACATCTTGCACCAGGAGTTTTCGCATTGGTAACCACTTTTGCGCCTATAACTTTGCCATACTTGGAAAAAATCTGCTTTAAATCGGTAGCGCGAGTGCTGGACGACAAGCCGGAGACCCATAAATTGCGACTGCTTGCGCTCGGATTGATCTGAGATATCTTCTTATCTGCAAAACATAATATATATTTTTATGATTATTAATATTATTACTTATGCTTATGCATTAATAGAATTTTAACAGCTACTATATCTGTTCAACATTATAGATCTAAAATAATATACACATTCGAAAACAAATAAACATGTATAAAACTTACCCTTTTCGTCTCTCTTCTGGTTTTTATTGTTAGACTCCGCACTGAAAGAGATAATATCATTATTGCATCAGAAAATTGCGAATTGTAATATTCGATTACAAATAACGAATTAATTAGGACTATACAATCTGCGAGGCTTAATAAGTATCTCTGTAACTATGTTAAGAACACAAATTTGGCTAGCAACTCTTATATTTTTTTAGGCGATACAACCTAGATTTTTTTTCTTTAGAATTCACTCATACACCATTGTTATCATTATCAGTTTTATTTTAGATTATTTAATATGTATTCACTGTCTGTATTCTCGGCTCATCCATTTTCATCACTCATGTATAAAGAAATTGTATCCATGCGGCAACACTTATCAGCTCTAAGTCCACAAAAGGGAAATCAGCATCTGCATAGTTCTTCTGACTTATTTCTTGCCGGGAGTTTTTTAAAAAACGCTTACGCGTTTTCTTTTTATTAGGGTAGTAGGATTTCTTCGATACATAATAGGATCGCTTCTTGACAGTACGAGGATTTAAGCACGCTCTGCCAAATGTAATTTTTAGCATAGGATATTAATGTCCTTTGTGTGCACGACGCACGATGGAATTGTCGTCTCTCAAATGTTCTGCAAGGAACACAGCACACAGGGACTCGTCCGGTTTTTTATATATTTTTTTTCACGTCGTAGAGTATATGTAATCACCTTTATTTAGATATATGAGAGAAATGCAACATATGACATTTGTGAGACTCGTTTAAGTTTGCTAGCCAAGTTCTCGACTACTTAACATACTTGCCAGAGTTAAGAATTACAGCCTAGAGCACACGAGATTGGAAGAGTAACTTCCAAGATTCTCGACTTTAAGAAAAGGGAATAAAGGTAAATCTTGCGTGTGTGACGTGAATGATCTCATCTTGGAAATCCACATTTTGTCCCGACGGTACAGAGATAGAGAGTTAGAGAGATCGCCCCGATGATACACGGTTATGCAGCAGTAGAACATCACTAGCAGAGTCGTGAGTGAGTGAGACATTTCCAGTTTGCCGTACCACAGTACTGCGAACCGTACTTCTTAGCTTTATGAGAGACCAACCTCTTGCTTCCTCCATCTCCACCGTCCTGCTTGTTCTTCATCCCAACGTTCGCACCGGACGTCGTCCCTTCCTTGCCGCTGGCACCAGCTTCCGCTCTACCGCCGCCTTTAGAGTCTCCCTTCTTGCTGTTCTCTTCTATTTTCTTCTTCTCTCCACCATCTGCAGGGACAACCAAGGTAGCATAGTCACTTTCTGCAAATCTCCAGACTCTTCTCCCTCCCGCCTAACATCTCTCCTGTTTTAGTGGCTTGTACTTCCAGTCATGAATTTTGGGCAAGTCACTAAGAAATTCACACAGCGAGCAACGATGTGAAGCTTGCACGATATTATAAACCCCGATCTTCGACATAGGATCAATGCAGAGAACCTAAACCCGTCTTAAAGCTACCAGAAGAAAATACTTTGTATCTTTATATAAATAAAACTTTGATTTATAAAGGCTTCAAACAACGAGAAATTAAGAAAAGAAAAAAGAAAAAATATATCAGTGCAGAGAACATGTTTTTTTTTTCGTTTTCAAGAATCTGCATTTCTCTACGTTAAAAAATAATTCTTACGCGTGATTAATTCTCACGCGTGAAAAATATGCTGTATTATGTTACACGCTACTCGTCGAGGCACACGATACTGGTCTCATGTGACAAACGACATGTTGTGTTAATTTATATTCTGAGGAAAATATATTCGCTGATATACACTTGAGTCTTCCTGTATCCATGTGACTTGATGATAAGAGAGATCCAGCGATGCTCTATGTAGTAGGTATAATTAATGTAATTGTGTATATCAAATTCTAGCGTTAACTAACTTAAAGACTATAGGATACATGGCATTTTTTGCTGCCAACAACAGCGCCTGGGGAGATGTCGGGAGATGTACACTTTATCCCGATTCATAAACCTTATCTCGATCACCGTGCGTTCATCCCGGTCGAAGCACCTTATCTGTAGCCAGCTTGCGCTTCAATGATCATGCCACAGTTGGTTACGTTGCATCCAGATGTTGAAATGAAGTTGATGAAGCTTAAAGACTGACGCTCGTAGGACGAGGAGAAAGTTGATATGGATGATTCCGACATTGCCCTTGTTCCAGATGATTGAGCGGTTTGTACTTGAACATGCTTGTTCTTGATGCTGGCACTTTCGCTCTAATTTACTTGAGAGATGCCGCAGATACAAATATCGCTACCCTTCGTACCCTTGGAGTCTTACATCTAAGTTAGAATATAATAAATAGTGAAAAACTTACCCTTGTGCCTGTCGTGAGATTCTGTCTGTAATGAAAAAAATGTTAGAAATTATTTGAAAATAACTTTCAATTTTAAAAGGCATTATGTAATAGTTTTGAAAAGTCTACTTTTCTTACCTCCTCAGCGAGGAGATTTTCTTCATCTTCTCCAATAGTCAAATTAATAGAGTCTTCATTGTCAATTCCATTAGCTTCAACAGTGGCAGATGCGTTTGAGGATTGATTTGCAGTACTATTTTTTTCTGATTCATTCTTGTCAGTATTCTGCACATTTTCAGCTGTAGCTTTAATTCCTTGAATTTTGGTTTCCTGTTTAGGACTTTCTTCCTTATTGATATTATTTTTGGCTTCAGGTTGCAATTCCTAAATGAAAAAATATCACAAAATAAATTGTCAGTTTCAAGCATATAAGAAAAATGTTCTGATTTCATTAATTTATATTATATATTTAATAAGTATGTAAATTACCTCTTTCCTAGGAGAAATTTCTTTTTCTTCATTTTCTTTTTCAATAGTTTCCTCTGTCATAAGCTTAATTTCTCCCTTAAGTTTGTCCACATTCTCTTGTCCATCAATATTTTCTTCTTTCTGACTATCAGAACATTCAGTAGATTCTTCTTGACTTGAAGTTCCTATAACAACAAACAGATTTAATTAATAATAAAATCTTTTATCTTAATATAATACATAATTTACATTTAAAATAAAATACTTTTTAAATTTTATTTTAATTATAATGCACAAAAATATATATACCACTATTTTTTCTTGGAGCAGTTTTACATGGTCCATCAGGTGGTACAATAAGATATTCTTCAGGATTCTCTCCTTCGTCTGATATGGCCTAAATATAATTATTTCATCTTTAATTTACAAATAATAATAATAATTATTATGAATTAAAATATTTAGAAATTTAATTTCAACTAAAGTTCATAGCTAATCGATCACTTTGATTGTATCTCCTTGTTTATGTACTATTAACTGTATCTACAACATATATTTTATGCAATACTCATATTACTAACAATTAACATATTAAAATGCACTAATAATAAAACAATTATCGCATATTTTGAAGCACTAGCAAATTACATTACTTTACTCTTGCTTGTCAATTAGTCAAATTAAACTTCTTTTACATGCTGCAACAAACAGTACTTTAGGACATGTTTAAATAATATTGCTAATAAAGGAAAATTTTTTAAACCATGTTTAAATCATGATTTAAAAATATTTTTTTACTCAACTGCATGTGACAGATTGTTTTACCTCAACATTTAACAAATACCTATCAATAAAAACACCTGTATGTGCAATAAACAAATCTTTCCTATTGTATCATATCTCAACACTTTAGTAGCTAAAAAATATAGCAAATTAAACTTTCTTTACATGCTGCAACAAACAATATTTTAAGGCTGTTCCGATATTCACTGCCAGTACCGAAATGCTATAGTTTATGTTACATATACTATAGATTTTCAGTACTTGCAGTAATATCAGAACATGGAATAAAACATGCTTGTTTAAATAATATTACTATTAAAGAAAATCAATCTTTTAAACCTTGTTTATATGATTTATACAATATTTTTTGACATAACTGCATATGACAAATGTTTTATTTCAACATTTAACAAACACTCATCAATAAAAACACCTGTATGCACGGTAAAAAAAAAAAATCCTTTCCTATTGCATCATATCTCAACACTTTAGTAGTAGTTAAAAAAAATAATATCGTGTAAACGAAGTTAAAGTGGCTGAAGAGTTGTACGCGCGATAAATGTAATGAAAGATTAATCGCGGCCCATGATAAAACGCTGCTGCTAAATCAATAGGACGAATATGGCGAGAAGCTTTTCGGAGGGTCCGAATCACTCGGGGAAGGACTCGATTTGGAGGAAGGAGAATGCATTCTTACTTTCGACAGCCGCTCGAGAAGCGCCGCTTTGTTGCCGGACCTAGGCCAGTCCAGGCCGCGACGTTCTAGCTCCAATTTGAGATCTATAACCCGGAGCTCGGTCAGCTTTTTTCCCTTCTTTCCTTTCTTCGCCTCCTTTCCCTCCACATCGGCCATTGTACGATCTCGCGGAGACGATCGTTCGCGAGATAGTGTGGCAACGGAGAGAAACGAGTATATTTATGCGTCCGCGACCGATAATCGATGGAATTGTAAGCGCGATCGCGATCGGACGGCGAAACGAATCGATCCAGGGAGAAAGAGCTGAAAATACGACGAGATGCGAGCCTCGATACGCGAATTATATATCACACGAAAATCGAGCGAGAACGGCCATTGTGAATTGCCAATTGCCATTGAATCCGCGTTCGGAAAGACACAAATGTAGGCTTGGTTCTCTTTTTTTTGCACCGCACCGCGTTACACCTTCCGCACTCGAAGTGTAGATAATAGTTTGACGTTTCGAAGCGAACGAATGTGATTGGTCAAACCAGAATTGACGCTAAATCCGATTGGCTGCGCCATATTGATACTGCCCTCTCGATTGACCAATGGCTCGTCGAATTGCACACGAGTTATCGCGTCATTGAATACGAAATTTGCCGGGTTTTCCCTCTCGATAGAATTTCTTCCTTTTTGAGAATAAAGAGAGACTCGTTTTTATAAACGTGGATTAACAATCCTTGGACCTTTTTGATGATACTGTTGAGATCTCGCATAAGTAATTCAGTATGTCATTAATCAATTATTATCTCATTATAATCTTGGTTGATGTAAATATTGTATGCATTTTAAGGTTAAATATTTAATTGAAAAATACGTAGCAAGTTGTTATATACACAACGTGGTCTACGAAAAATAAATTATCTTACAGTTGAAAAGATGACGCACAAATACGAGTGAACCAACGATTGACGAACGATTAATAATTCAACTTACTACCAGATAATTTTGTATTCCTTATACATTGGACTCGAGTTAGTATTTTGTATAAAATATTATAGAAAGCAAAACAGAAACTATGGATTCAATGATTGAAAGACGCAATTCGTCTATTGAATCTGAGAAATTGGAGGAAAAAACTTATGTAAAAGATTACACAGAAGCAGAAGTTGAGCAATATTTAAGGGTAGAATAATTTATTATTATAATTGAAAAAGCATATTCTACAGTGAAATAATTTATATGTGCATAGTATAATTAATATTAATTAATTGCATTAATTTATATATTTATGATAGTATCTTTACAAAAATATTTCTATTTTTATGGAAAAAATAGTTGTGCTACATTTTTATCTTATTTTTAGTTAATAAATAGTAAAGATGCCAATTCAAAAAAACCTGAATTGAATACATCACTTGAAGGATTAAATGACAATCTGCAAAAGCTTTATGTGGAAGATCTAGCAAAAGATTACCAAAAGTGCAATTTCACTTATCAGCCAAAATCTAATGACTTGTCAGTTATTTCTATGAAAAATGGATTAATATCGATAATTGAAACAAATTCTGTAGTTGTTATTCAAGGACCAACTGGTTGCGGAAAGACCACTCAGATTCCTCAATTCATTCTTGATGATAGTATCAAGAAAAAACTCAACTGTAATATTATAGGTAAATTTTTAGAACAATATATTAATAAGATTAATGGATATGTTAACAAATTTCTGTATAATTCTTGTATAATTTCTAATAATTTATTGAATTATATAGTTTTTTATATTTTCTTTAGTTACACAACCAAGACGAATTGCTGCAATAAATATTGCCAAAAGAGTTAGTCAAGAAAGCGGATGGCCTCTTGGTAGTCTCATAGGCTACAAAGTGGGTATGAGAAAGGAACATTCACCTGACACTCGCTTAACATATTGTACCACTGAAGTTCTCCTCAATCTGTTGATTCATGAGAAACATATGTTGAAATTTACTCACATTATATTGGATGAAATTCACGAACGCGATCGAGAGTTGGATTTTCTTTTATTAGTCATTAAAAAATTGTTACAAACAAATTCTGGACAGGTCAAAATTATTCTTATGTCGGCGACGATCGATGTAACGAGATTTGCAGAATATTTTTCTACTAGAGTGGGAAATAAGCTAATGCCAGCACCAATTGTCAAAATTCCAGAAAGAAGAAATTTTCAGATTTGTACATATTATCTGGACGACATAGAGAATTTAGGAGTGGTGAGTATAAATAAAACACTGTTAATAATAAAAATATCTGACATTTAATCCTCTTATAATTTAAGAGATTTTACATATTAATATTGCAGATTTTGTTTTACAATAATTATGCAATGACAATAAAATGTAAATTTTTTTACAATGTAAAAAATATATATTTTTATAATGTAATAATTAATGAAGTTATGCAACAATTTACTAATATGATATAATTTTATGTTAAATAATATTGCATTAAATATATAATTATATATATAATAATAATAATCAGGTTGTATTTTACAGATACCAGAGGTGTCGATGGAACCAATAATTACTCAAGACATGATCAATTTTTGCTCTCTTATCATCAGTGCTCTGGACCAAGTTGATTTAAATGATAATGAGAAAGATTCAGATTCGCCTCAAAGACACGCCGTTCTAATATTTTTACCCGGAATTTATGAAATTGAAGAACTATATAATTATTTATCGTCGACTTGCTACGTAAACAAATTGTGGGATATAGTAACTTTGCATTCATTGATTTCTAGTGATGAGCAGCAACGGGTTTTTTATAAATCGCCAGATGGTTACAGACGCATTATACTTTCCACAAATATTGCGGAAAGCAGTATTACTGTGCCAGATGTAAAGTATGGTAAATAAAATTTCTATAACTTTTAGTTAAAAGTTAAGATAGTTTTTAAATTATAAATTATACAATTATAATTTTTCAAAAGAGAAAGCATTAAAAATATTAAAATAATATAAAAAATATTTGTGAAGAGGTATTATATAAATATAAATATAAATAAAAATAATATATTAATATTAAATATAATAAAAAATAAACAATTATTAATTATTAAATATAATAAATAAGAAAATAATTAATGATTTAATAAATGTCTTTAATTTACAGTGATAGATTTCTGTCTTATAAAAGTGCTGGAGGTCGATTCCATTACTAATTATCAAACATTAAAACTTTGTTGGGCGAGTAAAGCGAATTGTATGCAACGAGCTGGTCGTACAGGTCGAGTAATGGATGGTAGAGTATTCAGATTGGTTCCAAGAGCATTTTATAATGTAAATAATGCTTATTTAAATTTATTTATAATATTTACTATTTATGAGCTATATAGTTTAAGAAGAATCTCTATAAATATAGAATTGAAATGTTTTAAATACATTTTAAGTACAACAATTTCAATTTTCTTCCACTAATTATATATTTATTAATTTTTAATTAATATACTTATTAATTTATTTTGCATGAAATTTACAGAACATATTTAACAATGAGGGCACTCCGGAGATGCTTCGTGCACCGCTCGCCAACCTGGTTCTTCGCGCCAAGATTCTCGATCTTGATGAACCACGTGCCCTTCTCTCCCTCTCTCTTAATCCACCCTCTCTGTCTAATCTAGCGGCCACCGTTCTGACTCTAAAAGAGGTCGGAGCGTTATTAGACGAGAATGATTCCTTTCAATTATATGACGGGAAATTAACCGATCTTGGTAGAATAATGGCAGTTTTGCCGCTTGACATACGAATTACAAAATTAATTATGTTGGGTCATGTTTTTGGAGTTTTACGAGATGCTATTATTCTGGGGAGCAGTATGACCATCAAGGACATTTTTAACGTCTCGCAATATCGTGCTACTATTTCTTCTTATATTACTCGAAGAAAATGGGCTTACAATTCTGACAGTGATTGCATCGCCACTTTAAATATTTACAAAGCATGGCAAAATGAAAAAGCGAATCGTCGATTAACTACTCGTGAAGCTGAAAGACAATGGGCACAAAGAAACGAAGTAAACTTAAAAACTCTGTTTGAATTGAATGCTCTAGTAAACGAGATCACTGAAAGATTGCTCCACTTTGGAATTGCAGAAAGTATTGGAGTTAATAAAGTCATTTGGGAAGGTATAATTATTTCTTTATTTTACTTTTGTAATTTAATTATAAAAATTATAAAAATTTTTTGTAGATGTCTAATCATTTTCAATTAATTTTTAATCTTTATTTGTTTTTTAGTTTAAATTATTTTTTGATAGTTTTTAAATTATTGTTAATTACCTTTCAATTATTTATATTATTATTATTTTTAACTGTCTTTTAACTATTGTATCTCTGAATTATATACAAAGTTTAAAAAAAATTTTTTAAATGCATTTGTGATTATTTTTAATTTCACTTATTTGTATTTATTTTTAGATACAGATCGCGATTTCGTGCTTCAAGTTATTCTCGCAGGAGCATTTTATCCCAATTATTTCGTCAAACGTATACAAAATTCGAAAATTTATGAAGAAAATATTACAATGAACCTGGGTGTCTTAGATCCTATGAATACAGTTTATTTAAGAGGATGGCCATTAAATCAACCTGGATATTTGTATGCTAAACAATTGCAGGAGATTTTTGCTAAACATCAAGGAATTCCAGAAAAGCAGATAGCAGTGTCCTTTGATGATTCAAAACGTGTTTATGTGCAGTTTCGCGAGAAAACTTCTATGAATGATAATTTTTACAATATATCAAACTTTGTGTATCAGGTGATTATTAATTTATTATTTATGTTATTTATACATGTAATTAAATAATATATAATTTGTATATAAATAATTAATGATAATACACATGCACTTGCACACATCTATATAAAATATAAAAATGTACAAAGAGAGAATTGATAAAATATGGATTACGAAATATTATGATTATGTAACATATAGTAGTTTTTAATTTATTTGTTTATCAGGCCGTCAAGATGAGACAATGCGATGTGCCATTCAAAATAAACTTGTTAAATCTAAAAGAAGCACAAAAGATGGCAAAGTATCATAATGTTGATAAATTTGAACAAACTCATTTTTTTAATAAAGATTTGAAAAGGATAAAGAGTAATAGTTACAAAATCAGCCCGAAATTACCAGGACTTGATGTCACCGAAATACCTCTATCTATACAAACTGTAAGTTTTTCTTTTAGTTCTAATAAAGTTAGTAAAAAATAAATATTAGAATTTTAAAAAATTACATATTTGTTGTCTAAAAAAAGCATATTTATAATAATTCCTAATAATATTTATAGATTCATTAAATCATTGTATGTCTATTCATTGATTGCTGCAAATATTGTTGGATAAATTATTTGTCTAATTTCATTTACACATGTTTGGGATTGATTTAATGTTAATTAATATTTTCAGATTATCAGCCCCGGATATTTCTGGGCGATTCTCGACGACAATGCGACCCGCAATAAATTAAAAAATATTGAAAATATTCTTAACAAACATCCCTTGAAAGAACTTTCTTCTCCCCCAAAAACTTCAACCATAATCGCCGCCCCTATAGAAAGAAATAATTCTTTAATTTATTATCGCGCAATAATTGAGGATTTTACCTCAAGAATTGGAGACGTAGTCAATATTTTTTTCATTGACAACGGTCGCTCTTCTCGAGTTCGATGTAGTGATTTAAGAGAAATTAATAATATAACAATTTTAGAAATGCCTCCTTTAGCGTTTCATTGCAATTTAGCTTTTTTGCAACCTTCAAATCAAGCTAACTTTCATGGTCGATGGTCAAAAATTTCGAGAAATTATTTTATAATGCAAATTAATCGTAAGAATAAGATCTTTGGAAATATTTATTCAGTCGTTGATAATACCGTCAATTTGGAATTGATTGCTATTAATGAAAAAGGAGAGGAATTTAATATTAATAATGATATGATTGAAAAAGGATATGCTAGAAGAAGAGAAGAAAGTTATTTATCAACACATAATCATGAACTGAGAATGAATATTAATAGAATGTCAATGGAAGAAAAAAAATTTTACGAAGAGAAACAGTATGATAAGGATTACTTATTAAACGTAAGTAGTTGATTTTAATGAAGGTAAATGAAAATTTAATTCAGTAATAATGTAATATCAATTTTTATATTTTTAATTTGACAATTGTTTCTAATTATTAGTATTTATACTAAATAGTAAAATGTATAGATAATTTTTATAATCTTTATAAAATATATATATATACATATATATAAAGCAGAAAAGAATAGTGTGTAATAATAATAATATTTGAAGAAAATTAATAAATATGACTAATGTTAATTTATAAAAATGTATGTATTTGTATATGTAATTCTATATATATATATATATATATGATTTCAGTATCCTAATCCACCTAAAGAACTTTATAGCTCCAGCATAAATCTGCAAGGTCCATACTCTCCCTTAGAAATGGAATTGATCGAATTGACATCAGCCGGAAAATTAAAAAAAGCAACCATAGACTTTAATTCTGTGAATTGTATTCTTCTGGATGATGATCACGATCAATCATTAGGACGTCTTTTAGTCGCTCAGATCGTCAGTCAAGGATCAAATAGTGGAATATTAATACTGAGAAATACCACTTTCCTACCAAATATTCCTGGACTTGCAGCATTGCTTACGCTAAGCTTTACACCGTATATGGAATTGAGATGTAATTCACGACGGACTTATTACACGGGAGCTTTATGCGGTTTGGGTCCGATGAATAATTCCACTAGACGGGCTATGTTTCCTGATCACGATATGGAAATTAAGTTTGATGTGGAAATTACGATCGACGATGTCAAAGAGGTATATTGGTAAACATAAATTGATAATTTAATGACATAAAATGAAATTGATAATTTAATAATTTAATAATTTAATAAATAAGAAAAATTATGTAAATAATTAATATCTTATTGTACAAACTTGAAAATAATTAAGAAAAATTCTCTTTAGATTTAAAGAAGCATAAAAAAAGTTTTTTTATTAAAATATTTTGTTCTTATTTTGCAATTTACGAAATTTATTATATGCTACATTCTATGTATTACATTTAGTACATATTTTGTTCAAAAAATATTTTCACTTTTTATTATTCGTCATGTAATTCATTAATTGTAGTAATAGATTGTAAGCATTTTGTATTCTTTTTTATTTTATTCTGTTTCTATTATAATTGTTTTTCTATTATCTTATTAATAATAATAAAATAATCATATTAATAATTAATTTTTTACAATTTTTTCTTACAGATAAATAAATTACGTTATTGGATAAATGCAGGAATGCAACTAAATCACAACTCGAATTCTGAGCACATTATAAATTGTCAAAATAGACTTCAACGTATTTTGCTTGAACTAAGGGATAAACAAAGAAAATCAAGAAATCCATTGAACGATGAAATTGATAATTACTCCGATAAATGGAATTACTATGAAAAGTCATTTTTTTTGCCACCTGTTAAAGAAACGACAAGACAATATGACATATATCCGTTGCATAAAGCGCTAGAACTACGCGAAATGGATGACAAAAGGGAGGAAATGCTGCAGCATCTTGTGGAATTGCAACGTTTTGCTTATGAGTATGTAAACATTACAGTTTTATATATTATTTATATGTATATATATTTATATATATATTTATATTTACATATTAATATATACATATTAATATATACATATTTTATGTTTCATCAGAGATGTATTTAAGATGAAGAACGTGGTCATTTTTTGTAAGCTGTGCAAAATGGAGACAACTGGTCTGTTGGAATTACGCAGTCATCTTTGTTCAGCACAACATATAAAAAACGAAAAAGCATTACGAATTAGTTAGATGATTTATGTCAAGAAACTATTGCCAAAATAAGAGTAAAAAAGTATTTGACATGTGATTATGATAATTATTAATCTAATTTTACATTAAAGATTTACATTATTATTTTTTTCTTATTACGAGAGTAAATATAAATTTTATATTTTTATTATATTTTTTTAGTTTTATTATATTTTTAAGTATATTTAGACTTGTATAACATAGTTTATACATTAATATGTGCAAAATAAATACAATACAAATAAAATACAAATTATATTGATATATTAAATAATAAATATGTATATTTATTGTATAATATATATATATGTATACTACATCGAGGTTGAATTTGACCAATCAGACGAAAGGGGCAAAATATTTCTGTGTCTCTATTGGTCAAATTTCAATCTTCTCAATACGCTTAAGGTTTGAGGTTATATTGAAATTTGATTTTGTAATGTGATTCGTACAGAGGGATTATATTAAAAGCATACATTTTTTTTTAATACAAAGAACATGAAGATAATTAATTGAATTGATAAATGAATCTATCTTATGACACGAGTTTTCACTTGTTAGAATTTTCGCGAGTAAGATATATCAACGATGCAACGTACATTAAGTGATTGTCCTTTTTTGCGTTTGGATTTTCTCTGTCGGAGATTACGTTATTACAGTTCAACTGCAACTGCAGAAGTTTACAATAATAAAAGACTAACAGGTACATTTTTTATATTTTATATATCTATTATTAATGGTATGTATGCAGATTTCATGTATCTTTGAATCTATGTATACTTCAATATTTGTAGTTATTTGCTAAGAATTTTCTTTGAAATTAACGAAAAATTAAAATATAAACCTTTTATTAAAGTCCACTGAAAAGTATTAAAAATTATTAAGGAAGTATAAGAGGAAATTAGTACTTTACTTTGAAATGCAGATTTTCCCGCTACATTCAAGTCGAAAGATGTGGAGCAAGGCTGGTATAATATCTGGGAGGATAACAATTATTTTACAGCCTCTAGAATGGCAAAAGCAAGAAGTGACAAGGAAGAAGAGAAAAAAGAGTCCTTCAGTATGGTCTTACCACCACCGAATATTACAGGAGTATTGCATCTGGGCCATGCGCTTACTGTTACAATCCAGGATGTTCTAGCAAGATGGTTAGCATTATTATAATAATTATAATATATATATAATAAAAATTGAAAGTTAAATTATTACATTCTAGTACAATCAAATGTTACAGTCATATTTTTTTGGTTACTAAATACGCTTCAAACACAAATAAATAAAAATGCTACTAATTATATTAATAATTTTATTATTATAATTATATTTTTACATTGGCACATTTGTTTACTATAGGTAAATTTACTATTTATAGATTTTTCTCTACTGTACACACACACACAGGCACAGAATGAAAGGCCATCCAGTTTTGTGGATACCTGGTCTGGATCATGCTGGAATCGCAACGCAGGCAGTAGTGGAACGTATGTTGCAACGCACACAAAACATCACACGGCATGATATGGGTCGCGCCGAATTCTCGCAATTTCTCTGGCAATGGAAAATGGAGAAGGCCACGATTATCAATCAGCAGCTGAAAGCCCTTGGTGCTACACTTGATTGGAACAGAGAATATTTTACCATTGATAAGGTAATGTGTATTTTCTATTTTATTTTATTCTATATAAATATATATATATATATATATATTTATTTATACAAAATAATTATTACTATATTTATTGTAACATTGAACTTTTATACATGAATGTGTGATTTTGCAGAGTCACAGTGCAGCAGTGACAGAAACGTTTGTACGGCTGAGTGAGAGGAATCTGTTGTACAGAGCTAGAGACCTCGTCAATTGGTCACCAGCGCTACGCAGTACAATCTCAGAGATCGAAGTCGAGGATTTCGTAATAGATGGCAAAACGCAACTTCGATTACCTGGCCATTATGGCAAAGTTACTGTCGGCCAATTAATCAAGCTAGCATATCCGATCAAAGATTCAAGTGAGTTTAAAAATAAATATTAAATAAAATTAATTTTAATATATTTTATGTTTGCACAGAGGAAGAATTGATAGTTGCAACGACTAGGCTCGAGACGATTTTTGGAGATGTAGCGATCGCCGTGCATCCAGACGACGAGAGATATTCGAGATACATCGGTCGGCAAGTTTTACACCCTGTAAAAGAGACGTTCATACCTGTTATAGCCGATTCCTTGGTCAAGAGAGATTTTGGCACTGGTAAAAAGGAAATTTATAAATATATAGAAAGAATCTATTGAGAGAGAGAGAGAGAGAGAGATAAAGAGAAAGTAGATTACTAAGAGTTTTGAATAAAATTTTATTTCTTTTCTTAATTTATTGAATAATTATATATATGTTTTTCTTGCAGGTGCGGTGAAAATCACACCGGCACACGATCGCTTGGATTATGATATTGCTAAAAGGCACAACTTGCCAGTTATTAGCGTTATCGACGAGGCTGGCAAGATGACGGACATAAGTAAAGAATTCGAGGTACGACTTCATGAAAAAGATGCATAGTTCCATGTTTCCTTTTTTTTCTTTTTCCAAAGTTATATTATCAAGATATATATTTTTTTATATATTTAATAGCTTTATATTATCAATATAATTTTTCTATATTAAATAGTTTTATTCAATATAAATTTATAATAGAATATTGTTTAAATATATAATCATATTTTTTATTTACTTAATTATTATGTACACTTTTTCTTAATTTTAGGGACTATCAAGATTTGTCGCACGAGAGAGACTCATGAACGAGCTATCGGTGCGAGGTATCATCAGAGGTGTAGAAGACCATCACCGAATGATATTGCCACGATGTTCGCGTACGCACGATGTGATCGAGTATCTGCCTAAAGAACAATGGTTTGTGCGTTGTACAACAATGGCTAAACGGGCGCAGGAAGCTGTAAAAAATGGTGAATTAAGAATCAATTCAAGCGATGGTGGTATCTACGAACAATTGTGGTACGATTGGCTCGAAAACATAAGGTAAATTACTGCATTTAATAAATAGATAAATGAGTAAATAAATAAAGAGACATATAAATGAATAGAATTGAATAAAGAAATAAGTAGACAAAAAATACATAAAGAATCAAATAAAAGAATGAATAAATAAGTGAAGGTATAAAATAAACGTAACTATAAACATGCAAATAACTGAATAAATTTGATAAATCTTTTAAAAAAGGAATTTCTTTTTCTTTTCAGGGATTGGTGTGTGTCAAGACAGTTATGGTGGGGTCATCGCATTCCAGCATATGCCATAAACCATAGTGATAATAACAATAATGATGGTGATAATATTTTCTCCACTAATAGAACTAGCAAAACTTCTTGGATAATCGCACGATCCGAAGAAGAGGCATATTCGCAAGCACGAGAGAAATATGGGGATACAGTGAGCATACATCAGGATTCCGATGTCCTTGACACGTGGTTTTCTTCGGCAATTATACCATTTGTCACACTTGGCTGGCCGGAACACGTTAGTTTCTATTATTACTAATTTTATTTTACTATATTGATTACTATTATTGTTATCATTATTTTTTTTATTACTTTTTTTATTATTGCATTATAAACATTTGTCATTTTATTATTCTCGCATTACATTTATTGTCACAGACGAAGGACATGGCAAAATACTATCCATTAACACTGATGGAAACTGGTCATGATATATTTCTTTTTTGGGTGGCGAGGATGGTGATGCTAAGTCTAGAAATGACACAAAATTTGCCATTTAAGGTATATAATTATACATGAAAATTATCAATTATTTGCACTTTATATATATATATATATATATATATATATATATATATATATACAGTATCCAATGCCTTATTAGAATTTTAATATAAATTCTTATATTACTAAAATATAAACTTCTGTATTGTTTGTTATTGAATCACAATACTATTTTTTATCAAATATAATTTTTCTAAAATTTATGTATATTGTAAAGATATAGTCTCTTATTGTAAATTTTCTTAAATTAATAATTACAAATTATATTTCTAGGAGGTTCTGCTTCATGGTATCTTGTGTGATGCTAATGGCAAGAAAATGTCCAAAAGTTCTGGCAATGTCATCTTACCAGAAAACATTATGAATGGTTGTAGTTTTGAAGTGAGTGTTTTTCAAACTTTTGCAACATACAATTGCCATGAATTAATTTTTTTTACAATTTTAAAAGTTCTTAAAATTCTTAAAACTAATAAAATCGTATTGTAATACATAATATAAATTTAATATATAAAATATTAAAATTAAAATAGGAAAAAAGAGCATGCATTAAGAATTTTAAGAATTCAAATTTTAAAAGAAGTTTGAAAGAATATATTTAGGACTAAAAAAATTTTTTTGAAAGATTTTAGAATTGCAAAAATTTTATCAACCTATATAATATGATAAATTTTTCTCGTATGCAACGTAATAAATAGTAATTATATACATAAGAAATTATCTTGTTACGAATATACATATATATAAAAATTATATTACAAAAATAGAATTAAAATGTAATTGTAATGCAGGAACTGAACGAGCAAGCAAGACGAAATCATGCAGCGGGCATTCTCAGTGCTGACGAGTTGCAGCGAACACTGCGCGTTAACACAAAATCATATTCCACAGGAATACCAGACTGTGGCACAGACGCTTTGAGGCTATCGTTGTGTGCTCGTAATATTAAGAGTAAGAAAATTAAAATATTAAGAGTATTAAGAACAATATTAAGAGTATTAAGAATAGAAGAGTATTAAGTGCAGAATCTGAAGAATTTGTTGAAAATTAAAAAAGAAAAGAATTTTAAAAACAACTTAGAAAAATTATTTAAGTTAAAGAATCATAAGAGGATATTGTAAATTTAATTTTTACTTTAGATCGTACCATCAGTTTTGATGTGGATGATTGTCGCACAAGCAAGCATTTCTGTAACAAAATCTGGCAGGCGAGTAAATATGTATTATTGATGACAAAGAATGATGACAATGAAAAGAATCAACAACAACATGGAGACAAAGAGCAATATTTAAGTAATCTGGACCAATGGATTCTAAGCCGATTGTTATGGATGGTGGAAACAGTGAATAGTGCGTTTGCCGAACGAAACTTCCATAAGGCAATTGCCGCAATTCGTCAATTTTTACACTACGAGTTCTGCGATCTTTACGTGGTACAATATTTTATAAATTGTAAAAATGTTAAAAATATGACCATTATAATAATAATGGTGTACTTTACATCTTAATTTCAATTTAATAATTTCTTAGAATATAATTTATATATACATATAAAAATTAAATACATTTATATATACATATCAAATTTTAATAAACACAGGAGGGCACAAAATTCGGATTTAGAAGTGGCAATGATGCCGGACATTTCGATACTCTCGCAAAATGCCTGGAAGTATCATTGCGCCTCCTCGCACCTATTACGCCTTATTTGTCGGACGATTTATATACAAGACTCGCTAAGAAGGGTTTGCCAGGATTTCGGTCAGTTTCCTCATTGTTGGAAACATCCTATCCTATGCCATGTGAGGTATGTGTATGTATAAACTATATAATTTTTATATTATGTTATCAATTTTTCTCAATGTGTATTATTTTTGTTCTTTTTCTTTCTTTCTGAACACTGTTATATATTTGTTAAATAATTTATTTTAAATTTTAATCTATTTTAATTGTTTTTAACAGTTTGAGCATTTAAGAGACATTGTATTAGAGCAAAAAATGTGCGAGCTTATGAATGTGATAGATGTCATCAGAAGTTGTATGGCAAATGTGAGCAAGAAGTCAAATCCAGAAAGTGAGTCCTAATAAATTGATTAAACAATATGCTAATTAAATAATTAAATTTGAAACAGATTAATTACGAAACTTAATATTATACCTAATATAACATATATATGCATATACATATAGACATATATAATGAGTAACAATCGTAAAATGAAAAATTGTATTGGAAAAGTTCCTTTTTTTATTGCAGTTAATATTCTGACCAGCAACATAGATAATTATGACTTTTATAAGAAAAATGTGAACCTGATTAAAGGAGTGAGCAGAATATGGAATGTGCCCATTCACTTGACAGAATCGGTTAATGACAGTGATTTTTGTAATGAAAAAAGAGGAAACGATAGCGGCATTTACACTATTCGATATATACATACGAACCATTGCTCGTTGCTCATTGCAGTTACGGTAAATAGACAATATTTTATTATTTGTTTTCTAATATATTAATGTAATGAAGAATACATCTATATGTATGTACAATTATTTATATATTAAAAATATAAATATTTAATATATATATATATATATATATATATATATATATATACATACATATACACACTCTAGAATATTATCAATATTAATTTTTATATACTTTTAACAAAAAAAATAAAAATTATAAATTATATATATATATATATATATATATATTTTTTTTTTTTTTCTAATTTATTATTTTTTGTATAAAGAATTTACCATATTTGTTTATTTTGTAGGATGCGTCGATACTGGAACAGATTAAAAAAAATATGCAAGAAAGGAGAAATTGGAAGAGAAATCAATAAAAAAGAATCATTATTAGAATATATGTATATTGCTCATGTTTGTACAGATATAATTTGTTTCTTTCACATATTAAAGAAATTATATAATGTTTTCTGAGATTTTTTTATTAATCTATTATTTTAAGTTTTTTTTGTTCTAAGATCATCAGAGCCAAATATTTTATCTAATCTAGCTTTTCTCTTCAAATTCAAAATGTCGCGCCATATGATCATCAAATGTCGATCATATGATTGCGCCAGAATTTTGGCGCAATGCAACCAACGTCATGTTGAATAAAGTGAGGTTAAATTACTGAAACCAAACTATTGCTTGCATTTGAATTTTGAGTGATTATGGAAGCATTGAATGAACATTTGGAGGCTTTGGCTGGCCATATTTTTGATAACGATAAGCTGGTAATTAAGTCGCGAACACATTTATGTATGTTTACATTCTATATATAAATTGTAATTAACGTTTAATTAATATTTTTAGGTCACTTACAAATGGTTAAGCAATGAATTGCATGTTCACGTTAATGTTGCAAAACAAATCTTATGGGAGTTCTACCAAAAATATAAAAACGACAACATTGAATGCACGTATTTATTAATTGGACTACTGAAGAATAATGAAATGCGTGTGGAAGTAGTAAAAGAATCCGCTTTATCTAAAGCTAAAGAGAAGTTTGATAAAATTATTTCAGAGCACCTTTATAGTGTCCACAAACCTCTCGTGGATCTGGAATTACTCGCCACTTCTGGTTCTGGAAATGTAAATTATAGCGCAATAAAGTGTGATGCCTGCAAAGAGAGAAGTGATGAAGAAATGCAACTATTACGTTGGGGTACAGCTGCAAAGAAGATTACAATAGAAAATAAAATGAACTCAAAGCCTGTAAATTCTATAAATTCATCAAAGACAGAACAAAATTCAGTAACAACAAAGAAAAGTGGTTTTAATAATTTGTTTGGTACAACTGGGAAACAAAAGAGTCCTGAAAAATTAAAATCCTTTCAGGAACAAGATAAATGCTTAACAAAAAAAGGTAACAATTTTATGAAGGATTTAACAGAGAAAGATGAAACTTTAAAGGAAGAAGATGAAAAATTAACAGAAAAGGAAAAAGGTTCTGTGAAAAAGGATAAAGGTTCTTCTAAAAATAAAGGTTCAGTAGAAAAGAATAAAGGTTCTGTTAATTCCACCACTAAAAAAGTGTCTCCAAAAAACAATTCTGTACAAAAAGGAAGCTTAGATAATTTTTTCGGAAAGCATGCATCCTCTTCAAAGCCTATAGAAATTATATCAGCAGAAAAGAAAAATGATAATGACAAGAAGGAAGAAATTATATCAGCAGAAAAGAAAAATGATAATGACAAGAAGGAAGAAATTATATCAGCAGAAAAGAAAAATGATAATAACAAGAAGAAAGTTGCGGAAAAAAGAAAACCTAAAGAGAAGGAGAATTTGCGAGGAAAAAAACGCAACAGAAGCAAAGAAACAGACGAAACTGCCAAGAAACGGAAGAGAATAGTTGTCCAGAGTGATTCCAGTGATTCAGAGAGGCAGAGTGACATAGAGATGGAAGAATCAGTTCCTGAATCCCCAGAGCCTGAAGCTGTTGTAAGACCAAAAAGTCCCTCTCCACCGAAAATAAAACGTGAAAATGGCAAAAGAAAAGTATTGAAGTTAGTCAATAAAACTTATAAGGAAGGCGATTATATTGTAACAAAGAAAGAACATATTTATGTAAGCTGTTCTGAGGACGAAGAGGAGACAAAAGGAGAGGAGAAAAGGAGGGAGGCAAAGAAAGTAGAAACAAAGGTGGAGAAAGTGAAGAAAAAGCAATCTACACTCACAGATTTTTTTAAGAAATCTTAAATTTGTCTTGATTTTGAAAGTCCAATTAATTCATAAATATTGGTTCATTTTATCAATATTTATGGTATATTATTTATTAAGATTTAACTAATAAAATATAATTAAACAATGGTATTATATACAACAATTAGAAACAATAAGTGATATACAATATTAATATTGATGATATATTTTTTGTATAATACAATATTAAATCATTTTTTCATTTATAAGTTATTTGATTATAATCAACCACTTGTTAATTTATTGTTTAGAAATTATAGTTGATTTATTAATCACTATTCTGAAAATTAATAACAAAATTTTCAAATATTATTTAATAATAAAAGTTTTTAATAGAAAAAATGTATGTTTAATAATTTAGGAAATGAAAATCTTTAAAATAAAAAAGAAAACATAAATAAAATGTCAAAATTATTTATATACTGTATAATTTGATTTGTTACTAATCGATTAAATTTATCATATATGTATACATATATAATTTTCGATGACAAGATGACTAATACATTATCTGACAAACACACTTATCAGTTATATTATCAGGATTGGTTGGTAGATATATCTTTTACTAAGGCTCTTCTAGCTATCATTGATATATCTTTCATGTCATACTTGCCTAGTCTACATGTGAAGTCACAAAGTTTTCAAATAACAAATTCATAGATCATGATATTTAACTATTGTAATATCATTTTGTTGTTACTTTTAATTATATACAACAAATGTTTGGGTGATATATGCAAAACTTGCATATGTTCTGCCTTAGGTAAGTCCGAAAAAAATCTATAAAGAGAAATAATAAAAACTAACTAATTTATAAACAAACTGATATATACAATTAACAAATATATATATATATATATATATACATATATATTATTTTTGCCATTTTATTATTTACTATTAATGATTATTTTGACACTGTCTTTTAAAAGAAAAAATAATCTATAAGAATTATAATAAATAAAACTAATAATTACTAACTATATGTTCTTATGTTTATTATATATTATTAATGTTATTATATGATTACATTATATTATTCATTATATAAATATTGTTATATTATATATCACTGTTCTTACAGATTCAGGAGAAATTATTGACTGTCATGACAGGTATCGAGGACTCAATGAAGCTTTCGAAATCGATTTTCTTACTTTTGATCAGCATGAATCATTAAACAAACTTATTCTTTCAAAAAACAACTTAGTATTTTTACCCATAAACGAACTGAAGAAGTTGAAACATTTAAAAAAATTTGATCTTTCTCACAATCAGTTCGATAATATACATTCAGATATTTTCAAGATTCTGAACAATCTCGAAGAAATAAATTATTCCTATAATCTATTATGGGGCTTCAACATGTCCATTTTAAACATAGACTCTTCCCTTTCCAAATTAAATTTAAGTCATAATCAAATTAGTAACTTGGAGAGAAGCTCGGAAAATATAACAATAAAGTTGAAAATCTTTGATGTATCTCACAACAACCTTAGCAATCTGGTAGTGTAACAATTTTATTTAATTTTGACAGTAAAAATTATTTAACTTTTTCAACAATGTTATAACAATAAATTATAATAAGTGAAAATAATCACATATGTAATTATTTCATAAAATCGAATTTTAATATTATGTATTAATTTTATTTAATTTTTTCTACTTGATAGAATTTCTTGGATGATTTGCTGGAGCTGGAATATTTAGATCTCTCCTTTAATAATCTATTTAGTCTCCCAGCTAAGTCATTGCTTCGTCTACAACATTTGAAAATACTTTACATCAACAATATTCATCTTCTTGATTTAAATTTCCAAAATCTTCCATTGTCATTGCTGAAACTTTATGCAGAAAACAATTTTATCAGTTCCTTATCAATACAAAAATCATCAGTCCGTACCTTAAACATTCAAAACAATAGCATTTCTAATGTATATGACAATTTAACATTATTAGAAGAATTAAAAGATCTAAATATTAATGGAAATTCCTCATTGGAATTTCCGGATATTTTTCTTAAAGATTTAGAAACGTTGGATTTATCCTTTAACAATTTAACAACGATTCCTGAAACAATTTCTATTAAAAATTTTCCGAATTTAAGAATTTTAAAAATTAATGGAAATCCTTTAAAAAATGTAAAAATTCAATCTGAACTGAGACTGGAAAAATTTGAAGTAAATTTTTTGAAGACGATTGAAGAGATTAGTAAAGATACATTTCTAATGTTGAAAGAAAGGAAGGATAATTGCATAAATATAACTATTTCAAATAATAAATTGAGCTCAATTGAGGAAAATGTTTTTCAGCACATGAATATTTGTTCTGTAAGTACATATATCTTATAACTTATTATATAAAAATATTTTTACATGTAATTCTTTTTCTTTATTTTTCAGCTAGATTTAAGCAATAATTGCTTTGCTCATTTGCCGTCAAAGTTATTTAATATAAATGAAATTTCAAATGCAATATATCTCATTAATTTGCAAGGTAATCCATTTATTTGCAATTGCTCATTGCAATGGATGTTAAGTACATTAGTTCCAAAACTTTACTTGAAGAACCGCAGCCTGTTAGAAAATTTAAGGTAATATAAATTAATATATTATTGTATATGCATTATTAGAACATATCACACAAATTATGAATAAATAAATGTCCACTTTATATTTCGACTTATTAATAAGAATAAATAATCTTGTTACTTTTTAAATTTATTAATTACAGATGTGCTGGCCCAGCTCCGTTAACTAATAAAAGAATGATCCATTGGTATAAATGGAAAGGAGAAATTTTCTGCGATGACGTTTCGCATTTCGCAGAAAGAATGACTGTTAATATTGCGAGTATCTCTAGTAAACAGGTCGTGACATTCGAAAGCAGTCCTGGAATGATTGCTGCTCTGGCCACAGCAATCACTCTGCTTGCAATTCTAACGATAATCGGCATTCTGTTGACTCGAAGAATGATTGCGAAGAAAAGACGAATTAATCGTAGATTTTAGTAAATAGATAAAAATTTAATTTGTAGATTTGCAGATAGAATGAATCGTGTAACCTATTACAAGTAATTCACTAACTAATCGAAATATTGAGAAAATCTGCTGACGATAAGCTTAAAAGTAAAAAAAGATGCACATTATACATATACAGAACTTTCTCCAAATAAAGTCTTAAATCTTATGCGACCACCTCTCTTTTTGGTTTTTTGTTAAAAATAATATTTAAATCATTGGTTGAATCTCATTTTATTGAATTTTAATTTTTTTATAAAAACATGAAGACTGTCATTGTGGGAAAACATATAAAAGATATTACTTCCATAATTTAGCACAACTTATACTCTTGTAAATTAGCTGTCATAATCTCTAATCCTTTTTTATCTTTTTATTATAGCACTTATTGTAACAGGAACCACACAGTCTGCAAATAATGTATAATAATAGTTATCACATATAGAAATATATCAAGAATTTTGTTTTCATGATTACACATTAAAGTTTCAAAACTCTATTTTAATAAATAAGTTTAACAATAGATTCTTTTCATATAACTTTTAAGTATTTTATAATTATATTAATTTTTTAATTTATTAATTAATGTAACTGATTACAATTAAATCAATTAATTAAATTGATTTGTACTTACAAAGAGTAATTATTTAGTCTAATTTAGTTTAATTATAACTTGATTTGAACGTAAAGATAATTATTAATTTCCATTTTGATGACAAGATCGATTTCTTTGTGGTTATAATGCGCGAAGAAGACCTTTATGAAATTCCAATTCGATAAAGTCAATTCTTCCACATCCACAACACGTGAAAACGACTTTTATGTCTAAAATAGTAATAATAGGCGTACTTAATCAGCGTCGTCATTAGATATCATCGATTTGCCAATGACTAGACGTTACTCTTGGAGGGGGATTTTCCCTGAGTTCAGTCAGAAAATTACAAATATTTTGATAGTAATGCGGCTGGCACCAAGTTTCATTATGTGTACCACCCACGACTGGAAGTATGCGTTTGCATGTGCTTCGACAATTCTTGTAGAGGTCCTGCATCATGCGAGGTGGTACCAATGTGTCTGCTAGACCAGAAATGAACAGAGTGGGCACTGTGACTGCACGAACTTTCAGAATAGATAAATACTGTAATAAGAAGTATAAAAATATAAGAATATACTGCAGGAGAAATATATGATCAAAAAGATATTTATTACTTTTAAAGATTATATGTAAAAAAAATGTAAAATAAGAGTTAGTTTTATACATATAAAGTTATTATATTTAATTGCAATAGTAATATAGTGAAAAAATAACAATATAATATTGTATTATTTTTACATCACATATATCAATAACAAAATTATTTTTTAATAAAAAGACTATCTTTTTCTTAAAAATAATAAATGTATTAATTAATTTATAGAAAATCAAATTGTGTACAAAATAATATAAAAAAATTAGAAACTTTCTATCTCTACCTTGTTCTTGTATACAAAGAGGGGTAGATACTGTAGAAATTTGGATCCAACAAATAAGGCGGCCATATCTGGAATACTAGTGAAGGTGTTTTCGAGTATAAGGCACCAAATCCTCTGCGAATTTTCTTCTTTTGTGGCTAAATCGATTGCTACCGCTCCGCCTCAAAATTATTAGTGAAAAATAATAATTAGAACATAAATAATGTGTTTAAAATAATAAAATAAAATTTGTTTCTTACCTAGTGATCTACCAAAGACTATAATTTCATTAGTATTAATATCTGTTCTACTGGACAAATAGTCTATTCCTGCTCGAGCATCCATATAGAGACCCTCTTCTGATGGAGAACCCTGTGACAAGCCATATCCTCGATATTCTAACATTAGAATATTACACTGGATATTATGATACAGTCCCACTATGTTTTGCAACCTAGAAAACAATCAATGTAACTTATTATATCATATAAATATATATAATTTATTATAATACAATTTTTCTTACTAATATAATATTTAATACTAAAATCCTATATTTGTTATATAATCGAGATTGTATAGAATATAATAAATAATATAATAAATGAAGAACATTTCTAATATTATAATTAACAAAATTTCTAAAAGTGCTTTAATTAGTCATTATTGTAGAAATGTATTTAACTTATTTATGTATGAATGTGTATAATATTGAATACCGATGGCCCATGTTGCCAGCATTGCCATGAAGAAACAATACTGTAGGTGCTTTCCTCATTCTGTCCTCTGGTTGAGAAACAAAGAACATGTGTAGCATTGTACCATCTCCAGCTCTGGTATACACACTTTGATATGGTAAATTAAATATTGAAGGAGCTGGTACATAAACTCTGGAATGAGATGGCAGTTCTGGATGATAAAGAAGTTGATCTTCTCTGTGGTAGAGTATTCCTGTAACAATAAAAAGTATTATAAATATATAAAAATAAAGATCCTTAATAATATCATTGAGCTGATATTTTTATAGATTAATACTAAACTAATAATAATAAGACTTTAGAAAATAATACTTTCTGTAAAAAGGTACCAACCAGTTGTAGCAAAGCACAGTAGGAAGAAAGCTAAAATTCCACCATATAACCAATATAAAAGGAAGCAGACAAGGATATAAATTCCACTAAAGGCCCAACACTTCATGGCGACACTACCCAGAAGTCTTATTGGCCTACTACGAGCTAAACGTATTCTGAAGGACATTATTTCTGCGTTTTGCCTAATTTGACAAAGCTCTGCGTTATCTGAACAGCTCAGCTGTTTGCAATAAGTAGATTTGTCTTGGTTTAAGGACAGCCATGATCCATTAAGTCGATCACTGCAACATTTTACACTTCTCTCCTGCAGAAAAATCATAAATGTTTTAGTGATAATACATTATTAGAGAGAATCATGATTTTTATAATTATCTATTTCATACATCTCATCGAAATAGATTGTAAATTTTATAACGTATTTTTATGTGCCAATTAAATAATGCGTTAGAAAATCGTCAAGAAATTACAAAATCTATCCACAAAAAGTTAATTATAATTTTCTCATCTACTTATAGATTATGACTATAAGTAAAAATAAAATCAATATTGAATTCATAAAATTAGAAAACAATTTTCTTATATATCGATTTTTAACTTACATAAAAATTAAAGCGAATTACATGAATTGCAAATTAGAGAAAGTCAAATATATATGTATTATAACCTAAACTAACCTGTAAGACGATAATGACAGATGCATCGTACAAAATTGAGAGTCCCAATAAATGGAATTTTTTTTTATGGCACTAGTTAAAAACGTGAGATATCAAAAAATGACGATTGTTGTTCGAATCACAATTGTTATTATTAGACTTTGAGCATCGAGAATTTATTTGATTTTTTATTCGCTAAACCATATACACGAATCTATAGGTTAGTTTCTACGTACTGCGCTGCACTTTCTACACTTTCGTCGAATGCGCGCGCATTTAGGGCGAGTTTCCACTGAGCGCGTCACGTGAATTTCTCGAAAGAAAGTGCAAAAAGTGTAGAAGATAAAGTGTCGATCTCGCATGAGACGTATTGTATATCATATAGGTTATCAGCGGCGCACTCGCGTTTCGATAGTCGTCGCATTCGAAGGTGTGCATGTTCGGAATAACCTCACATCGTCTGTCCCCCAAGGAACGTACGCAATGACGGAGATAGTGGTGGCCAACGACGAGGAGCAGTTGCTCTCGCGGATCTCGAATCTTGTCGCTCGCGCCGCCGACGACGCGATATCACGCGATGACCGGATCTTCCGATTCGGAGTATCAGGTGATATCCGAATAATCCTATTCCCTATCCTCCTTTTTTTCTTTTGCACTCTTATTTAGCTTTACTGCTACTTTGACAATTCCCGCTTTCTGTAATTCTATAAGTGTACACATACATATATGCATACATATGTATATATATATATATATATATATAAAATATATAATGAACATATATATAGATATAAAATTTTCGTAAGAATTAGAATTCCGTTTTTACTGATGCCTTTGCGAGAAAAAATATCTTGCGTTTTTTTTTTTTTTTTAATTTCTAGAGGTCAAGATTTTCGTATTGTCATGCTGATCACGAAAATGAAACTTTTGCACATAGAATTGTATAATGTCTCATTAAATGGCGAATAAATGTGAAATGCTAATGAATAAAGCATTTATAAAATTGATTTTTGCATTTCTCTGGCAAGAAATTGTATTTTAGTAAATTGATATATTGTTAATTTTAGTTTTTTTTTTTTTTAAGTACTACACTCTACACCCAATATGAAATGAAATTGAGCTTTGTCATCCTTTTTGACTAAAAAAATTTGGTTTTTAAATCTATAATAAAAGATATATATGTATGTTTTTATATTTATTAGTAATTTTTGTGAAAAATTGTATCTAAATCTAAAAAAAATTTTTAAATTATTTTTATTATAATTATATAAATTATGAGCAATTAATGAAAGGAAAATAATGTACATATATTAAAAGAAAATTGATGGGTATATGTATAAATTAAAAATCTAAAATGGATATAAAATTATATAAATGTAATCATATGGAAATTGTAATTGTACATTACATAATCATAAAGCTTTATCTCACATACATGCACTTACATACCAGATAAAAATTGGTAGATTATAAAAATTACTTAAGAATTATTTGTATGTTTAAGCTTATTCTTTATTAAGAAATATAAATGCTTAAATTCTGCAAATTTAATCTTTGCCTACGATTCATATGTAGAAGATTTTGATGAAAAACAGAGCGTAGCTATCAAGAAAAATACTCTTATGATATTGGTTTTTAATCATGTTTATGCTCAGCATTCCATGTGGTTGGAGTTAATTAATTGATTAGACAGTAGTATTATGTCGAATATTATAATGCATGAGTTGACAAGATTCATATTTTTAGGGTAACAAATATATACTGCAAATTTATGCAAATTTATGCAATATACATGGAGGAATTTTCCTGAAATTTATAGGTTAAATAGTTTAATATCGGATGTCTCAAAAGTATGCATAGATATGGATAAAAGTATTTAAAAAAAGAATAAACCTAAATTGTTGTTTTAATCTTTAATATGTAATATAAAAGAATTAAAAAACAATATATGTGCACACACACACACACACACATATGTATATTTAAATAAATATAATTAAACTCTTAAAATTTATTTATTTTAAATATTATTTTAAATCAATTTTATTAAAAAGTTAAGTAGTGGAACGAATAAGAAATCTCAAAAGAACCATATACATGATAAAAATATTATTAAATTATTTTTATTAATGACTGATTTGTTTTCATAGGTGGTTCAGTAGTGGAATTGCTGGTCAAGTCTTTGCTTAATATCTCGACTGACTGGAGCAAATGGCGCTTCTTTTTCTGCGATGAACGAGTGGTGCCTCTAGAGAACTTTGATTCTAATTTTGGCCTCTACAAAAATTGTCTCATCGGAAAAGTGCCTGTCACTGAGGAGCAATTCATAAAAATTGATTCAGAATTAAATGGTATGACTAACAAGTTATTCTGCATTTCTATTGTATTGATAAAGAAAACGAAAAATAAACACCAATTATATTTCTAGATATGTATAATAAAATCAGACATATGATATTGGACTATATATAGAAATTTCTTACTTTAATAAACTAGAAACTATTGAGTTATCAATTTATTAACGTTGTTAAAATTTATCATATAATTTATAGATTAAATGAAAAATCAAACAATGTTGCATATGTGTTGTCTTTTAAAAAATAATACATACACTAATGAAGATGTTTGACTCTTACTTTTTTTTTAATAATTGATATATATTTTCATTTTACATATTATAGTTAAATGTACTTTAATATCTTATAATGATTATTCTCTTATCTAATATTTTTCTCACTTGCAATTATTTTAACTCCCCTGCTCCTTATTTTTCAATTTCATATTTTTATTATACAATATATATTATTTTTACTTATTATCTATTACTGTATACAATCTATTTCTATATACAATTCTTTTATATGTTATTGTTTATATGATTTGTCATTTATTTATTTGTATATATTTGTAGCCGAGAACGCGGCGAAGGATTACATTAAAAAAATGGCCTTCTTCTTCCCGCCGGACAGATTACCAAGATTTGATTGTTTGCTGCTGGGGCTGGGTCAGGATGGTCACACATGCTCGCTTTTTCCGGGTCATCGGGCTCTCGATGATGAGAATATGTGGGTCACATGGGAATTGAACGCGCCGAAACCACCACCTAGCAGAATCAGCCTCACGATGCCAGTCATCAATAATGCTCGCATGTGTGTATTTATCGCTACCGGCGCCAGCAAGACCGAGATTGTCAAGGTAATTATTAAATTTTTCTATTAATTATTCGATTAATTTTGAATTTACAATTTTGCATCTTTTAAAAACGCGAGAAGAAGTATATTTATTTTAACTAATAGTAATTCAATCATTGCAATTAATAATAATTAATAGAAATATATAATGAAATATTATTTAAAGAAAATAAATAATAATTTCTATTTTAGACATAGAAGATATATATATATATATACATACATATATATATATATATATATATATATATATATATATATATATATATATATATGTGTGTATATATATATTTATTTATATCTCACGACCACTTTTGAATGTATATTTGGGACCATATTTAGAGAGAGAAAAGGAATAAAAGAAATAAGATATTATATGCATATCCAGCACTCAAATATTGTCACATGGTCAATGTGGCAAATATGAATAGTAGAAGAGCAGCACTAGAGAGAAAGTGGTAACTATTAGGGAATTTGGAAGTAATTATGCAAATTTTCTGTTTTCTTCGACTGTCGAATTTTATTTCTTGATATCCCATTTTCTACTAGATTCTTTTGTAACTTTCGATATAGTACTATATTGGCTCTTTGTCACCTTTTTCTCTCTTTAATTGATGCTTATCTAGCAAATTGATTATAAAATTATTTAAGAATTCTCTATTACCACTTAGCCAGCTGATTCTCTGTATAAACTAAATTTATCTCCTAACTTTTCTTACGATGTTCTCTCATATACTGCATATTTGCCACTTGACTCTTAGAATATATTATAGTAGAAAGGAAAGACATTATTCTATTTTATCAATATTACAGAATTGCACATATAAATTTAGAGAGTCAATTTTGGTTGATTAAATTACATTTATTATTGTTTACAGAGGGTCTTGAAAGACAAAGAGGATTTGCCAGCCACAAGAGTGAACCCAATCGATGGCACTCTCTTCTGGCTGCTCGATCAGGAAGCGGGCAAGCTACTTAATTCAGACTGAAACGCGAACTTAGCCCAAAGTAAGATCGAGATACACAAGATTTGCACCAATTTTATAACATTCCATACTTATATATTAAGATCGTTCTGTAATTCCATTATAAGCTTTTTAGCTTGATATTTTAATACATGCTTTTTCACTATAATTTACTATTAAATTCGATAGAATATTTGAATAAGCATGTATTCATACCAAAGGCATGTAAAAATAAGTCATAAAAAATCAAATAGGCAATTTTTGACTGATATTGCTCAATAATATCGTTTATATAAAAAATGTATAAACTTCATTGTAAATTAATCTGCAAATGTAAAAAAAGACAAACAGAATTTAATAAAAGAATAAAATTTGCATTTTCATCAAAAAAAATTTGTTAAATAAAATTTGCAACTTTGATAAAATATATAATTTAGTGACAAAAAATTTAACCAAAGTTTTTATTACATATACATATATAACATAAAATACGAGGAAATTAATTATTTTATTATAAATATTTGTGATATATTGTCACTTTACTTAATAAGTACAGGGTTTGTCCGGAAAGTAATGCGTCGCATTTTTTTAAAAAAGAATTTATTGATCGCATAGGTAAAACAACTTAAAATTGTTCGAAGTATGACCCTTCTGCGTCAATACATTTTTGCCAACGCGATTTCCATGCGTCATAAGATTTCTGGAACTCCTTGACTGGGATGCTGTTCAGGGAGGCCGTCGAAGTAGCTTGTACGTTGTCAACCGACTCGAGCTGTTGTCCTTTGAGCTCCCTTTTCAGCCGAGGAAATAAAAAAAAGTCCGCCGGGGCCAAGTCGGGACTGTAGGGCGGCTGCGGCACCGTTGCCACACCGATCCGGGTCAGGTAGGCCGTAATAACAAAGGCGGTGTGAGCCGGCGCGTTGTCGTGATGGAGTTTCCATGAAGCGCGGATCTCCTTTCGGACGCGGGCGATCCTGTGATTCAGTCTCTGAAGCACTTCCTTGTAAAATTGAGCGTTGACAGTCTGGCCGGGGGGTACGAATTCATGGTGCACTATCCCCTTTGCATCAAAAAAAACAATGAGCATTGACTTCACCCGGGACTTGCTCATGCGAGCCTTCTTCTGGCGCGGCGACGACGTCGTGTGCCATTCCGCACTCTGCCTCTTTGACTCCGGATCGTACTGAAAGACCCATGACTCAGCCCCAGTGATAACGTTGTTCAGGAAATTGGGATTATCTGCACAGAGTTGCTTGAGTTCTTCACAAACTTCCACTCGGTGTTGCTTTTGCGCATCGGTCAACACTCTGGGCACAAGTTTTGCGCAAATCTTCCGCATGGCCAAGTCTTCCGATACAATCTCGTGAACAATCGTTTTCGGCAAGTTCAATAATTCCGACATTAAGCGAACATTCATTCGACGGTCTGAATTCAATAATTGGCGCACACGAGTCACATTGTCGTCCGTTCGCGATGTTGACGGGCGTCCTGCGCGGGCCTCGTCGGCGACCTCCTTCCGACCTTCTCTAAACATCTTGTGCCATCTGTTTGACTGCGATTTGGAAAGGCAATCGTCCCCGAAAACTTTCTTGAGCATTTCAAAAGTTTCCAGCGGCGTCTTGTCCAGCTTCACGCAAAACTTTATCGCATAGCGTTGCTCTATCGTTCTCTCCATCACAAGTTCGACGCGACCACTAAGCAGAGGTTCACAGAATAAGCCGTCCTAACCCTCCAAGCGCATGGAAACAATTGAGCGACCTACCGTTGGAAAGCTAAGGGTACCCCCCTTCCTCCCCAACCGGTCCCATCGCTCTGCGATGTATAGTCGCGTCACAAAAAAATGCGACGCATTACTTTCCGGACAAACCCTGTATGTCATGGTACTGTTTCAATTTTTTTAGAAGGTGGATAGGAGGAAAATGCAAACGAATTATTACGAAATTTATTTCAGATGTCGCAAATTTTCAAGCAAAAGAGATAAATAACAAATATATCTAGCAGTGCCTATCAGAAATTGAAAGTCATAGATTATACAAATTTTTATATATATATATATATATATATATATATATATATATTTATTTATTTATTTATATTGTAATATATTGCAAAACTAAGAAAGCACGGTGCCTTTCAATAAAGCAAGATAACGATAAATTCCCGGTTGTATTATATCATAACATATTTTGTGATAAATATTATTGCATTTATTTTAATATTAATTAATATAAAAGTATTTTGCATATTACGTACTTTCATTGTTAATTATATGATCAAAGTTAATTTTTTACTATTGGAGAGATTGTAAAGTCAGATTGATCTTTAATCTGACTGATTAATTAATTTTTAATCTTTAATATCATTTACTTTTATATATATTATATATATATATATATATATATATATATATATATATATATATATATATATAGTATTTGAGACAATAAAATTCGCAAAGTAAAATACGTACTTTATTGTTGAACCAGATTTGTGGTTCTCCAATAAAATAATTTTTTTGAAATGTTATATAAAAATTCAGTATTTCTAACATCTTTCGAGTTCGTAAAATTTATTGTCAGACTCGTGCTAGGAAAAATGAAAATTTAGAAGATAATTTTTGATAAGGTGAGTATTAATTAAAAATCAATATTAAATGCGATATTATTTATTTTTTAATCTATTCAGTCCTTGAATTTTTCATATGCCTAATTTGTACAAGATATTCTGGAAAAAAAGAATATATATGAATAAAATAATGGTATATTTTTGCGAGAATTTAGAGAGAATTTTATTTTAAATTAATGCAAACTTAATTTTTCTGAGAAATAAACAATTTTGTTAATTATAAAATTATGGTATAATTCTACAATTTATTTGATTAAATAAAGATATATAAGATTTTTTAAAACTTATATATAGTTAACATAATAAATTTCTCATTTTTAATGTGATAAATAAAATAGATACATTGAAAAATAAATTACTAAATATATAGGGTTATTTATTTAAAAAATAGAATATATTATTTGAAATATATATTTTAAATATATATATTTGCGGTAATTTGCGCGACATGAAAATTACAAATTAAATTCTCTCTAAATAAAGAAAACACATATCTTGTCGCGAATTTCAATCTTTTAATGCTTTTAACTTCCCTAATAATTTAATAACTAAATAATTAGCTAAATTAAATAACTAGCCAATAATTTCACTCGCTAGTTAATTTTTTTCAAGGATTATAATAAAAAGTATATTGTGTAAAACACAATTAATAAATATTAGAAAACTATATATGTATATAAAATTTAAATTAACATTTATATTTTTTTACGAGAAATTAGTTTAACTATATAATCCAGTAACCCATTCACGATAAATATATTTTGATAATTGTCTTAAAACAAAAATATAAAATTAATGGAAACTGTTTTCTAAAATTCTCTAAAGAATTATTAAGAATTTATTAAGAAATTTAATTTAAAATAAATTTTTTTAGTTATTCTTTTATTCTCTTTTTATTGGATTTTCTATTAGTTCTACAAGATAACAAAGATAATTAAAATAAAATTTAATGTTTTTTAAATTAAAATTAAATTAAAATAAAATATTTTTAATAGTTTATGTATCGCCACCATTTTATTGTGTTATTTTTGAAAATAATTGGGATATTTATCGTGCGCGAGTTATTTTCCGAACATTCATCAATAAACAATCTTTTCAACTGTGCACATATTTATAATACATGTAAATACATAATGTACATAGTTTTCGTAAGTTCACAAAAATTATTTAGGGGAATGAATTATACTTATAGCAATTCGAATATAGTAAATTGCAGCGGCTGGTGAAATCAAATTAACGTATAAATAATTGACTACAAAGTATCAATAATTAAATCGAGATACAAACTGAAAATTGCATAATTTATAATATAGTATAATAATTGCAAAATTATGTAAAACTCGATTCATTGAGTTAATTTTTAATCAATATATTTTTTTCTTTTATTATAGGATTATCTACTCTTCCTTCTATAAAAAAAAATAAAAACCTCAAAATATAAAATTACATTTTTAAAGAATTTTACAGATGAATGTTATTTTGCAAAATTATATGAAATTTGTTTTTCATGAAGCATGTTTTCTATTGCAATAAATTAACTTATTTTACATAATTTTGCAATAATTTTGTAATTTACAAGATCTCGATATTAACAAACCACGCGAAAATTCAGTTTATATAGTCATATACATATCACAGTATCAATGTATAACTCGATCCTCTATTCTTGCAATAAAAACGAAATTCTTTAGATCGATATTATAGCGCTTTTATATATTGTAATTCAATAAATGTAAACTTTCATGGACATTAAAGTCAGAAAAATAAAAAGGCGAGAGAAATTAGTGATCTGACAGATCTAATTCATTCATTCATGATCTAATTAATCTAATACATAAATAAATTATAAATAGAATTGAGAAAATTAAATTCAATATCAATTTTTTACTTTTGAACTAATTTTATGTAAATGTCTGATAATTTCTAATTTTTTTTTATCACAATCAAAATTATACATATAATTTTCTTTAAAAATTATTTACTCTATTTGTAAATTATAAGAAAATTTATGATTATATATAAATAGATAGTCATCATTTAATTACATAGACAGATAATCATAAATAATTTAAATACGCAAATTCTTCATTTTTTTGTACTGACTTGAATGTCGATAAAATATGTTTTTATATTAAATAATAATCGAGAACTGGCCTTTCCTTCTTCGATCATTGTTACTTAAAACTTGCTCGTATAATTTGTTTACAAAAAAAATAATACTTTTTTTTATACATGGAACATATTCTGCCTTGTATTTGCTTGTAAATATCAGACATCGTTGCATTATAGTAATAACAATATGTATAACAGCAATTGCTGGAAAAAACTGGTAGTTACGATTTATTATATATTAATTCGCAGTTATTTTTGTATAATTTATTAAGATTAAGATATTAAAGTATGTTAAAATTTTAATAAATCATAAAAAACTGCGATATACGTTCGATTTATCGAAGAAACTTCTCGAGTTAGCAATAATAAATAAACGTCGCAATTTTTTTTCTTTATTTATTTTTTTTTCTCTTTGAGATAAAACGAACGAACATGCCTAATCAAACGACCATATATTCGCCTGTCGATGATTATTTATGTCGAACAAAAAGAAGAGAGAGAAAGAGAGAGAGAGAGAGAGAGAGAGAGAATAAGTTAGTTAATTAAATTAATCCTAGTATGTATATTCATCACGTCATGTTGACGCCTAGCGCCTGCCGAAAATGCTCATATACTACATAGCTAATGGACACGGCAGGTGCAACCTATAAAAAAAGAATATATTTTTTAGTAGAGTAAAATTAAAAATATTTTTATTTAATTTTATTAATTGACATGATTTCTATATATTAAACATGAAACACAATTAGAAATTTATATTTTTTATGATATGAAGAATAAGTGCAATATAGAATCAATCAACATTACAGAAAAGAAGCAACCTTAAACTCTCATCATTTCGAATTTTAATTTTTTACATGTCTTTTCTCAAGAAAATTTTATTATAAAGCGTTTATTTAAAAATTTATGTAGCATTTATTTTGTAGAAAAAGTACAAAGAAAGAGATGCATAATAAAATAATTAATAATTTTATTAGAAATAAATAGTTGATTGAATTTTAAATAAAATACTATTTGGAAAATCTTAATTATCTAAAAATAAATTCATATATATTGAAAAAATTCAGAATTTATTTATTTCTAATAAAATTTTAAAAAGTTTTAAGGAAATGCAGAAAGCGCAAAAAAATAAAATTGTTATCACAACACAACTCCAAGAAGGTCTATGAAATAGAAATTTTTTAAATATATTTTATCTATAAAATTAAATTTAAAAAATTTATAAGAATTCTATTTAAATTTTATAGATACGCGTTTATATATACATATATATATTTTGTATTGATCATACCTTAAGAAAATTGGGTGTGAGGCCACGATACAAACCGCGTATTCCTTCGCGGCTGAGAATGTCCTTGAAAACACCCATCATGGTGTTGAGCGATTTTTCTGGCGCGACTTCGGCTTGCAATCGCGTTCGCACCAGTGCCAACGGGTACGAGCACACCTGGCCAGCTGTACTCGAAGCTGTGCCACACAACAATAGAATCCAAAACGCCGGTTGTTCCTTCTTGTCGTGTGTACGTAGGTAACTATTTTTCAAGGTCTACAAATGTGCACGCAAATTAATTTATCGAGAAAATCTCGGAAAAATTATTTTTACATCGATTTGAATTGTACTAATATTGAATTAAATAATCGCACAAACATATAATTTAATATTGCATAAATGACTAATAATTACAACAGATATATTATATACATGTAATCAAAATCGAAAATAATATAAAACTTTTATCAATATTTTAACTTACTTCATAGACGGCTAAATCAATGCCGGCATAAGGAAGTATTCCTATCAAATTGGGTACGTAGCCTCTGTAAAAGGATTTTAAGCCACCTTGTCTATATATTTTTTTAGCTGCATCTATCATGCCATCGAACTCGCCTGTTTTTCGCAACGCGAGTCTCGTCTTCAGCACCTGTAAAATTATTTGTTACATATTATTCTCATCTCTTTTTACAGTTTATTTCATACAACTTCATTATACATATAGAGTACGTATATGTGTTTGTTGCGTAACTTGTGCATGCTATATTTTTTTGTCTGGCAATCTAATAAGATAATAAGTTAATATAACGTGACGCTAAGAGTCATAGTACACAGAGCAAATTTACATGGCTTCTCGCGTCTGACGTCATGATTCAATATAACTGTAGCGAGGAGTCTATAAGATAATGGGATGTACCTCGAGGGGGTAGATGGCCGATTGGCTGATACCGCCGGCCATGGAACCGGCGCAAAATCTCTCATAAAGTCCGAGCTCACGCGTCTCGTTGTCTGCCTTGATGGCCCTCTTCACCTGCTCGTATGCCATAAATTTGAGCGCCGTCTCCGGACCAATCTTGAGCACGTTAATGCCATTGCCGCGCCATAGGCTGCTAATGCCACCCTCGCGCAACATGTACCTGAAGCAACTCATGATATTGCAGTGTCGTGTGCCGTGGACCTGCAAGGACGATCGGACGAGTCTCTCGTCGTGTTAAAGCAAACTAGACAAATTTGCTCGCTCGCTCGTAAGCGGCTCTTTTTCGAATAACGCATGATAAATGTGTATACAACATGTGAATTTTTTGTAAGAGAATTTTTTCATTCAATTGTTTAAAAACTATATATAAAAATTAAACTAAATACATATTACATAAATAAATCTATAAAGTATGACATTTCGGAGAAAATATTTGCGTTAACTCTGACATTATTAAAGTAATGTAAAAATCAAATGAAGACTCTTTGGCAAAAAACAATTAGAAATAAAACTTACCTGCAAGTAGACCTTGATGCGGTCGAGGGGAGCGGTGCAGGTACGCGATACTGCACCAGCTATCCCACCGGATAATAAATGCCGCCACCACATCCCCGACACCATCTCACCTTTTGTGAATTCTTCGGGGACACCGATGTCCTCCCCAATGTCCATATACTATAAACAAAGAGAAATATTCCACAATTATTGAGAACATCCGGTGATTTTTCATAGATATCAGATTTGTCAAAAATTAATAATTTTAAGATTATTCAAGGAATCATAAATCAATCAGATATTGAATAAGATATTATTACATGCGCATATAAAGTGATATTTATACACATACACTCAATATCTCTATATTTGATCAAGTTTGTTTGAACAGGACTGTTTCACAATCTGTGAAAATACTTTATTGGTTCATAAAGTATTAATAATGATACAATAAATAAGATGTGCATTATAATAGAATATTAATAACAAATATTTAAAATTAATGTCTTAATAATAGTACGCATAATAATATACTATATCTTACGATACATACATACAATAATTTAATATTAATTTCATATATATGAATAATTATACGTTCTCACACATAAAGAATATTTAATAATAATTTAAGAATATTAAAAATATTAAAGCTGTATTGTAAAATATTAAAATCTCGAAAAGTATTTATCGCACCTCGAATCATTCATTGTTCTTTATCTTTTGCACAAAATTACGCAACTTTTATTTTTGCAATCTAACAATAAATTTTTTTACTTATCATTTCGCTTATCAATTTTCAAATGAGTAGGATTGACCTTAAGCGTAAATGTGACTCGATCATGATGATAAGATCATCGTGGCTAATTTTTCCGTTTAGAATTTTTTTCTTAAGGACATCCTGTAGATCATTTATCGCTTGTGATAAAATATAAAGTATCGCAGTGTTGTATTTCGATGAAAGTAATCCATGTGTATAATCCATGTATAATACAATAGAGCTATTGCATTACAAAATGCGTGTTGTAATTCAAAGCCTCGTATAAGTAGGTATTGGAATTCGCGAATAAACATTCAAAAGAAATATTTAATTTAAATCTAAATGAAAATATTAAAGCCAACACATTTTCATATACAATTTTTTGCGCAATAAGATACTTAAGTATATACATTTTCCCTAATTGAAAACTTCATTTCTCTTCATAACTAATTACGATTTTTACTCAGATCCTATTCAGTTAATTTTTTCACAAATTTTATTAATAATAACCACAAAAATCGAAATCTTAGCTTGAATTTTTCAAAGAAAAACAAGCTAAAATTTTTGCTTTATTTTATTCTTAATTTAAATTTTGTAAATTATAATTTTATTGGCATAAATATGCAATTTAGAGCAAAGTTGTTTAAAGTATATTCAAAAACATATATATATATATATTTCATTAGCGAGAAAAATTACGTATATAATGTAGATATTTAATTTTATATAAAACTTTAGAGAGAAATAAAAATCGAGATTGTCGCAACATAGAACTGTGTGAACTTTTGAACTTTGTATCATTTATATTTCGTCATTTGTTTTTGCAAGTAAACTTGCATTCCCTGTTCAAATTTGTAACTTGTATGTGTGTGTGAATATAATGAAATAAATAATACAAAGTGCAAAAGTTCATACGTTATAGATATTACAACAATCTCTCGACTTTTACTTCTTTGTAGAATTTTGTAAAGTTAAATTATCTATATAATTAATATACTATTACTACTTCTTAACAAAAAATGAGACAAACTTCTTCTATTTCAATTTTTTTATTTTTTAAATAAACAAGATAGTTGCAAAAACGTGCCTTACTTTGCGGAATATTTTAGTCTCTGGAATTCCTCGCCAATTTCGTAAGCATAACTAGTGACGTAATAATTCGCGAAATCACAATCTAATATTCTGTTTGCGGGAAAAGATAAAGAAATATTATTTTGCAATTTATTCAATACAGTAATATATAACAAATGAGATATTACGAATAAAAAGATGAATTGCGAGTCGTCGAGTAATAAGATCGATCACGAACTGAAAAGATCTTCCTAGCATGTTCTTAGCTCAATTGGGCGATGAGCCAAACAGTCTATATATCTAATATCCGGGTCTATCCTTTTAGCTACATTTTCTGTGCTCAAAATAAAAAAAAAGTATATTACAAGATAGAGAGAAAATATGTATAAGATATGTCTCATTAAACACACTTTCTTTAAACTATGAACCATTTGATTACAATTTAAAATAAATTTTGTTTTCTAATGAATATATCATGAAAAATTATTTATCTGTAGCATATCTTTTAACCAAATTCTTAAATTAAAATAACGTCTATTTAACATCATAATTAAAATAAATTATTGTATTATCCATTAATTTCTCTTTCAAGGTATCTTATATTTTTTATCGTTTACAATTAAAAACTGAAATGTGCTTCGATATTTCCAAAAAAAATTTACACATATATTCTACAATGTTTGAAACTAAAATAATGTTCAATTAAAAGAAATAATATTGTACAATTCAAAAATAAGTAATTTTCAGATCCATATATTTACTAACGTTTCTTGATTTAATTAAGATATAAGTAGTGAGACAAAATTAATCTTTAATTATAAATTTTAACTTTAAATATTTCAGTCTTTTTCAGAGCACAGAGTTATCCTATCGTAAGATTACTTGAGAAGCTGGACGTGACCTAATAATCGAGGCACGGATGTTTGTTTTCCAGGATTTTCCTAGTGATTTGTTGAAAACAAGATTAAGATAAAAATGAAAACAAGATAAAATTTTTATAAAATTAGTTATTTAATTTATGGTAACAAACAAGGCTGAAAACTATTTCGTAAGCAGAAATTAGTAAATTAGAAATTAGTAAATTTAAAAAAATTAGAAATAAATCGTATTTTATAACTGGAAAACATTGTTTTAGATTTAATAAAAAAATCTTTTAAGAATATATCTGACAAATATTTAATAAGATACATATTTTTAAGGCATCGGAGAAAAAATTCGTGAAACTCGCATACCAAAATTACTTTCACTTGTGATTCTGACCATTTCGCCACTCTTAAACTTTCTTTTTCCATTTGGGACCACACAATTAGTAAACTTGGGTTCTGATTGGCTGTTTGAAGGCTAACATGATACTCACCCGTTGTAAAAGCTCATGGTAACCTTGCAGAAATTCCTCGCATACTTGACACGTGGACAAGGCGCTATCATGTTGGAGTAATCTCGGCTTCTGTAGAGCATACATGCTGCGATCGATCAGCTGTAATCGCGACTCACATGGTCGCGAACACGCTCGTCGCATGTGATTTGCCGCTCACTGCTCACTCACTTTGAAGTCAGTCGTGTCTACGCATACGATAGTCTCTATATTTCTCTTAAATTTTCTTTAATTATTTTTCCTCATCATTTTCTTCCTTTTATACGTCTTTTTCTTTCTTCCTCTCTCTACTCTCGTTCTACTTTTTTCTAATTTTGTTCTCCTTTTCCTTCTTACTGTTTTTTGTCTAATGTCTTATACTGCCTATTAACTTTTTTCCTTCTTATTTCTTGAGAACTTCCTCGATTTTACTTTATTATATTATCTACTTATATTTTTTAGCCTTTTTCGTTTTATGTATAATTTATTATAAATAGTATTTCGTTTCTTCTCCTTGGATTGTGTAATTAACTTATATTCGATAATATATTCGTGTCACGTTGTGTCACAGAAATCACGTTCACTCCGTAAAAAGTCAGCCACACTCGCACACTGTGCAATAAAGTCTGTCGCACTCACACTGTAAGGTCTGCACTTTCGCGAACTTTCAAACTTTCTATACAGGGAGGAGTTTGCACTGATCGAGGTAACACAAATTCTCAGGAATCTCCCGCTCTTTCTCTTCTATATCTTTAAACTTCCAACGATATATATTCATCTATATCCGCCGATTTCTATGAAATTATTCAGAGTGATGTTTCATCGAAAGCTATCTAGCAATTATAAAAATCGCCGACGCAGATCTAACAATGTGAGTTCACCCACGTGGTCGAAGAAAAGAACAATCTGGAGTGGTCTTTCATGGCGAGGAAGGGAGAACGAGCTACGAATCAGTGGATTCGAACGCTCGGAGTCCGATTGCGAGACTAATGAGACCGAGAAGCGAGCGCGAGGAAAACCCGGATACGGAAATATCGCGCCCCTCCAAAACGGGGACCGCCTGTTTGTCTCTTTCCTGCGTAACTGCTTGTTCTTTTTCTGACGTCACAGGGCGCACACGTCATCGAGCAAAGATCTGTGCAATGACGATCTGATCAAAGTCAGCGACCGGGTTGTACATCTCGCAGCGCAAAGTTCATTCACAATCTGATGAGTAGAGTGTTGAGAAATTTTAACTGTACTTTTTCCATATTTCGTTTTTTTTCGTTCATCTGTATCACGCAATAATGTTGCTATTTTCTCTCTTTCTCTTATTGTTCAGTAACGATTTAGTGAAATTAATATATTTAGTATTATTTTCAATAATAATAATAATAGTAAAATTAATAATAATAGTAAAATCAATAATATAATAGTAAAATTAATAATATTTATAATAGTAATAATAATGAGTAACATCAATAATCATATACAATAAAGTCATATAGTTATACAGCGTTATTGTTATATACATATATAACGTAGTAATTATATAAATTTGTGCAGTTTTTCGAAAATTTAAATTTCTTATTTCAAAATTTACTATTTCTTAAATCAACAAATCCATGTTTAATTTATAAATAAACATCTATAAGTCTATATTTTATCTCTAACATTTTAATATCTCAATAAAATATATCTTACAAGTTGGGAACCACTGTTATGATGTAACAAGTAGCTGACGAAATGTCGCGTAGCATTTCGTCGAATACTTGGAAATTGGGCTTAATTAATTTAAAGAACTTCTGAATGATATGCAAATATTATCAGCATTTTTTAAAAAGAAAAAGAGAAGGAAAGAGAGAGAGATAGAGAGAGAATATGTGCACATATATCTATACACATGAATACATACAAATATGCATATACGAGTATAAAAATGTGTATAAATTTTACACTCATGTAACATATGTTAACTTAGAATGACATAATTTCATTGATCTACAGAAAATATAATTGTAATTTTAAAAAATGCAATTGTATATAGTAAAGAATAGAGTATTTATTAATGAAAAATTAACTATATAATATTATTTTATCATTATTCACTAATAATATTTATTATTATATATGTAAATATATCTTTTATTTTTTCTCCTAAATTTTGTTAAATTAGATAGTAAATTTAATTATTCTTATTTTCAAATTCATATCTTTCTCTAATTAATATTTATTATTTTTCATTTTTCTAAATTTTTGTCAGTATGTTAATAAATAATTTTTCCTTGTTAATATAAAACTTAAACTGTTTAAAGTACTTACTGTGGTGTGATGCCAATATTCGATGATGTCGAATAAGTTAGAACTTGGTGCATAGAGCAGAAAGTCCCGCCATTCATCAAAACTGATTTTAAGACTTCCATCTTGATCCATGCTGTGTTAATAAATTTATTAGATATAACATATCAATATTAAAGCATTTTTATATTATTTAAGTGTATTATTTACTGAATATTAAATATATATTAAACAAGCATTAAATATATATTAAAAAAGCATTAAATATATATTTAAAAAGTATTAAATATATATCAAAAAAGTAACTAATTTAAATAATCTTGTTCAATAACTTATAATATGTATATATATTTTAAATAACTAAAATTAAAGGACATACATAAAAAATTGACAATAATATTATTCTTATTCTTTAAAATATTTTTAATATATATAATATCAATTATCGCGTATGCGTGCGTGTATATAATAGAGTAGATAATTCAATATTTAAAATAATAAATCAAAAATATTTGATAATAATGAGTATTTGTAATATTTATTAAACTCTTCTAAACTTTTGAGTAACAAATAAAAAAAAACAATTTTTCTCTTTAAAAACTTGAAAAAAATAAGTGTATATTGCAATGTCTAACATTTAGAAAATTATTTATAGATACTAATTAGTAGATATACCAATTACTAATTATATTATTAAAAAAAATTACCGTTGCAATAACTTAGTTGCTTCCTCTTGTGCAATTTCTATTCCTAGCTCCTTGAAAGCTCTTATCAGTTCTTCCAAATCTATTGTGCCTAAAAACAATAAAATATTTAAAAAATTGTTTATAATTTGTATTGCGCACTGTAAACAGGGAAATAAACTTTATAAGTAATAATAATTATATTAATAAAGTAAGTTAGTAAATAAACTACCTACATATGTTTTATATTGTAATTGTGCAAACTTTTATTTGATTGAGGAAATTCTTCTATTTCAAATCCATAGAATGTTTCAGAAAATTGATTTAATGTTTGATTTACTAAATACTTGTTTACCATCTCTATTCTTATCGAGATTGGAGAACTGCAGTCGTAGATTCTTCTCATGTTCACGAACATAGTGTATGAATTCAGCTAGACTAATGTCGCCACTTTTAGTACTATCTGATCTGGCCAGAAATTTCTATAAAGATAAAGAAATTATCCATTAGATATGTAGGTATCTATTCTAATTTAAATGTCACAACTGCAACTAAGAGAAATAATGTGTGAAAACCCTTGTTATAGTTATATAACATTATTTTTAATCAAATTTCAAATTACTTATAATATAATATTATTGTCTTATTTTATATTTCTCTAAAAGACAACAATTATATATGTCTAGTAGGTTAATTACAAGAGTACATTCTTCATTATACATATTTCAATATTCTATTAAAGATTATTCTATTATTTTAATAATTTGATTAAAAATCATTTGAATCTAGTTTTAATAAATCAATTTAAGTGAAAAATCTCTTGTTAAAGGTTATTTTAATAATAATAGTAATAATATATATATGTATATAGAATAACAGTTAGAGTAATATTTTCAAATGTACAGTCGAATTCTTTATACTTCTATTCTAGGTCTTTTTCTATGTTAAATCACCTGTTTTACCTCTAAATTAAAACTCTCTTCTTGCACTATTCTCACATAACTCATATGTTGAAATTTTGAAATACTGTATGAGGCTATAAATAAATTCATCTGCATATACATTTAGATGTTTTAGTTGCACTTTTTACACTTTCTTTTTTCGCTCTCTTCCAATTTCTTATTATAAATACAGAGAAAAATGCATCTGATACAAATAATTAATTCCTAATTTATTCAATTATATTTTCCTCTTTATTTAATTCAATTTTTCTCTTCCTTCTTTAAATTATAACAGATATTATAATCTAATAAATCTTAGATATTCGTTTACCTGCACTTGTCAATTTTGTTCTCTTTTTTTTCTTTACTCTTTTCCTCAACATGTATTTATCTCATTCTAGGAACAAAAAGTGCGACGTAAGCTAAATAAGAGACTCAAATAAGATATTCATTTACACACACATGTGTATATGTAAATGAATATATTAGAATGACACAAAATACACAAGTAAAAAATATTCATAACTATATATTATATATAATACTGTGTTCGAAAAAGTAATGACAAATATTGAGAAAAAAAGAAACAAAAAAATCCCCATAAAATATACTTGGTCTTGTATACAATTTTTTTCAATCATCATGGCGCGCGTACTATATCCCATATAAAAAAAAACATATATATATATATATATATAAAAGGGACAAATATGCAAGAGTACGTAAGAATGTGCAAGAGCACGCAAGAGGCCCTACCTTGGCATATTGCGTATAATGCGTGTGCATGCCGACATCGCGCAGCGCCTGGGAGAGATCGTGCACATCGATGCGGCCGTTACCGTCGAGGTCGAGGCGCTGAAACACTCGCTCCAGCCGTTCCTCGTCCTGGGCCGGCAGCTCGTGTAGGTAGTGCGCCGGCGGCGGCGTCGCGGCCACGCGTGCCGCCGGCGACGCGCTCGCGCGCGCACCGCCGCCGTTTCCCGGCATATTACCTCTACGTGGCGTCCGCCTACCTGCCTACACGCGACGCGGACGCGACGACAGAACCGGATGAAGGGAAGCACTCCCGCGACAGCGAGGCGAAACCGTACCGTGGCGAGGCGTCCGTGTATGCGCGCGTACAACTGTGTACGTACATGTCTGCCACAATCATCGCGCGCACGCATCAGCCGCACTGCTGCTGCTGGAAGGTGCGCGCGCGCCCGCGCACGTTTGTACGCAACACCACGCCAAAGCTGACGGCTTCTAGGACTTCTGGAAGAGCGCTGTCACTGCGAAGCATGGAGTCCGCAGGGCGGGAGAATTTATCCCCTTTTTGCCCTTTTTCTTATTTTGAATAAACATGAATTTATTTGCATATTTAATATTAAAAAAATTTTTTTAAATTAAATTTGAAAAAAAGAACAAAAAAATTATGCTCCCTCCTGGAAAAAATCCTATGAATACCCATGCTGTGAAGTGAGCTGTCAGTGAGACGGTAGAAGGGAGGAATGTCAGACACGTCATATTGCGGGTGACAGTTCGCGCTCTTTTCGAGTTACACTGGATTGTGTTCGAAAATGTACCTCTCGGAACGAGTGTAGGTGATCGGCCAATCGGGACGGTGGAATTTTTACGTCTCTCGTCACTGATTGGTCGAGTGAGAATCCAGCTGAGAGATTTTCGCGCTTGAAGTGGCACTGCGTCGCGGCGTACAGTGGAACTATCGAGCAGTTTTCTGTTATGTGTCATAACTTATGTTTCGGTAATCTATGGTGCGATAAAGGTTGATTAGCGAGATCCGTGATACTACGAACTACGAATCGCGCAAAACTGCGCGAGAGAGAAGTGATGCGCAAAAAGTGTAATCGATGTGATGTTTCGCTGTAACGAGGTGGGTGATGATGTTTACGATGGATTTTATTTACGTCGATTAATTTACGGTGTCCCCCCGGATTCCGAAAGTCAGCTGTCATGATATTGAGGACATCGCGATAGAGGCAGGTTTTCGTCAGCAAGCTAATGCTGGATGGGTCAGCAAGTTTATTTCGTCGAATTTTTCTTGCAAATTCGACATAAATTCTTGCGGTTATTCTCTACAATATGTCAAGACAATTCGATCTATTAAGTCAGGATGATTTCACCGTGATCTCATCTAGAGACCTCGGCGAAATATGGTTATGAAACTAAAATTTACCGAGTTCTTCCTGTGTAACTGCACTTTCTATACTTTGACACTTTCCCCTTCGCGCTCTGCGTATTTTACATAAATTTTATACCCTTAGAATCATTTTCTACAACTTTCTATTTTCTCTTATTTTATATTTTTTTATTTGCACTTCCCACGCTTTTCTATTGTGTTCACGAATTTCACATTATTTAATAGAACTGCAAACAAAATGATACTTTTTTCTCATTAAAATGCAATAATTATTTTAAAAATAAATACATTTACAATATATAAAATATTTACTATTAATTATTAATTATGACTTTAATCCTGATGAAAATGGCATGCTTGACTGAACAGAGCTTTTCTACTTATTCTGTCAAATCAACCATCTGCTATAATAGCTTATGAAATCTATTGTTCGAGAGATGTAACATTACACATTATAAACAAATCACAAAGTTATGAGTGTTTCTCGAATTTCTCAAAATACTTGAATTTTGAGTGATATTTTTTTTTCTATATGTATATAATTTTATCCTTATTTTTTTTCCTTACCTTATAGAATGCCGATACAGGCACCACAGTGGACTGAATTTCTGTCATGTCCAATCTGCTGTCATGACTTTGACGCGGCCATACGGGGTCCTATATCGCTCGGTTGCGGCCACACAATATGTCGTGCATGTCTCGCCAATCTGCATCGCAAGCAATGCCCTTTCGATCAGGTATGCCATGATATTATCTATATATTAGATAATAATAATATCTATATAGATGTTTGTATTTCGTATGTGTATATATACCTTATTTAATACATATGTTTAACACTTATGATATTCTATTAGTTGTTTAATTTCCCTTTTTCTATCCTTTTGCACAGAGCGTTATCAACACCGATGTCGAAAGACTACCGGTAAACGAAGCGCTATTGCAATTGCTAGGAAATCCGGTTTCAACTGTTGTCTCATCAGTATCCATATCAAATCAGCAGCAAAATTACCAGAAGTTGTTACCAGTCGATCAACATGCCAACTATCTGCGAGCCAAGAGTTGCATCGAGGAACTTGCACTTTATCTCAAGCCATGCCAGACTACCAACACTGCAGGCATGTACCTATTTTTTAAGTTTCAAATACAAATAGTATTAGTACTTAAGAACAGAAATTAAACTAAAATTTATTATATATATGTAAGAAATTAAATAATATTACTATAGTAGAGATATGCTATAGAGATTATTGTATTTTTTGTAATATATTTTACAGATTGTCAATAATATTTATATTATATGTATAAATTGTAATAATTGATATTATGTAAGTTGCGAAACTGATATATTTGATATATACATAGGTATTGGAGGTGGAGGTGGAGGGCTCGTGTCCCGACCTATGCAACGTAAATTGGTGACGCTATTAGGTTGCCAATTAGTGGAACCAGAGGGTAGAGCGCGCGCGCTGCGTGCCGCCCGCAGCCTTGGCGAACGCACTGTTACTGAACTTATATTACAGCATCAAAATCCACAACAACTCAGTGCCAATCTCTGGGCGGCCGTACGGGCTCGTGGTTGTCAGTTTCTCGGACCAGGTAAATTTTATTTCATAGGGAATAAAGGTTGCGAATATATGCTATATTTTTTTTACTTATTGTTAAAGAGAAAGTGAAGGAAGAAAAGTTAAGAATTTAATATCTGACTTTCTATGATATTATTTATCTTTCAGCTATGATGCATTTATATTTCTTATTAAATAAAATCATGTAAAATAGAATCATGTGTTTTATACAAATTATATCTTTAACTTTAGTTACTTACTCTGTGTTTAAAAAAAAATATATATATATATATATATATATGCATGCTCTGTTATTTAACTATCTTGAATATTTTTTATTTATACAATTTACACAATTATATATACCTTTTTTCTCGTTATTTTCAGCGATGCAAGAAGAAGTATTGAAGCTTGTGTTGTTGGCATTAGAAGATGGTTCGGCACTATCGCGCAAAGTGCTGGTGATGTTTGTGGTACAGCGTTTGGAGCCACATTTTCCACAAGCTAGCAAAACTAGCATCGGCCATGTGGTCCAGCTTTTGTATCGGGCGAGTTGTTTCAAGGTAATTTACAGTAACAATCATTGTGACCAAAGTACTTTCTCGAACGCAGTTAAACCAAATATCATTTTCTGAAAAGAAAAATTATATATTAGAATGATATATTTACATATATGTTCCTAAAAAATCTCTTCCTAATGATATCAATTATTGTTATCATTTTCTTGTATTAATAGGTGTCAAAGCGCGAGGGCGATTCATCGCTGATGCAGTTAAAGGAAGAGTTTCGCACTTACGAGGCTTTGAGACGCGAGCATGATGCGCAAATTGTACAGATTGCTACGGAAGCAGGACTGCGTATTGCGCCTGACCAATGGTCGGCTCTGCTCTATGGCGATACTGCACACAAGTCTCATATGCAGAGTATCATTGACAAGCTGCAAACACCACAATCGTTTGCCCAGAGCGTCCAGGAACTTGTGATAGCGTTGCAACGTACTCCAGATCCTGGACAATTAAGTGGTCTCAGGCCACAGTTGGAATTGTTAGCCGCTATTGATCCTAGTCCAGGTATGTATACATGCTATGTATATATAATTTCTGAAATCTTAAAAATTCTTTATAATTAGAAAAAGAAAAAGAATTTTTTAAAACTCTGAAACTTATAAATATGTGATTTTTAGAGACGGAACCACCAAGTTTAGCAGAGTGTCGGGCGGCTCTAGAAGCCGTAAGAATAGTAGTGGCTGCATTAGTGGACTTTGTTCGACAGCATGGAGGTGGTGGTGCCAACGGCGGAAATCGAAAGTCAACGACAGCGCAGGACAGCGGAGGCAGCGGACCTGGTGGAGGTTCGTGTCCGGGTCCAGCAACTGGCAAGTACAAAGTCAGCATGTGCAGGGATCTGGCTCTTCGTGGCACTTGTCCGCGATCTAACAATTGTACCTTCGCCCACAGCGACACTGAGCTTGATAAGTAAGTCTGTATGTGTATATCTAATACACATTTATTTATTTATTTAATATCAAGTTAATAATATTCTTTTATTGCTGTACTGCAAGTTTGTATATTGTATAAATAAATAATATTCTTGACAAAGTTAATTGTGTTAATACTTTTTATACATATAGATATAGATCGAAGAATCGCAAATTGAATGTCAGGACGAATTCAAACCAAGTAGAATCAAAAGGCGAGAAAAATAACAAGGCCTTTAATAAACAGAATGGCGATTTAACGGCTTATCATTCTACCAAAGCACATGAGAGAGAAAGTGAGTATAATGAATATTTATATTTAATATAATTCTACATAAATAAAATGTTTGAAGAGCACACGCACGTATATATGCAATTTATTAAAAAGAAAATTGTTCTTATTCTTTATTGTGCTACATTAAATATGTTGTAAAAAAATTATACCGACCATAAAATATTTCCTTTGAAGTAAAATGTATACATACTGAAATGTTATTATGTTATTCTATCTTAACTTCCAGCAGCCGTGCAGCATTCAACGCCCATTCCGACTAACTTAGAAAATAACTTGATCGATTCATTGACGTCGACCTATATGCTGCCTTCTGCATCCCCGCAAAACTTATCGCATCTCGGTCTATGCTCTGTAAAGGGAGGAGCAATGGTAGACAGCGGAGGATCTCCTGCCGTTCATTGCTCAGGACATTACATAATGGCGCCAGGATCCGTCGCAGCTGTTGATTATGGACCTTCCCCGACGACCACGACCAATCTCGGGATGTGGGATAGTCCGCAAATTGTATCAGCAAATCATGTAACAAACGATAAAAAGTGAGAGAAAATTACTTTTTGTAATGAATAACTAACATTTAGAATAATAAAACAACACAATTGACATACATTAAGTTTAATAAACAATTATAATTATATAGATAACTAATAAATTATGAATAAGTAATAATAGAATAATAAAATAATTTTATAGCAACGAACGGCAAAGAATATGTTAGCAATGCTACTGCAACGTAGGATGGAGATTCTAAATCAACTGGAAACAATTATTGGCAAGCAGCAGCAACAGCAGCAACTAATCTCGCCACAAATGAAAACGGTAATGAACTTACCATTCTTCTTTTTTCATTCAAGCGTTTTGTACAAATTAGAAAAAATTATTTCTTTTATTAGAGATATTATTTTTTAGTGTATATTTTTTGTTAAGTCTATAATATATTTCTTTGTCATGTATATATATAATATACGTTATTTTATTTTATTTATTATATACATATTTTTTTGTATTTTTCTTTAGAATTACGATCTTCGGCAGGAGGGTGACTCGTTGACTACGTCTAATAATTTCTCGATATGGACCGCCGCGAACAGCTTCCGCTGTCCTTCTGGAACGGATTCGCCACCGTCAGCTTCGCACCTCCTCGACGATGATGCGCCTTTTGTGCCTCTGTTAGACGTGCCTCCTACCACCTCTTTGCCACCAGCCAGCAAACAGGGATCTATCTCAAGACTGTCCAAAACTTTAATAAGGTGCGATAATAATATATATGAATAATATATAAAATTAGATTAATATTATAGTATAATAAAATTTAAAAAATATTAAACAGAAAACAAAAGAGGAAGAATAAATTTGATTTAAATTAAATAAAAAATTTAACAATCAACAAAAGAAACCAAAAATTACATTATAATATAATTGATAAGCTTTGTGCGAGATACAAATTATAGATTATTAATTGTGTTATATCTTTCTATTATATATTTTACTGTATTGATATTATATTTCTTAATGTTGTTTACATTTGTTTAATAATATTTAATATTAATAATAGGATTCTATAATAAATTATATTTTTATAATTGAAAAATTTTTATAATTGATAATAATAGGTCTCCCTGCAATGGGCCTCTGCAGCATTTTGCAAATTTCTACAATGAGGGAGTTGGACCCACCTCTGCGCTGTCTACTGCATTTAGGACTCCAAATTCTGTAACTTCCTTGTATTATGGCAATCAACGTGAGTGCAAAAATAAGATGTGTGTGTTGTACATGATAGAGAAGAATTATATTAATCACATTTATATTTTTCTATTTTATATATTAATAATAATTCAATAGATTGTTATCAATAGATTATGCATACACATACATATATACATATATATTGACATAATTATTAAACTGACTTATATATATTGCAGCATATTTGGCAATTGGTACGAATGGTGGTATACAATCAATGACACCGACGAGTTCCGGCGATGGCGGTGGTGGTAGCGGTTTCGTGGGCGAGAATTACATTACTCTCGGCCGCAATATCGTCACGCCGGAATCACTACCGCAATTTTCGAGATCGGAATACATGTCGAAAGAGTGAGTAATACATAAAACATATTTGCATATATGTACGTGCAGGTATGTTATTGCATATATATGTTTCAGTTTGATCCTCGAGTCGCAAAAAGTAAAACAGCAACTCAGACATCTCGAGAAGAAACTCAATGATTTAAAGGTAATTCATCACGCTTCGAATTTTGTACATCAACACTAGGAAATTTATACCATATATGACAATTTTATGATGCTAAAAATTTAAAAATTCTGATAAATAATTTTTTTTGATCTTTTTATTGAAGTATAATTGATATAATGTTTCACAGCCAAAAAATATGTTATTACAAAAAGTAGAAGTAAAATTGCATGTATTACTTTTTCTGAAGATATTTGACATTAAAAATTTGTGTCATTTTCATTATTAATATATTCTTATTCATGTATTTTTTATTAATACATTTATGTACTTATCTTAGTTAGCAACGCAAGGAGCCACCACTTTCTTCACGACGGGTGAACGATTAGCACAAGAATTGCGGATGATTGAAGCAGGTATCAGGGAAAGAGAAAGAGATATGCGAAATTGGAGCTGCAATCCATATAGTACTGGTACCACTACTTTTCCATGGATCCAGCAATCCTCCAATGATTGGCTGTCAAATCAGGAATACAATCAAGATTATAAAATTGAAGAGGTAAGCTATATGTCATCATATTTAATTTTATTTTAAATTTTATTTTAGCATTTATTTTTAATAAAGAGCAAAAAATAATTCTTACATTTTTATTGAGAAATTTTCGCTTTGCCGATTATTTTTCTACTTTATGTAGACAATACAAATTTGACTGAAATTGATATCTTTTTTTATCGCGCTGTTATCTATCAAAATATATATTAATCGTGACCAATATCACTTAATAAATTGTGATTATGAATTAATACATTCAATATGTGATTGATAAATAGGAATAATTTTTCTATGTCTATGATTGATTGATTAATCTATGCATGGACAGGAGGATACGTATGAAGCGGGAATTGCGAATGACATGCGAGAGCTGGAATTGCGATGGGAATTCGAATTGCGCGAGCAGGAGAAGCATTGGTCTAGTGGAGGTGAGGAAGATATTATTACCACCACTACAACTACTACCACCACTTCCAAGAATAAATAATATTTATTTATTCTGCCCTATAACATATAATCTCTTTTCTCTTTTCTATCAATATTTTTTTCTCTTACATCCATTTTTGTGGAAACATGTATTTTTGCATGTCTAATTCGATTTCCGTTTATATCTCCGTAAACTAATATTGATAGAAAGTAAAAGTAGAATTTCTTCAATTCGTGAAGGGATATATAAAGTATACGCAGACCTGCGAATCTAAACCTCTTCAAACATTTTAATTAATTAAATACAGTATTGCATATGATAAAAATATGGAAATTATATAATTTCCAATAATTTTACACACAATTTCTATAAATTGATAATAATCATTAATTACACATCAGTTCTCGATTGTTTGAGATTTAACAAAATTCGTGCCACACTTGACTGCGCGATCGAGAAAAATATCAACATTGATTTAATTAATATTGTTTACTCAGCCAAATAACTTAATATAATTTCTTTTAATATTTAAAAATTAACCATCTTTTCAAATAAATCTCTTTCATCTATGATATCTTTGACCTATCTTTTCTTCCTTATTTAGGGAAGACATAAAAAGATAAGGCAATAAGATTAACAAAGAAGAGATTTATGGGGCTTGTTAAAAAAATTTAGCAATAATACGTAGTCAGTGTTTTATAAACAATGACTCGATGGAATATGAGAACGTGTAGTCAAATATATTAGATAATGTATTTAATTATATGCGGATCGTATATTCTTCGTTGATGATACGATATCATATACAAATATAATAAACAATACATTCGAAAAGAATGCTGACTGCGCTTGACCTGATCGACAAGGTTACATTATTTCTTACAATGATAATAATAATAATAACAGCGCGTTATTACATATATTACATATATTGTAGATACATGTATGCTAAAAAAGAAATCGCGTTCCTTTGGAGGACGTTCTGTTTATAGAATTTCTATATTCCGAAAAGAGATGAAAATAAAAGCGAAACCACTCTACCTCGATATTGATGACGGCTCCTTTTATATATAATTACGTTATTTGAAAATATAATTAATTTTTATAATCAAGTCTCTGAAATCTACATAAGCGCGCGATTACGTTACGTATTATTAATTAATAAAATCTGAAATACATTTAATATAATCATAATGATACACACACATTACACATACACATCAAAATTAATTTATTTCAAATTTTTGCATATAATGAAGGCATATAATAGATTATTTTACATATTTATTATAATTATAATTAAGATTAATTACTTTAATTAATTAATTAAATAAAGTAAAGTTGAAGTATCAAAGTTTCTTGGAGCATTTTATATTTCGCGAAAGTAGATTCAAATCGAAGGAGCCGTCTCGAAGGAGGAAAGTCTGGTTATTTTTTTATTGTTGATAATCTAAATCGTCTTTTTTTCTTTTTTTTCGGAATAACAAAGAGCCGATAAGAGAGCAATTCCAGTTTTAGTGGAAACAATTTTTTTATATAATAGATAAAGTCTCTCGTCGACTTCATCTTATAAGCCTTTAGAAAAATTATGTTCGAATGAAAGATATCTTTTTTTTTATTAAAAGAATTATTGACTATTCGAATCTTCTTTTTCTTTTTAGCAGTAGTATATGTACGTTTATGTAGCATTAAAATTAATGCGTTTTTGTGTTATCAACTATTATTTTATTAATTAACTGGATAATTACTTGAGTTTTTATCCTTTCAAAAAAAGAAAATTGCTAAATGAAATTGGAAACTAATACATTAGTTTTTTAATTTTATATAAAATTAAAATTTATGGCACATTTGCTTTACAAATTGTATGGGAAGTAAATCTGATATTAATTTAAAAAATGGGGAGATCATGAAAAACATCAATCTTTTTTTACTAAATTTTGGATAATCAAAATATATATATATATATATGACATTTTATTTTTTATACTTCATGAAACTTAAACTCAAAATGCTAAATAAAATTTAAAAAAAATAACACATTTTTTACACATATCTTCTTTGAAACATAACACTTTCATATAACGCTAATTGGCAATAATTTAATTATATAAAAAAAATAAAGAAATTATTGATTTTATAGTTTGAGAGATTGACAAATTATTAGTTATATTTTTATTATTTGATTTTAAGTGTTAAATTTTAATTGAGATTAACACATACACAACATACAGAAATAATATTTAATCTTAATCGTATATGTATGCATATGAGTTTCGTATGATATAATTATTTGAAATTATTTAATTATAGCAAAATATGAGTTAACTGGTGCAAATTTTTACAAAGTTAATCTGATAAAAATGTGCAATTTGTATTCGTTTTTGTTTATTATTATAATGCAATAATAATTGTGCATATGTGCGCGTGATGAGTGTTGTTTATTATCAGTTTTATTGTAAATTTTATATATATGTTTTTATCTTCCTAATTATGTGCAGTATATAATAATTATGTAACGGATAGCATTATGAAAAATTTCATTAAAGAGATTTCTTTTTAATAAGGAGTAAATTTTTATTTTCTCGAATTTCTTCAATTATTTACCTTTACACAGATATATATACTTTAACATAGAAATATATACTTACAAGATAAATAAAATAAACTTGGATCTCTCTTTTAAAAATATAATTTTCAAAATATTTTCTTATTTAAGAAATTATAATTTTATTTTTAAGAACAAAAAATTATATTTTTTATTGAAAAAGAAATTAAAAAGATTTTTGACTAATAATTAAAATAATCTCATTCAGGGAAAATTACATGTTTGTATTTACACATATACAGATATGCATGTATAAATGTACATATATATGTATATGTATAAAAACTACTACCTAGCCACATATAATGTGTAACAGGAAACTATCCGTTATGTATATACATATAAAAATTATATAGCTTTCAACTTTCTTTATTCTTTCTTGTTTTATTATTATTCTCTATATATAGAAAAATTGGTTATAAAAAAAATAAAGAAAAATTAAAAGATATTTGGATTGTGTATAAAAATAGAGGTTTGTGAAATTATGAGATTGGTAATAAAAATGATCCTTACATATTCTGCAATAAATTTTCTTAATTAGTAAGATATAAAATTTAATTACTTTTTATATAATAAACTTAATTTATCAAGTTTATTAAATAGTATATATATATAATAAAATTTGAGAAATTATAATTATATAATCATATTATAATACATAATAAATTATATAATTTTATATAAATAATTATATAATTATATAATTATAAATTATATATATAATTAATAAGAAGCTATTACTTTTGTTAAGGATCATTTTAACGCAAAAGTGACCCTTATATTATTAATTTCTTTAAAGAGTCGTAGGAAATTAAATTCTATCAAAATTTTGCGGATTCTTCACGTAAAAAAATGAAACAGAAGGAAACACTCCGGGAAGTAACGAGTGCAACGCGCAATGCTGTGTTTGTGCAGAATGTGCTTCTGATTTACTATAATATTGCATGTTAAACATGTCGCCAGCTCTACCACTGTGTATGTACAGTTCAGATACATACGTGTCGATGATGGTACGATATGATTCTAATTGATATATTAACTTGTTCTTTGTTTGAACATTATAATAATGCGATATTATATAGATAGCGATATCACATATCGGGATATATGACGATATATTATAGTCACTCAATGCACTTGCCACTTATCAGTACAACAGAGACAAACTTATTCGCCAGAGGCATATCTATTGTTTCCTTAACGTTAATAATTATATAATTGCGTATATCTATGTATAATTATATTAAATCATATTATATATAATCATATAATATAATTTAATAATAATTACGAATAATGCCGCAGCATTATAATAAAACTCACAATAGAAATTTATAATTAATGTTAAAAATATATATATTTTATATTAATCTATATTCTGTCTTATGAGAGAGAATAATCTCAATTATCACTTGTCATTCAAAACAATCTATAGAAAAACTGGTATTTCAATATCTATATTGTATAAGATAAGTAATGCCTAAATATTGATAGATATATGAGTTATACTTACAATGTATTGTATACACCCACTATTGAACTATTGAATATAACATTAGAAAATAAGATTTATTTCACACCCATTTTACATTAAATGCACAGATCGAAATTTCATTCTCTCATCAGACAGTGTATAAATTCTTATAAAGTTATTATAATGACTAAAACATTAAGTAAAATTTTATTTTTATAATTGATTTAGTTTAATCATATATAAATGAATAATTATATAAAAAGCACACGTTTGAAAAAAAAAGAATTATATTATGTTGCGAGATGTATTTAATAATGATCAGGAAAAGATGGTTGTTTTATATGATAAACATTTTATATTTAAGTATAATAAAATAGTGTAACACTTCTCTTTTTATATACTTTACTATAAAATTGTTAACTATGAAAGAAATCCATGTTATGCTCACATACACACGCACTTTTTACGTATTTTCCAACGACTGTGTACTGTAAGTGTGAAAGTGTAATTGTATAAATATATTTATTTACTCAATATAAATTTTGTATAACAAGTATTTTTCCTTACCATTTCCAAAGCAACTTTTTCACATATTTAAATCCTTTCAATATAGCGCATGTTTTTGCAGATGAAAAATTTAAACTAATTGTAGCCTCTTAAAATTTCGATAATACCTCATCGGTACTTCCATTAATTATAAGCAAATTTTTCTCTGCTAAATAGATTTAACTCCGTTTGAATTTTCTATTCATTAGAATACGTTCGAAAATCTTACTCGTGGGATAGAATTGAATTGACCAATCAGAACGAAGGAACTTTTCCCGCCAATTTGCTTAATGTAAACGAAGCTTGAACTGATGATGTTGAACTTGTGATGTTGTGAACGTATATTTATGTTAGTATATTTGCATACCACGTGTTTTTAGAGGATAACCAAGATGGATTTGGATTTTGTGCAGCCTGAAAATTATTCGGAAAGTTCGGACGAAGAAGACGATGTAAATTGAAATAATCTAGATTAAAAATAATGCACGTATTTGTGCATTAAAACGTATTATTTTATATAAATATTTTTATGAATATTTCTTATCTTAAATTTTCAACGGAGGATATTTCGAATCTACAACAGAATTTAGCTATTATGTGTGTTTATATAAAGAAATACATATATATATTAGATTTTTGTTTATTAGTTTCAGCCAAGTAAACAAAAGAAAAAGGGAGTAAAGATTTTGACAGTAGCTTCAAATTTA